AGTTCCGCCAGGATGCACTTGACCTTAGCCGTGAGAGGAGGGTATCACTGCATCCAGCAGCCGTGTTCAGTAGAAAGGCAGATGTGGAAATAACAACCTTCAATATTTGCCTCACAAAAAAAGTCGTCCCGGCGCCGGCTGCGCACTTGTCGCTGGTTTGAAAGGCTGCCAGTCTGGGACCTGTCTGTCAGTATCGTTGGGAATACTAACGTCTGTCTCCTACAAAAGACGAACACCGCTGCCAGCCACTCCAGGCTGTAAAAAATGGTTCATCGTTGTTAATTCCTCCCCAGCGTTTTGCCCAATCTGCCCGCCTTTTCAGGAGAGGAAATGAAGCCGAAAGCGTAATCCCCGCCAATCTCCGGCCGCGCCTGGCAGCTGGCCGCCCCGTTTTTCTTGACCGGCAGGAGGGAGGGAATCGCGTTACTTCTGCCTGGTCGTGCCGAGGCAATGGGTGCTTCCAGGGGGAACGTCTCACCCTGATGGCATACTACTAGCCTCTACCAGGCTTTGGGAGAGGCTGGAAGAATAGAAATTGGCCCTATAAACAGATGACATGCCAGTGGAGTTGGTCAGCTAAAAGCAGTATTTGCCGCTTCCCGAACTCCCCTGGCATGTTATCTGTCTATTCGGCCAATTTATACTCTTTCCAGCCACTTCCAAAGTCTGATACAGGCTAATCTTTCACTCTTGAATCGTTCACCTGTACACATGGCACTTGGATTTCCTGAGCTGATCCTTAAAGTAAAATCACGCTCGCCCCTCAATTTCTTGAGTGAGCCGCACATACCTGATATAACCATACATTACCCTGATGGCATTTTCAGCAATAAAACCTTCCTGTAGACAAGGTAATGGTCATATTGCTGGCTTAAGTCCTTTTTGTCGTTGTGGAGCTCTCCTTAAAACTACGCTGGCCCCTCATACATACCGTGTTGTGAGCTGCACGTAACCTTAAGTGGACCGGATGAGATTCTGTCAGTACGTCTAACCCACCATTTGCCACGTCATGCCGATAAAATAAGACAACGATAAAAGCCTCACTACGGTACACTTACATCCTTTTGGCTTACAAGAGTTTACATCACGCAAATCAAAACATGCCAAAAGTCACGTTTTCGGAAGTACCTCTTTTATTACAAGCTTTCTGTTCGACCAACTGGACATTAAGGCACATTCCCAGAAATGTCTATCAGGTAGCAGATAAATTGGAGCTAAAAGAATCGAATATGAGATTAATAAACATGTAGTTTGCTTTGATAGATTCCTACAGAAATCCACTTAAATTGTAAGAGGGGGTTATTCAGAATTGTAAAAAAAATCTTCTTATACCAGTACTACGAATTCCTAATGAAAGCATGCATGGACTGTGTCAGATTCTCGTGCAAAAAAATACACATTCAAGGAAGAGCGACGACGCAAGACATGATTGAGATTAGTTTTTCTACTTTGATATGGGGTACATACTTTGCCGGTTGCGATACATCGCCAGGAAAAATCAGTGAATGGTCAGTGCTTGTACTAAGTTGAATCTTCCAACACTGGATCGAAAGACAATCATTTTTCTGACAGTAGGGGTAGTGAGTTGTTGATTCACTGTGTCAGGGGCACGGTGTTGGAATGCGCATGCCATCTAGTACCTGGCCCATCCCTCCCCTTTCCTCTTCTCCCACCCACCGCCTTTTACCTCTCCAACCGACGCCAGGTACCCATTTTACACCTGGGTGGAGTAAGGCGAGTCGCGTGCCTTTTCTAAGGACACAGCGTCTAGCTGCCGTGGGAATCGAACCCGTGGCCTTTCAGTTTCTTACCACTCAGCCACACCGCCCACTCCCTCCCCTGCCACACCAGGCAGTTAAATAAAGTTACGATTTTCCCCGCCCAATATCTACACGGAGATTACCAGTTGCCAGGCCGGTCGAAAGTTAATTTCTTTCCACCACATTAGCGGCATAATTTCCCATCAAGAACATCATTAATTAGCCTTTAGCGAGAGCCGCGCTCGCCTGTTTCAATCGATAGGAACACAGAACGTAATTAAAACCCGTCTAATCACATTTATAAATGTAGGGTTATCAAGGTGGAAAACGATTCGTCTGTTCAAGCTTCTCGACGTCGGGAATTCTGCCCCCAGCTACCCATCATTCCCTTGATTAATGACATTAATTAAGAAGGAAAGATAATATTAGAAGATAGCCGTGTTGCGGAGCTATCCTGATTACCCGGATCCCGGCTTGCTTTGAGACGGTTTCTGACTCAGAACGAGTCTTTGAGAGTTTGAGTGACAGGCATGAGGGACGACAGATTGCGAACGGTAAATTTGGTGTCAAAGGCGCGTGTCAAGCGTTCAATCGGCGCACTTTTTCATTATGAGAGGTAATCTGCAGCGAAACAGTTCAATACGTTGATTACAAAACCTGACAAGTGCAGTCTGCCTGTAAGACGACACAGATTGGTGCAAAGTAGTGGAGATTTAAGTGTTCAAGGTCTCCTTCCCCACTATTTTGCTTACACAATACATTGCACCATCCCTACTAAAGCCTATTTCCCTGCGTAGTTATACGTCTTGATTTTGAACGTTCACCTAACAAGCACTCAGGCCACGCTTCCAGGTCAATTTGTGAATACATTTCTTTGGATAATCCAGATTTAAAAATGACGACAAAAAGATGTGCTTACAACTGCACTTGTATTATTTTTAAACAGAGTGGATTATCAGTCATTGAAAACTGTTATACCAATCATTGAGTAGAGTAGGTACAGTGGAGGACACAAACTCTGTACATGTACTGTAGATCACGAAGTGACTCTAGCGACTGTTAATTAAACAGCAGCTGCTCTTCATAGAAAACGACCAGGCTAATACTAGTTCCTCCCCAGGTAACGTAACATGGGCCTGAAAATACCAGCACTCTGATAATCTAAACAACTGATAAATAATCATTATCACCGATAGACATAGATATTCTTCTTCTCCGTCACTCTTATCATGTCCAATACAGAATGCAGGTTCCGTCTGGGGGTAGAACATTTCCAGACCCTTTTATTGCTGGAGTGTCTTTATGAAGACCTGTAGGAAGACACACAGCGACACCTGCCGGAACTAGTTGGTGCTGCAGATGAATGGTTTCTCTACCATGCGCGGTGCCATTCAAGCCGAACTCACTTGTTGCCATCCCCCAGATTCGGTATTCCTGTTTTCATCGGTAAGTAACAATTGTCTTTGTGTCCATATTACCTTTTGCATATTTCTTTCATGTAATGAAAATAAGACAATGACATAGGAAAATGCATAGATTTTGAGTCTGAAGTTGTCTGAGGCTAGTCATCTGCTGGTGATATATTTCCTACTCTTGGTAAATGGCAGTGCGTTGTGGCCCTAGCTGCCTCACTATGAACGGTATAGAGTGAATGAGGCTTAGAAAAATGCTTTGAAATAAACAACTGTTGCTACGATCAGACACTACCAGACCTGACGCATGTAACTCAGAACTTTCTACGTAGACACGAACCTCTACAAATTATTGTTACAGTGCTGCGGACTATGAGTATGATCATGGTGCATCACCTCTATCTATCACCCCATTAACTTGGACTTGACCTACAGCTTGGACGTCCTGTTCTCAGAGTTCCCGTCCCCCCAGGAGGAAACACTGCTGCCGTCATCCACGTCACCGTCTGGAGGGGGTAGGTACAGACATCAGCAAGAGAAGAGTGGTAATATGAGGTCTCGCGAGAATTTGCGAGAATGAAGTTTCGCGAGAAATGGCGATAATGAAGTCTCGCGACAAATGAATGGTGAGAATGATGTCAGCCGTACATATAACAAAATACAACTGAACATTGAAATGCTTAAGTTTTTGGCATAACGTATCGCAAGCATTGCTCTGAAGTGCCTTGATATACGCAATCAGCGTAAATGTAGCCAAGCAGAAGATAGCATGCTTATATAGCAGCGAAATCAGGTTATAAACCTCAATTATCAGCCTTATCTGTCCTAAAGATAACAAAAGACCACAACTCTCAAAGCAAAAAAAATGTTATTGATAAAAAAACATGGTATCTCAAAGAAATACAAAGTAACATGGTTTGCAAAATAAACTAATGATTAATAGAAAATAAACCTTGGGCGGCAGATGTGAAACTCACTTTCTGAGTATCATGTATCCTCTGCCACCCTTGACATGTGTCATTCCTTAGCACTTTGTATCAGTAACAAAAACTTCAAACATATGGAAACATCAACATAGGAACACCGCACATGTACGCCACCAAGTTACCTTCGTTCTGATTGGAAGATATCCCATGCATCATGATCTTTTCCAAAAATGTAACCTATGAGAAAGGCAAGCACATTCACTTCAGGTCATGCAAATTTTCTTCTTGGTCGAATCGGAAATTGTGAAAAAGGCCCGAGAGTGAAAAATGAAATCCATACCATAACTCTCTTCTTTGCTTTCGTTTTCCTCATCTACTATGTTGTCGATGTTGGTAATTTCTAAATCATTCTGCCTTTCTGTAAGGATCAATAAAACGAATTATTGGCATGGGATTTACCACCAATCAGATCGGAAAGGTACTATCTACATCATGTAGTAGAAATGGTATCTCCCGTATATACAGTGTGAAGAAAAAAATGATATGGCTAACAATGGGTATGTGACTACACCATAAATAAAATGAACTTACAACGTAAAAATAATAGCCACAACACGTAGCACAAAATATTATTTTGTACACATGACATGGTGTTTCATTCACATAAGGTGAACATGCGCAACAAAATCATACATGAAACAAATTAGTTCATGTCACTGTACAGCGCTAGCATTGTAAGATACGCAGCAGTTTACACCACATTACGTCTCCTAGTACCTGATGTATTTCTCACGGCCTTCAGCAACTCCCAAAAATTCAGATTTTAGAAATGTTGATGACTACGAAAATTGTTTCAAGAAACAGTAAAAAAAATCACTGTGCTCCCAGTTCAAGTCTGTGTGATTAGAAATACATGGTATGAAACCGCTGCACTGAATTTGAGCGCGACCTACGGTCTGACGTAGGCGGCAACGTCAGCCAATTGAGAGCGAGATTGACGCGATCGCGTCGCTGATGGCCGTGGAGATACCTCGGGTTACGTACAGCCCTTCTACGGGCACTTAAAATTCTACCTCGCCGTCCGTCGTAGACGTACAGGTTACTCGCCCCCGCGTGGTTGCTGGTGTTGGACACGCTCCTCGACAGCTTCCCGTTGGCCGTCTTGGAGCGATAGAAGGCGTCTGCGGTCACCGCACTGTCCTGTAGGCTCGCGCCGCCGTACATACTGTCCAGGGAGCCCAGGGAGTCCGTTTCGACGTCTGAGCGCTGTATGGAGTTGGGCCTCTTGTTGATGTCGTAGCGCGAGGTGAAGTTGTGGCGGTACGTGGTGGCGAAGGCCTGCAGCTTCGGCACGAAGAGGAGGATGAGGATGAAGGTGGCGATAAGGAGAAGGCCGACGCACACGGCCGGGTCCCAGAACTCTCTGTCGGTCAGCATGAAGACGCAGGCCCAGGAGATCCACACGCACACGCACAGCCAGACCATCGCGATGATGTAGCGAGCCTCCCACATGTTCATGCTGTAATTCCTCGCCACGAAACTGTAGATAACAGTAAGGAACACCAGGAACATCACATACAGCAGGGAGAGCAGCAGACCGGCTCTACTGTACCCGCAGTAGATGGTGGAGCCGAGGGAGTAGGTAGCAGGCGGGCTCGCCAGCAGCCAGCAGACTCCGATACCGATTTGCGGCAGCATCAGGGCGCTGACGATGAAGACGTTGCTCCAGTTGCGGGTGAACTTGGCCTCCTCGCCGGGGAAGCCGGCCTTCTCCATCCGCGACATGCGCCAGATGCGGATGGTCTTGACCAGGATGGCGCCGTGCGTCAGCGCGTAGAAGAACCCCAGGCCGAAGCGACGCACGCCGCACACCACGTCATTCGGCGTCATGACGAACGGCAAGACCATGGCGTACATGGAGAACAGGCCGAAGAGTATGACATAGCCTAGAGAGGTGGAGGTAGTCACACCAGACAGAGAGGAGGAGCGGACTTTGACAAGGAAGTAGATCATCAACATGAGGGTTAAGAACATTCCCAAGGCCGCGAGCGTCATACAGATGATGGCCCAGACGTCTCTGGTCCGGACTTCCGTGGGGATGTCGATGCGCCTTTCCTGCGGAGGTGCAGGCAGGATGCCCTGTTGGACACACTCCGTACAGTCCCCGGTACACTGGGACGCCGGGTACTTCACGTTCTCTGTGCTGGTGCTCTGAGGACTTCGTTCAAGGAACAATCCGTCGCTCCACGTGCCGATCTGTGAGGGAAAGAAGAGGCAATCATATGCATTCAAAAGATACCTATAAAGAATACTTAGTAAAACACTCCGAGTTGGAACATGTAACAGTAGATTTACTGAAAGAACCCTATAGTTCTCATAGGGTTCTTCACATAATGTCAAGTTTCTGTGCACTCACCTTTACATATCCGTATCTGCTTGGAGGAGCCGTGATTTCATAGTTCAAAATCTCGTACCCAACGTCCCCGTCTCTTGTCGTTGTGAAACGGAAGCGACTTCCGGCGATACCGATCAAGTCCACGTCCCGAATGAAGCCGTACGCCCTCTCCGGCTTGTCGTTGGCGTTGCGAAAGTTGTCGCACACCTCCGGTTCTGTCGGGCAGTAGAACTTTCGCGTCGTGTCGAGACCGTGAGCCACCGCGTACACGGCTCTGATGACGTGAACTACCTCCGGATTGCGCGTCAAACTACTCTCAGTCAGCCTCTCGTTACCAGAGCACACGACCGGGTACTTAACAGGCTCGTTAGGAAGGTTACACTGAAAGTGTTCCTGCCAAAACTCCTTAAACCACGGGTTTCTTTCGTTACTCTCCGGAGTGAGTGTCTCGAGGTACCTGTCAAACTCTGCTACCTGCTCTGTTTCTACTTTAAGGAGGACGGCACCGTTGATCACGGAGTCTTGCGCGAGCGGAACGTCGACATCGCCGGCGACCTTACTGGTGACGATCCACGTGTAGAACGACCGGACGTTCACGCGCTGCGCGGCCAGAAGGATGTTCTCAGTCTCTGTCCTCTCCGCGAACAGTATGACAGTAGAGGCCTCTCCCTTTCTCCTCAGTTCCACAATAACATCATCGTAATTTGTGTGGGTGAAGTTGTTGCGGATTTCCTGCTGCACGGCCAGACAGACGCCTCGCGATTTGGCCTCCTCTTTAAAACGTTCGTAAAGCACCGTCCCGTACACTGTCGGCGTGTACAGCACCGACACGTAATTCCACTTGAAATACGCCGCCATGTCCATCAAGGCCTGCACCTGCCTCTCCAGGGCCGGAAGCGTCCTGAAGAGATACTCATAGTTCGTTCTCGTTGCCATGGGGATTTCCGGTGACGCGTAGGACACCTGCGCCATCTTGAACGTCTCGACGACCTCCATTGCGTTCAGCGACACGGCCCCTGCTGAGGCGCCTATGACGGCAAGAGTTGAAGCCGGCTCGACGAACGAGCTGGAATACTCAGTGACGTAGTACGTCTTCTCGCCGCTCAGGAAGTTGGCGATGTCCCGCGACGCCTTGCGGCCGCTCTTGCAGGTGTCCATGGCGAGCGTCCCGAGGCGCACGGACGGGAGGATGGACGGGTCGGCGTTGATGCGGTCCAGAGCGAACATGTAGGCCTCGAACAGCTGCATCTCCCACTGGTTGATGCTCCCACAGGAGAAGACATCGTGGCCTCTGTCGTGGATTGGGAACAGTCCTAGAAGGAAACATACATATGTTCTCAGCTCTAGTATGTCAATGCACTTTACCAATCGCAGTTTATATAGTTACCTCTGATATTTGACTATATCTGCGCAAGGATCTCTGCTTCACAATTATCAAACATTCTACCAACCCATAAATCACCATGCGTTTGGCATGGTTGCCTTAAACTAAATATTCTGGTGCCACATAATGGCATGCTTTTGATAAACAGGTGAGACACTTTCCATTGCACTTGTTTGCGTCCTTGTGGCGTTTTCGTTAATCCGGCGGGGGAAGCACGTGATAACTTTAAACTTCATCCACGTTACTGACCTGCCACGAAGATGTCCCCGTCCACCACGGCTGCGCTCCCTGCCGTTGCCGAGCCGTTGGTGCATCTGTTGGGGAAACTCTCGTCCAGACACTCGAAGCAGGTCCCGTTACAGGCCGAGCGGGGGATCTGGGTCAGCACCTGCCCCGGCCTGTTGTACACACGCACGTTGTTCACGTTCAGGTCCAGGGCTGCGCTGGTGTACGAACCGACCTGTACGGAGTTAGGAAAAACTCATCGAAACATTTGAACTCAAGTCTATCTTAAACCGTGCGGACTCAAATTGCAGTGAGAAGCAATTGCATTGTAATATATGATGCTGGTTCATTTTGCCAAGGGATCAATTTTCGTACCAAAACAGATATCGGTATTATTGTCCATAACAAATGAGGAAATGAGAGGCATTGAAAATAGTGGGCATGAGAAACAGGGTTGTAGTGTTCTACCAGACCACCTTACATGTACAAGATGAAGACCTCGTTTGAAAACATCGAGAAAATAATCACTGAAAGGATAGATTTAAGAATTAAGCATAGAGTGTGGCATAGATTACGTATGTTCTGGAATTACCTCGACAAAGCCGTACGATCCATCCACCCGGCGCTGGAAGTTCTGAACGTTGTACCTGACGTTGCCGTCTCCCATCTCCGTGAAGCCGAACTGCCTGGCGTTGGCGCCCGCAAACCTGATCTTGGTGAGCTCGTCTCGGAGCAGGTTTCCAACGTTCGACAGGTTGAACTGCGGACAGAGCGTCGACGCTCCACAGGTGCTGACCAGCAGGCTGTGCAGCCCGTTTGCGATGCCGTACACGGCGTCTATGACGTAGGGTACGTACAGGTGTTGGTCGAGGCCGTTGGCGCCAAAGTTGAACCGCTCTGTTCCGAGACAAGTCGAGTCGTACTTCCTGTCCTGCGTGTTGGAGAAGTCGCACTGGAAATGGTCGTTCCAGAACTCGTTGAACCAGGGGTTCCGGAAGTAGGAGCCCGGTTGGAGGTTTTCGAAATACGTTTGCCAGTCCGGGACTTGACTGTCTGGTATGGTAAGCGTAATCGCGCCTCTCGCTGCGACCTCAAATCCCCTGGCAACGGACAAGAGGTCGCCCCATTTCGTGCCAGTTACCAGAATAAACGCACCTGTTGCATCAGCCGATGCTGTGAGCGCTTCCAAAAGTCGCCTCGTGTCCTCCGCCGAGGTAAAGAGCACCAGCCCTACAGCTCCGGGGAGCTTGGTCTTCAGTGCCGTCACAATTACCGCGAGGTCCCCGGCCGTCGCGGTGTTCCCAATCGTCCGGGTCGTCGCTATGCAGACGCCGGCCTCCTTGGAGATTCTGGCGAACTCCTGAGACAGAGTCCTGCCGTACGTATTGTCCGACAGCACGACGGAAACGTACGACCAACCGAACCGCTGTACGATAGACAAAACAGCGTTGGCTTCTCTCAGGTCTGAAGGGACGGTGCGGAGGACGTACGGATACGTGTTCGTGTCTCCAAGCTCCACACCTGACGCGCCGTACGCAACGTTCACAACTTTGAATGGTGTAATCTGATTGGCCACCGCGGCAGTGACGACATCAGTCTCCTCTGCAACGTATCCAATGACGTTATTTGGACGCGCCGGCGGGTCGAGGCTGTTCTGGAAGGTCACTGACCGACTGTAGAAATTAGAGACGTCGCGCGATGCTCTCATGGAGCTCGAACAGGAGTCTATCGCAAACGGGCCGAGTTTGACGTTGGTCAACAGCGTTCCGTCATCGTTGACCCTGTCTATCGCAAAGAGGAAAGCTTCTAACATCTCGAACCCGACTTGGCTAATTTCACCGCACGTAAAGATGCCGTCTCCTGCCTCGTGCACAGGAAAGACGCCAGCTACGAGCACGTCTACGTCCTCAGTGACCAGTAGGAAATCTTCGACCACCCTCGCTGCTTCAGTCAAACATAGCTCGCAGTTTTCTATACACTTCGATGTTGGCGTCACCACATCACCATTGCTGTCGTACATCCTAACGTCCGGTCTTGAGAGAGTCAGGGTGTCGCCACTGTATGTCCCGACTTGTGTGTAGTGATAGTTGCTGCCGTCTCTCTGATAGTTCATGACGACGTAATTGGGTTGTCCGGCGCCCTGCTCGGTAAAAAGATGACTCAGCCCGACCTCTGTGAAACTGGCGTTCCTGACATACTGGACGGTGAGGGCTTGGCGGTCAGGATGGTTCAGCAGACCTTCGCAAAAGGTCGCCGCCCCGCACACGTCTGTTGCCAACCGTGTAAGTCCATGTGCGATGGAGAAGAGAGCCGTTGCCGTATAGGAGACGAACGTGTCGTGTACCCAGCTGTCCTCGAGTCTCTCTGCACCCGTACAGCTGGGTCTTGGTGGGTAACTCGGATCCTTCTCGGTCAGATAGCAGGCGAATGTCTCCTCCCAAAATTCATTAAACCAGGGGTTGCGGGTGTTGCTGCTGGGCCGAAGTGTCCTGAAGTACGTGTCGAAGCCTGCCAGGGCGTCTGATTTCAGCTCGAGGGTAAACGCTCCCCGAGACACAAAGCCAAGACCCTGTGCGACGTCTTGTCTGGCACCCCAAGTGGTGCCGCCAAACCAGACGAATTCGCCGGCTGTCGCAGCCCTGTCAGCCGCCTGGAGGAGAGAGCGCGTCGCGTCAGAATCAGCGAACACCGCCACGGCCGTGGCGCCTTTCTTTTCCCTCAGCTGTTCTACGATCTTGTCCATTGCATCATTGGTCCGAAAGTCTGATATCTGGAGAATAGTCGCAACACAGACGCCATTTTCCTGTGCAGTTTGTACAAACAAGTCCTTTCCGGATATTCCGTAAGCGTCTGACGTATACACGACAGACGCGTAGGTCCAGCCAAACTCCTTCATTAGAGCGACCATGACGACGGCCTGTTGTTCGTTGGACGGCACGGTCCTTAGCAGCGTCGGGAAGACGCCTCGGTCGTTGAAGATGCTGCCTGTTGAGCCGTAACTGACTTGAGTGATCTTCAAGGGGCTGAGAACTCCTGCCACCGCCTTGGTGATGTCGTCTTCCTTCCCTCCGACGTACGCCATGATGTTGGTGGCGTTCGCTGGGTCGCCGCTAGAACCGGCAGACAGCTCGTTGTTATGTAGCTTCAATACCTGCAAAGGGACCCAGAAGATAATGGTGTCAAGATGTGTACTCTAAAAGAACATCTTACAAGATTATGCCAATCATTTCAAAGTAACAAACAACTTTCATGTTCGAGTAATGACAGTCAGCTATGTTCCCATATCTTTTGTCTCTGGATTAATTCTAAAATGACGGTTGGTGAATAAAGTTAACAACGATGCCGTATTTTTAGTTCCCCTTTGTATACATCTGATGCACTGTTTCAGTGTGTGTACAAAGGGGAAACAGAACCCCGATGAATGACGTCGCATACCTGTGAGGCTGCTTTGTCGGAGCTGGAGCACGTGTCCAGGATGATCGTTCCCAGGGTAGCTGAGGCCAGCAGGTCGCTCCTCCTGTTGATGATGTCCAGGGTGTAGAGGAACGCCTCCAGGTACTGCACGGCGGTGGTGTCCCTCATGGCGCCGCACTCGAAACTCGTCTCCCCCACGGCGTGGATCGGGAACAGGACGGGCACCACCACCGTGTTGTCGTCCCCGCTGGCGAAGAAGTCGGGGATCCTCAGGGAGGTGCAGCCGGGGCAGATCTTGAAGTCGCGGCACTCCGAGCCGAAGTCGGACAGGAACCTCTCCGTGCCGTCCCGCTCGTACCACACGGCGCTGCTCAGTCTGTCCAGACGAAGGGACCCTCCTTCAAAGGAACCAACCTGGAGAAAACAAAAGTCTTTCAGACAGTACAAAAAATCCGGCCGTCTTGTAAATGTAGTGCAAATATATTGCAATTAGTGTATAGCTGTGCAGACTTGCTTGGAGCAAGGATACGGCTTGAAAAGAGGACAGCTATTTTATCATTTCAAATTAAGACCACACATGTACAGATCCATTCATACGCTTTTCTTGTGCAACTAGACACAAGCGCATCTGAAAACATATCCTTCTCGACAGAAGTATCAAAACTTACGTCTTTGTACTCGTACACCCCCGACCTGACCCTGACGTAGTTCCAGATGGTGAAGCCCATCGTCACGCTTCCGTCGTCGTTAAACTGGACGGGTTGTCCGTCCACACCGGTGAACTGCTGCTGCTTTGTCTTCTCCAGGAGGAGCTGCCTGTATATAAACACAACAAGGAAGACTTTGATACTAATATCCTCTCTGAACATTGGTGGGTCTGCCACGTACGGGTGTCCGACGAGGTATACCACTAGTAGTATATTTATCGTACCTCGAGTTAAAATTGAGCCGTTACACTGTGTTCGTTGTTGAATACCTAGCACCTAGCAGATAATACAGGAGAACATCATAAGATCTGCTGGGGGACGGATTAGCTTTTTGACATTTGCAAATGTACGATTCTCATACATACTTGAAATTCTCGTTGGCCTTGAGCTCCGAACAGACGCCCTGTGCCCCGCTGCAGTGCTCCCGGAGCAGCGCGTCCAGACCGTGAGCGAAGGCGTACACTGCGTTCATCACCTACAACAGGCAAGATAGACGGCGTCTATAAAGATGCACTCAAGTAACCAGCGAAAATTCCAATAGGCATTGTCTGATCACGGCCTTAAAGGAGTGGACCGGTCAAATAGCCAATTAGATGGCCAGGCGGGCAGAACATCGTCAGCAGTGGAAACCCTTTGCCAACATCATGCTGTCCCAACGGCTGACTAAGCTATGGGAGAGAGAGCTAGTGAGAGAGATTGTCTGACCCAATATGTCCCCAAAGAAGGGCAACACCTACCTGTGGCACAAAGCTGGCCTGTTGAAAGCTCTGTGTGAGGGAGTGGGAGGGGGAGCAGTTATCCGCGTACTTGGTCCCGCCGGGCAGGTTACAGCCGAAATAGTCCTCCCAGAACTCCTTGAACCAGGGGTTGTCGCTGTTACTGTCGGGCGTCAGGGCCTTGAAGTAATTCTGGAAGATAGCAAATTTAAATTGTCTTTGATAGCAAATTTAAGTTGCCTTCTTTGAAACCCTTAAATACGACTTGAGTGCAGAGAGGAACAAAGGAACGAAACACCACGTTTTCAGCACCAAGGACAGGCACGTATGCTTTTCCATGATTTTTGGGAGAACCCACACACATGGATGATTACAACAATATGCATATGGCAGTTTGATACTAGTACCTCAAACCCAGCGACAGGGATGTTCTCCAGAGTGATGGTGAGGGCTCCCCGCGCCGCGTTCTCCAGACCGTCCACCACGCTAGCCTGGCTCCCCCACGAGTCACTCCCGATCCAGATCAGCTCTCCTCGGGCGTTCAGCCGGGTAGCCGCCTGGAGGGGGAAGTAAAAGTGATATCGAACCAGTATGGTTTCGGGGGAAGTCCCCCTAGCCCTTTTTTTTCAGATTCAATTTACCAGGTGGAACATAGCACCTTCTGGTGTCTTTAGATGCGACATGAGCATGAGGAGAGAAACTCAAGCCTAAATTATCAGCATCAAATGAATCATCAATAACAAGAAATAACAAAATGGTTCATGCTTATTTTAATTAGTCGATACAAAACCAAAGTAACTTAAAGATATGATCCAGTCCCAGATGCCAAGACTACATACTTTCTTGGCTGAAAATGTTCCTGTTATTAGGATCAATAAACAGCCGAACGAACCTGAAGGAGGGCTCGTGCGTCCGAGTCCGTCACGAAGCTGACGACGGCCCTGGCTCGGGTGTTCTCGCGCAGCGCCGTGATGATGGCGTCCAGCTGTTCGTCCGTCGCGTCCCGCGGGACCACGTGGTTGAAGGAGACGCAGATGTCGTAGTTGTTCGCCGCCTGCCTGAAGGCCGCGATGCCCGAGCGGCCGTACACCGTGTCGGACGACACCGTCGCGACGTAGTTCCACCCGAAGTAGTCCACCAGAGCGGCAATGGCCTCCCCCTGCAGGTCGTCGGATGGAACCGTCCGCAGGAAGAACGGGTAGTCGTCTGCGTTGCTAAGCAACGTGCTGGTGGAGCCCCAGCTTATCTAATTGAAAAAAAAAAACAGAATCGATTAACCAAATCTGAATTTTCATTTGAAAAGATGATCAGTCAAAGAATTGTGGACAGTTATTCACTTACCTGTGGGATCCCCAAAGAAGTAAGCACGTCGGCCACATCCACAGTGACGTCACTGGAAAGTGCGCCCACGTATCCAATGATGTCATAGACGTCCACATCAGGTACTCCATACGTCACCACCCTGCTCTGTAGGTTGGACACGTCCTGACTGGCTTGGATCGGCGTGTAGCAGGTGTCTAACACCTGGGGAAGCGAAATAACAGATTAATGTCTAATTTCGTAAGTTTCAAAAGCCCCAAGAAGGAAAATTTCTCGTTTCCAGTTACATGCTTCTTTCAAGTATACTTTTTTTATTCTAGCTTCAATTTCTTGTTTGTTTCTATAGGCCAAATAGCTAACTCACCAGCGTGCCCAGACTGACTGACGGCAGGAGGTTGGCGTCTTGGTTGATCCGTCTGATGGCGTACAGAAAGGCCTCCAGGGTCTGGATCCCCTTCTCCCTGTTGATGTCGCCGCAGACGAACGTCGTGTCGCCCGCGGCGTGCACGGGGAAGAGCCCGTTGATGAGCACGTCGCCGCTCAGGTGAGCGTACTTCTTGTCCTCCTTCAGCGGGAGGCAGCGCGAGCAGTCCCGGGTGCAGGCGGAGTCCGGTATGCCCTCCGCGCCGGTCTGGTCGTACATGGTGATGTTCATCAGGGCCACGTCCAGCGTCTCGCCTTGGTACGTCCCGATCTTTGGAATGAAAGGAGAGGGATTGATTGATAACATTTTCTTAGCGACGATACGTGGCTGTATATTATGAGTATTTTCACCATAAAAAGCATGACTTATAATAATTGTTTATTGATTGATCGATGGGTACAATCTCTAGCATGTGGCAGCGCAACTAAAAAAGTAGCGCTGAATTGTATGCTAGTGTTTAAAAACAGAGAAACAAATATTGCACAGTTAACAAATAGACAGTTAACTTGGTAATGCCCATACCTTTCAAAAGAAGAAAACTTCGATATATGATTTTTGATGTTCAGTCTTGGTCTACAGTGTTGAACTACTAACAGTTCACAGGCGCTGTTTCTGCTACCAAGTCAGAACAGAAGTCTCCTACAGGTGCACATCATAGCAGTCTGACTTTGAGTTACACTAGTGTTTTGGTGCTTGGTTTTTAATACGGAGAGAAATAGACCAGAAATGACCTACCCTGTTGAAAGTGTCGCCCTCGCCGTCGTTGTCCGTGTCCGCGTAGTTGAAGAGATCGTACGCCGCCTCCACGTTCCCTGTCTCGTCAAACCGAACCGTGTTGCCGCCAAGTCCTGTGAAGTACACGTCCTGGAGGTACCGGAAAAACTCCTCCTGGTGGAGAAAATAAAAGCAAATTGAAATTCGTTCTCTAAGATTTTCTTCTGCGATCCCCCAAGCGTGGCATTAGATTCTCAGTTTTTTTTCTTCAAATGGAATCAGATATGACGCAAAGGTAAAACTGTTTTCAATATAACTGTTTTCAATATAGAAAGCTAAATATTATTGTCGGACTCTCATCGGTCCCCAAGTTTAGGTACGTGAAAGTCCAAGTAGTCAGCCAATATTTCATCACTTACAGCTATACAGGGACGTCTCCATACGTCCAGCGATCAACGGAGGTAGAATCACCAGTAATAGTGTCCTACAGCTGACCACGTGGATAGCTGAGTACCCGTTTAGAAAGAAGAACCCACCTGCGTCATCTCGAGCAGCTCGTCGCACAGCCCTGACGGGTTCGGCCCGCACAGGTCGGTCTGTGCCGCTCTCAGGGCGTGCGCGAAGGCGTAAACAGCGTCGATGGTCTTACTGGCCACGAACGTCTGGTTAAAGCCGCTCAACATTACCAGCGAGTCGCACTCAGGCAGGTTGGCAAACCTAGATACAGTTAAAAACAGTAACAGTCATACAGAATCACACCACACACTGGAACTGTCTGGGCGTCTTGGCTTCAGATGAAATACGCCAGTATTGGAAGAGACAGTAAAATGATTTTTGTCAACAATATGTACATAAAAAGGCATTGAAATGTGTGTATAATATGAAGACATGAGCAAGCTCGACCTACACTATAACATGGTGCCACAGCTATTCTAACTTTTAAAGGAAGTCGTACAAATTTTTTTATGAACAGGACGTCCTGACTGACTGAACTATATAATAATAGGTGCGTGAGTATGATGAAATATTCCTAACAATGCTAATGCAGCTGGAATTAGCGAACGAGCACCCCACACACCTGACATATTTCCTTGCCGTGTAGTCGAAGGACCTGTGGTTGATCTTACACTGGTTCAATTCCATGTAGTACTCAGGGAACCAGGGGTTGATGCCTCTGTACAGCAAACGGGAAAATAGGTTTAGACCAACAATATCCTGCCCGATGTCACCGATCTTATGCCCTTGGGAAAGGCACTTTACACGACTTTCCTCACTTCACTCAGGTGTAAATGAGTACCTAGCTTCCACTAGGGACGTCCCTCGGATAGGACGTTAAATGGAGGTCCCGTACGCGTGTTTGGGAGAGCCACACCCCACGCACGTTAAAGAACCCACCGCACTTATCGAAAAGAGTAGGAGACCTTCCCGGTGTGAATGGTTCAAACCTTACAGTCTGGTCTCGGGGTTGACATCTTTGAAGAGGTGATAGTCACCTGCTATGTCAATCCTTCCACAAATGTGGTAAATCGTCATAAAATAAAATAGAATAAAATATTATGTTCAAACTCTCTAACGTTGCAGCTTTCTTGTAGCATTACCACGGTTCAATGATAACTTACTTGTAACTTGGTAACCTACTTTAAAAAGATCTGGTTCTTCTATAACAATAAAAAGTGACTGCAAACTAAGATATATATTTTGGTGGCATAGGTCTATACAATACATGTCTTGCTACTGCAATGTTTTATGACTTGGTCACAACACTACTAGCAATAGTCGTATGTGCCCAATGTATTGTCAATGTCCAAGGGTAAAGTATTAACTGTTATATTCCACTAATTTGACCCAAGTGTTAGGATGCTGACCTGCGGTTGACCGCGTGCTGAGACTCCATGTGCTGTTGGAACTCCTGGATGACGGAGAAGGCCGGCCTGAAGGTGACCATGCCGCGCGCGTGAGACCCGTAATCCTGCACCGCCGTCTGGTCTGGCCCCACGCCTTCAGACACGATCCACGTCAGCACCTGGGGAATGGGAATGCGGATAGAGTACAAGTAGTTATCTGTGTTGACCCAGTGTTGACGTCACACTTCAAAGAAGCCACGTGACAAGCTTCACTGGGTCAGTCTACTGAGGAAGACCAGAGTGACTGGTCGAAAGCTCCAGGTGAGAGAATTTTTTGTGTTGGACCAAAAGTTTTAACTTAAAACATGTAACTACCAACACAGATGAACTTTCATGATAGTTGTTATCTGTGTTTGCATTTGGCAATGATTCAAGTCATTACTTGAGCCCTAGCGAGTAAGACTCAGCTGGTGACATATTCAAACACAATTCAGGCGCAAATGTATCTTAATAATATCTTCTGCCAGGTTGATTTTTATAATAAAATTGAGGTTGAAATTAAAATTGAGACGGGATACATAACATAGGAATAAGTAAATTAGAATCTAAGATACAAACAGAAGCTAATACAGTATATTTGTTTACTTTACAATATGTGTAGGATTTAGTGCATGGGTCATAACGTATTAGATATAGTGTGAGAAGTCGTTATGGACAGTAAGAGTTCTACAGGGCAAAAAAATGTAGTAAACGATGTGTGCATGCGAGAGTTAACGTACTGAGCTGAAGCATTGCGTCACTACCAATAGTACGTTAACAGATAACAGATTGTTTTCTTAGGAAACTAAAGTAGCACCTTAGCCCGGTCCCCCTCCGACACGGCCACGTCCATGATCCGCTGGAAGTTGAAGTCGTGCAGGAAGGCGACCACGCCGACAGCCCCGTCCCCGGCCTTGGCGATCAACTCGTTCAGGATTGGGCCGAAGTACGCCGCCCCGCTCGCCGTGTTGGACACTTCTTTCGAGACCGCCACGCAGATCCCGGCTTCCTGTTTAATTTGCAAAGAAACGTCGTGACGTTCAGCCTTCCTTCTCATAGAAACGTTTCCACCCATTAGGTATGGTATGTCTTTTTAGGTATTCTGATTACTGTTTCTAATGAAAACGACATTTTTGTGAAGTTAAAAAACTAAAAACGGAGTTGAATACAGAAAGGTGTGCAACACTGTGATTTCAGCACCAAGGACAGGCATGTAGGACTTCTCAAGGTTATCACTTGTCATTATACAACACTGGTCTATTTCAATGGCTTTTTACCATATCATACTAATCTTAATCACACAAAGACACACCGATCTCAATGTATAGCCTGAAATAAAAACTAAGCGGTACCTTAGCTGCACGGGTGAACTCGGCAATGCCCATCCGCCCGTAGCTGTCAGCTGACGCCACAGTTGACACGTACGTCCAGCCGAGAACCACCAGCAATTCTACCATAGCCTGGAATGCCGAACAATTAATTATTCATATCTATACCAAGTAGTTATATTTCTGTTGGGTAATAGTTAGGTTTACCGAAGGAAAATTATTATATTGTTTTTGCTCCATTTCTTCTTCCTCTTTTGTTGACGTCTGTCACCATAGTAACTGGTGTTGGGTTACATCATGTTGCAATTTCAGAGAAGGCATTTAGGCTCCTGTCACCATAGATATACATGTATGTGAATGTGTTTGAGTAAGAATTAACAGAGCAGACCATATCCGAAGGTAAACATTATGCGTTTGCTTTGCAAATGTTACCTTTCTAGTTTAATAGTTGTTCAAGTGCTGTGTAAATCGTAACCTGGCCTTTTGTTACTGCTATGTTAACGCAAAGCTTTCCTACAGAATATACATGACTGATGCTATTGCAATGTAGTATTTCTAAAACGTAATCTACCCGGTTGTATCCGTATCTTTCTTGTTAATGAAATCCAGTGTAAACACTTGGTTTTTAGAGTCTTATTTCCAGTTTCCCACCTAGAAAAAGTTGTATTGCACTCCATAATGACGAAATTCGATTGATTTGCAGCTAACTATGCATGTTTCAGACATTTTGCTCCCAAACGTAGTTACTGAAGCTTACCTGTGCCTGACTCTTGTCCGAAGAGGCTGTTCTCATGAAGTAGGGGAACCTCTCCTTGTCGTCCAGCTCTATGCTGGTGGCGGTGGGGCTGATGACGGGGACCTGGACCGGGGTGAAAATCTCGGACGCCGAGATGGCCGACTGGCTCAGACTCGGTCCCACAAGACCTACATGCACAGGACGAAAAATATCTTATTCTAGTTGTTTGTTTATTAGACTACACAGATCTAAAAACAAAAATCTGTAAGGAGCCCGCTACATAAACGATATAGCTCCTCTATATTGCTGGCTCCTTAGGAAATATACAATGTATCAAACGTGCATTGAACAACCGGAAAAGGGGGTAGAATAGTGTTGTTTACGTGCAATATGGTAATTTTAGAATACTGCTGATGTTTTTCACAGGGGCTTCCTTGATGTATTAAACGACATCTTTCTAGGTACGTCTTTGAAACGGCGTGATCGCTTAACTATGTCTGAACCACATTTGATGGAACGTACCGACGAACACCCGCTCTCTAGCCGGACACGTGGTCGCGTCGTAGCCGAAGTTGATGTTCTCGGGCTCGGCGAAGCCCACGAGCTCCAGGGTGGCTTTGGCCGCCTCGTCTTCTCTCCCACACGTGTCGTAGATCTGGACGTCTGAGGGAAGGAAAACGTGCAAGTATGTTTACTTTTTCTGGTATCATATTTGCTCTACAGCCAAGCCCCACTAGGAAGGACATGTAGCGAGGCTACAGGACAACAGGTGGACAATAAGAGTTACTGAGTTGACACAAAGAGAGTGAAGGCAACGCAGTAAAAGGGCGGCCCTGTATGAGATGGAGGGACAACCTAGTTCAGCACCTGGGACCTACATCGCCAAGAACTGGAAGACTGAGAAAAGACTGGAGCCAGTCAAGGGAGGGGTTCCTCAGTGGGAGTGAAGAAACCTTGAAATGATGATGCTATTTTGTGCTATTTTGTCTAGAACGACTTTTCCTGGAGGTATTTTGGACATAGAAATTGTTGTTTTGTTGCTGTTTTAATTCGACTTAGTACTGCTTCTCACCAAAAGTTACACCCTCCACCAAATTTTGATTGGAACGCGACAGTTTATCCACGGCGAACAGCATGGCCTCCACGGCCTCGCCGGTCTTCAGGGAGATGTCGCCGCACTTCTCGTCCCCGGTCCCCGGGTCGTGCACGCGGAACAGCCCGCCCAGCCTGGCCGTGGTCCCCGCCGACTCCGCGAACACCGCCGTGCAGTCCTGCGCCGCCGCGGTCGCCAGAAGAGTCAGCAGCACGGCCAGCGGCCCTCCGTACCTCATCTGGAGCAAATTATTGAAAAATATGTCATATAAAAAACGTGGTGTAATGGAAAGGCAAGGTATAAAGGTTTTCAGTTTAGTTTAATTTAGTTTCTTGTGTTTATCGACTTCGTTCATTTTACACATAGCAGCGTCATCTGCATGGGAAGACACTTGCTGACATATTTGATGATGAAACAAAATACCTGTATGTACCAAGAGTCAGACAATTTGTATATGATTTTAGATACTAATTCGTCAATGTATCGCATGTAAATGTTTTGTTATTGGCAGTGTTGTATTTTTTCATTGTATTAAAGGTAAGGTAAAGAAATAAAAGATCTCATCTTAAACAAATAACAAAATATTGTCATTCTTTATCTTTCCTGTAACATATTTTTCAAACTACAAAAGATCGCAGCCCTCTCCTGTTATTTTTATTTTGAACGTTAGGTGTCCATAAGGCCACGTGATCTAGTTTGGTCATTTCAGGTCAGAATTGCAATAGGACCTTCGCCATTTTTTCTTCTGAAACAAAGCTCTGTACATGTACTATACCAACACAGATGAACACAGCATACAGTATATATAATATCTGGTTATTCTGGTATATTCAGTTTTGATGATTCAGACATATTGAGTCGCTTAGTAGTCATCATGAGCAATGCTCCTCTTCTTTTGTTCACTGAATAGGAAGGGCGCGTCCACAAAACAACAAAATCCACCTAAGGACAGCTGTAACAAAGGAAACGCGATTTATTATTCATGAATATCGTCAGACATTCAAAACGGGACGTTCCACACAGTTTCTTGTCGCTAATGAACTAAATATTTTCGTTCAAGGATAGAATGACGGGTGTAGGGAGGTTTAAGTTCTGTTACCCTCTAACTACGTCATACGTTACTGGTACCGGAAAGTAGACCAACCATGTGACTAAATAATATTAATGGTAAACCCTTGGGCAACGACATTAATGGCAATAATTTACGTCCTTTTGTGTATCCAACCACCGCGCGAACGACGAATTGATAACGCGTTTAATTATTGATTGGTATTTTGAACATACGTCAAAATGTCTTTTAAGCGAAAGGTAGAAATGTTTTGTGCGGAACATCACATGCATATGGTAGTAAGCTTCAAAGAAACGTGTCGGAAGAGAAGACTAATGTTAGTCTTGTAGTACATTACAGAAGATATTCCTATGACCTCGGCTTCAGGTATGCTTGATTTAGTTGCAAGTCCAGTCCTACCATGAAATATACAGGAGGTTTCATTAGATGTGACTTCCTTTGACATCATCAATATATAGGCCTTCAGTTGCCAAGTCTTGGGTCTTTTGAACTGATATAAAGACCCAACGTTCCATCAAGAAGACCTTTTTACCTTCCTTTGCAACGTCAAATGTTAAGATCTACTATGCACTCACACCACCTAGTGCTGTACCTTGTTATCTTCAATCCTAGTGGTTAGAAATGAATAAAAGTCGGCCAGGTGTGTATTTGAAAACTGGATCTTGGATACAAAACGACTAAAGCTGTCCTTCATCGCGAACAATAGACTGCGACACCGTTGAATTATTAATGTCTGTATGACAGTATAGGAATCCTCAGGTGAGACCTTTTCTATTCCGTACCATAATTTTAGGTCAACCATGTCAACAATAAACGTTGTCATTTTATGTATTTTAAGTCCTAGAAGGAGCAAAACGACAGCAATGTGTTACCTTGAAGTTCAAAAACTTGCGTGGAGTCGTAGACTTAGATATGATCCTCGTCTCTTCTTAGACTGATGCAAATTGGAACTGAAGGTCGCGTTATGATCAACTGTGTCTGTGTCCTCACCCTCCGTCAGGACAGAAAGCAGGCAAAATCTTCAAATAAAAAAAAGATATTGTTAGTTTGTCTGTGTGTGACAAGCTTTTCCGCCCTGCCAATTGATAGTGACACAACAATAATGATAATTGCACTTCCCCAGGGACAGTTTATATCAAGTGCTTATATTATATTAGCGTAGCAACCGCAGAAGATATTGTACCGTTTTTGGAGCGATTCTCCATGAAAACCAAGAGCATGCAATGTGTACACAATCTAATGCCATGACACACCAACACTATCTTTCGATAAGAATTGTTGACTGCACTTACCTGAGACCAGAAGAACTGCTCGCGTAAACAGACCAATGTATAAAATGTACAGGTATGCACGAGATACTGCCGTTGCACAACGATCGCAGCACCTCAAAACATTACGTAACGTTTAAGGCAAATCTCATAATAAACAGCAAAATTAAGAAATCTGCCTGAAGCTTCTTCTGACTGGAATATTAGGGAGAGTTCTTGGCTAGTAAATACTCTGGTAAATATTCTGTCCCTTGACGTGACGATTTGCCCACTGCGCAGTCGTCTGGGGATTGGGAAGTCGTCAGGGTGGGGTTGGAGACGGTCGACTCACGCAGGTCACGGCATGTCGTGCGTTACCATGGCGACAAACGCGCAAACGGCTGCCATGACGCCTTATAGTGACAATGTGTCATATCTTTGCAGCCTTGTTTTTTTATTCGTAATCCTGCACTTAACCTTTATTCATTCTGATTATTCTGCACATCGCGCTTGTGGACGGGTTATTTTGTTAACGATATGGCTGATAGTTTGAAGGTGGACTTAGGTGGGGCATTGAATGACGTCATAGATGGTCATTATGTTGCATTAGCAAGGCATAGGTAATTGTTGTTTGCAGTGTTCACATCACATAGCAACGTTTATATTTCTTGATATTAATCTTGATACACAAGAATGAATGAGTCCTGTTGATGTGCATTAAAAAAAACTGCAAATGTGGAACATCCAGCAAGGTGAAGGTCAGCTGTGGGTGTATTCCTGAGGGAATATTCATAAATATCTGTACTCATAAGCAAGGATGTGGTATTGGTCATGGTTGAGGTCTTTACCATTTGATCAGTATGTGTATTTCATTGCCAAAATGGCTACCAACTTACAATCATTTCATAACCTACATGTAGAGGTATGCACAATACACAGATGCACATGGTCAAATCTGAAGTTAAACCACTGCGGAACAAGTTTATTATCCACAGACTCAGCATCTGTACGTAATGACTTCATTCTGTTCTAAACAGACATAAGTGGTGCTAACAGACTATACTGTATACTATTCTCTCTGAATGGATTTCCTCCCTTCTTACAAAAGTCTACTTACGTTAATATAATTTCTGTATGTGTGAATTGAGGGACACCTGTGCTTAAACCCTTCAGTAACACAGTCAATACTTCACCAGAAGTAAGTGTACATATTTAGCCCAATACAGTAAAAAGACACGTGACTACAGCTTGCAATTCTTAAGTCCTAGAAGACTGCTGCTGTGTGTTTTTTATTCTGTTAGTGTTAGTCTCAAGCCAAATGACTTTAATGGATATAGATATGACTTTCAAGATTTTGTAGTCACTTGGACTACATATCAACAATATTTTAGTCGTAGGAAAACAACTTGACAAATTAGTGATTTTTGCCTTCATTACCTTCTTTGCAATGTCTTTTACTTTCTATGCAATAGTTGCATATAATCTTTCTCAGAATGTGAAAAAAAACATTGACATGGTTCATATGTACACTGCGACTACAGAAATCATCAGATCACTACCACTGTCACTCAATATCATGCTAATTTCCTGTGAACTTCTCTTCTGGTTTAGGAGGTGGCAGGAGTTTGGTGACGACGCCGGTGCCGATGGTGTGGTTCCCGTCACGTAACGTGAATCTCTGTCCCGGCTCCATCACCATGGGGGTTCTCATGATCAGGGACAGGCTCGTGTCCTCACCGGGCATCACCATTTCCTAGGGGAAAAGCAACAATGACAATGAACTTTATTGCATATTCACGCCCTACATGGGCCAAATGCACTAAGTTAGATACATGTAACTCAGGTATAAGGGTAGGAGGAACAAGTGCTACATTGCTGTGTTACGTCTATATCTACAGGATCTCTTCTCTCTTTTTGAAAGATATATGAACAAATTTACATACTGTAGTGCTTGGATGTCATAAAGAATTTGTGATCGACATGTGACATCTAGATCTTGTGTCTGCTCAACTTACCACTTGGCCCTGTGACTAAATACTGCAACGTTTTTTAGTAGCAACTAAACAGGACTCAAACACTTTACATTGTGAAAAAGACTGAAAGAAAACCTAGGCAATCTATCCTTACCTTTCCCTCTGGCAGTGAGACTCGACATGCCATGTTCCATGTGTGGGAGAACATGACAGGGGTGTAAGTGTTGGTGAACGGGGTGCGACGACCACCTTCCTCTTTAGTCAGGATGTAAACCTACAGGGTAGTTAGAAATCATGAGAAAACAACAGTGTTGAGAGGTCTTTGGAAGGCCTTGGATGAAGCAGCAAAATCGCTGAGATCACAGAGTGCTGACAGCAAGACTTTTGAGAGGTCTGTCAAATCTATGGTCTCTAAAAAGTCTTGCCTTTGTAAAATCCCCACCTTTGCAAGCACTATATTTGCAACAATACTTTCCCAGTACCATACATAAAGACTGGTACAATGGCAAAGTGTGTAAAGCCTTGTAGTTAAACTTAAAACCTTAGTTCCATACCTGTGCCTGGACCTTCTCCTGTGGAGCGACAGAGCCAGGTTTACACAGCATGGTTCCCCTCCTCACATCTCCCTTCTTCACTCCCCTCACCAGGGCACCCAGACTGTCTCCTGCCTCTGCTCTGTCCAACTGCTGGTGGAACATCTCAATACCTGCAGAGAGGGGAGCATGTTTCAAAATGTTTTAAACATTTGGGAATGAATGGGAGGTTGGGTTTTGGTTGGCTAATGGTTAGGAGTAAGTCAGCAGTGGTCAAAGCATGGCTGGTGGTCAAATTTACTATATCTGCATAGCTGGTATAATGGCCCTTCCCTTTAACACACCAGCTGAATTTAACCATACTGTGAAATTTAAAGGGTTTATATTTTAAGTTTCTAAGTGGTTCTAAAGTTGAACTGTGAGAAGTGTACTTAGTAAGTGTAAGACCTCACCTGTGATGACAGTCTTCACGTTGACGCCGTATCCGATGATAAGTGCTGGGTCTCCCTTGTTGATAGTCCCACGGATCAGGGTACCGGTAACTACAGTGCCACGGCCTGGAGACAAACAAGTAATGTTATCAAATCAACTTCAAACTTCTGCAGCAGTAACATAGAAAGCCACTAGGGGCTCTATAATCCCACGTCCTTCATTTTGGCAACACCTACTCATATACCAACTACCATAAAGATCCATATGCTGACTACAAACAGAGTCAAACAGAAAGCATAACCTTTTTGGCAATGGTAATGATTTTTCTACAGTCAAGGTTTCCTTAACACTGTCTTTTTCTTTTAAGTGTTTCAAAATACGGACGTGAATAATTTCATTAGATTCCCAACCAGTGGGTTTTCACATCCAATGTTTTGGTGACTATCTGGTACCTTCTTTTGGGCAACAACTAGTTCTGATTTGTACTTCAGCTAGGTGTTGCTGCTGCAATATTACAAATGCAGAATTATTTAATACAAATGTTTTTTATTAGTTAAATATGTACCTGAGATGGAGTGGACCATCTCCACCGGCATCATGAAGGGCTTGTCCAGTTCGCGCTGGGGGAGGGGCAGGTAGTTGTCAACTGCCTCCAACAGCTTATTGATGGATGCCTCTCCAAGCTCTGAGTCCTTACCCTGTATACACAAATAACAAAAGAATGAGAGATGGAAGACTTTGCAACCTTACCTATACATGTATATTGGAAATTGCAGAAACACACACAAAGATACAGACACAAATGCAAGACAAACCCAATACTTCACTCCCATGGGATTCACAGTAGAACAAAAGAGAAAAAAAATCCATGTACAGCTACATTTGTATATAACCCCATGCCAGTACATGGACCAGTGCAGGTTAGGTGCAGGTAAGTATCAGACATATCTGCATAGCTACAATTTAACCTGCACTAGCCTGCATATACAATAATACAGGTGGTATATTTTGAGCTGATAAAATCATTCATGGAAGACATTTTCTCACCTCCAGAGCGTAGAGCGCGGAACCGACGATGAGTGGTACGTCGTCGCCAGGGTATCCGAACTCCGTGAGCAGCTCTCTCATCTCCATCTCCACCAGCTCCAGGGTATCACTGTCCACTACGTCTGCCTTGTTCACATACACCACGATGTGGGAGATACCAATCTGGGGAGGGGGGGTAAAATTTTCTTAGTATGAATGAAACTTTTGATTCATTGGTAGATGTTTAGGTTGACATCCCTTTCAGAGTTACAATTCCATGTACATACCTGGCATTAGTCAGTCAATGTGGTAGAGTATTTGTATCTACGTATGCCAGGTATACAGACTAGGTGTATAGTCAGGTATAGATTAGGTACACATACTATACCATACTGACTGATTGATGGACTCTAGCATGCGAAGGGTCAAAATCAATATGATCCTTGTGCATGTTGCAGTAACTAATTTACAGAACTGTTGTGTTATGAGAAAGTTTACCACTTATACAGTACTAGCACACACAGACCTGTTTGGCCAGTAGTAGATGTTCCCTGGTCTGAGGCATGCACCCGTCTGTAGCTGCCACCACCAGGATGGCTCCGTCCATCTGTGCTGTACCCGTGATCATGTTCTGTAACACGAAGTATGGAAAGTTACAAAACTGACTTTCTGGAAAGGCAATGAACTGTACATGATAAAACCTTGTACTGTGGACCTATGCTGTGAAACTGCTGAGAGACAGAACCTAAAAAGGGGCAGTAGAAGCCACCTATTTGCATCATCGATTCGTTAGAGGGTTTTAGCCAAATAACCCAAGGAACACAAGCAGCTGCAGCACTGATGGTGGAAAGTATGTAGGGGCATGGGTGCAATGCATGGTTGACTGATTATTTTGTCTTTATCAGTTTATCAATTTCGTTACACTTTCTCTATGCACTCTCACGTTTATGAAAAGCATACATATTATTACATTGCACTTTTATTAGGCCTTACAAGAACAGGAAAGACCAGTGCCTACCTTGATATAATCTGCGTGCCCTGGACAGTCCACATGTCCGTAGTGCCTGTTCTCTGTGGTGTACTCCACGTGGGTCTGGTTAATGGTGATGCCGCGTGCCTTCTCCTCAGGAGCACGGTCAATCTCATCGTACTTCCTGTACTCCGCTCCTCCCTGGGCAGCAAGCACTGTAACAGTGGAGACGGGGAAAAATTATGATACGAGTCTTTTTTCTCCTTTACACATTACTAAACATGGAACCATTCTCAAAATACAGAAATTGACTTGCCATGTCAATACCTTGCCTTACCTTCAGACAAACTGACATAAAAAGCAAATGGATTAAACAAAACATGAAAAATAATAATCACCAGGGTGTTTTAGGTTGCCCTCTCACACTCAACAGTTACTCAATTATACTTGGTTTCTTAACCACCTGACAATGTTGTAAGTTTGTTGCCTAGTGTACATCTCAGTAGGGTACAAGGAATATAAAATATATTCTGCTTGTCTGTGTGACTGTGTCCCTCGTACCTTTAGTAATGGCTGCAGTCAGCGTGGTTTTGCCGTGATCTACGTGGCCAATGGTTCCGATGTTGATGTGCGGCTTGTCTCGGACAAACTTCTTGGGCTCCGCAGCCATTGTTCTGGCCGACAGCGGGGACAGTCTGGTCGGCAGAAGCCATGCCTGAAACAGACACAAGTGGAAAAATTTCTCAATAACACTGTTACTCCTTTTGGCATTATATATTCATATATATATCTTTAATTTCTTTCCTGTAAAATTGTAAAATATTAATTTACAGCATCAACTTAACTTGTTCAAGGGGGAAATAAAGAATGATGGTATTATACCATGGACATTGGACAATATATTGGGGTGTCCTTTAATGTATATACAGTATTCTGACGAACATACTAGGAAATAGTTTTAAATCAAATTATGAAAATTGAAAACATATTTGATTGCTTGTCATATAATTATAATATAAACATAAGTTAGTGACTTACTGTTGCACGTTCTGTACAAAGTCTGGATATGGAACTTTTCAGAGCTGAAAAAGAGGAAAATGCATAAAATGTTAGGACCTCGAACGGGACAATTAAGTTTGCATTTGAAAAGGTTATTAATTACAAATCACAGTGACAACTCATGATTTTTGCAAAGGTCAAGCCTGATCTGGTAGTTTTGACGTTCCAGAAAATACGTACTTCTTTGCCTCCAACTTTTTAACACATAGAAAATTTGCAATAAGTTAACATTTTCTTCTGTTAAGGAACTTAAACAATCTATTGACAACAACTGGTATTTTATAACATCATGACACAAATTTTGCAAGCATGGCCTAGGCCGCGCCTTGCAAAATTTTGACCACGTGAGGTTGGAAAACACTGGCTTTGTCTTAAAAATTAACGTTGCATCTGTTCTGACACTTGATGTTATACATCGCGTATAGTTTCTACATCCTTCGGTGACAGTGTGGGATAAAATACTGCGTGAAATACGGAGAAAATCACCTGGATTGCCGCAAACCAACTTCCCAAACGTGACGAGACCCGCCATCTTTTCCCGATTTTACACCAGACCGCATGCGCTGTAGGCTTACCGGAAGTGCAGGCGGGGTCACTAGAGGTGACCGGAAAACATCGTGGAAAGGTACAAATGTTTGGATAGGGAAAAAAATTAATTGATGAGTAATGTAAATCACACAAAAATCATAATTATCATACTATTTAATTAGAATTATTTACAAATTATATATTAGTGTTGTACAATGTCTTTTGAACTTTTTAAGACTGTTAAAAATAAACAGAAAAGCACCCATGGTAGGTCTTTACTGCTGTCATCCCCATAAAATAGTGTATTCGTCCACTCCAAATATCGTCCTTCAAACCAAAGTTGGGCACAGGAAAACAGCTGAATCTCGAACTTTTATTCCATATTGGTGAGTTCATTTTTAAACCTGACATTCATGAAGAAAGACAGGGTTATCTGACTGACGGACTGTACGTGGAATTCTTTTGACTGCTGTCTGACATTACTTTTTAAATCTTGCGTAACAGTGGGGAGGGGGGCATGCATGTTCACCCCGATTTTGTGTCAAAATTTGGGTCAATTGTTGGCAGCCCTAGCCCCTTGCAGCCTTTATAATCATATATATTGCCACACACATATGGTTGAAATATACAGACCCATCCTATCAAATATGTTCTGTTCTTGTCAATTTATTAGCGTCTTTGAAGTGTGTATACTGTGTAGCTCCCTGTAGCAGACGACGTTTTGTTGCATAAACCGTTACATCATCGATGGGGCAGGCAGTATCTATGACATTTTGGCCTTCAGTTTCATAACCTGCAGTTTTGTAACACAAGCAGCATAGCTTAAAAGCTTTCCAGTTCAAAAATATTCTCACTCTCCTTCCAGACTACACTGCTGCTGCTACCCAAAGGCTTTGCCTGGCCTGGCCTTGGAGGATTATAAATGAACCAGTAGGCACACTGACACACCCAGAGCACAATGGCGGGCATAGGGATTGTGGTTCTCCGGCGAGCCATGAGCACGGAGTCCAAGCGGATGGTGGACCGGTTCATCCGTGTGGACCACGCCGGGGAGGTGGGGGCCAACTACATCTACCGTGGGCAGATGGCAGTACTGGGCAACACAGAGGTGGGACATTGTTACCTTAGCCAGGTATCCAGTCTATCGTGGTTGGGACAGGCTGTCTTGGGGGCTCAAAAAAACCTACCGGGGAACCTAGTTCAGGCGGGTGGGGAAGAGCTTCAAAATCCACCCCATTCATGATAGACTGGATACCAAGTTATGTTATCTTTACTTTAGCCTCTACCAGGCTTCAAAGGGGGCTGAAAAGAGTAGAAATTCGCCAAATAGACAGATAACATTTCATGGGAGTTGGTCCGCTAAAGGATAATACAGTTAGCTGCTCCAGCTACTCTTTCCAGCTACCGGGCTTCAAAGGTGGCTGGAAAACCAGATAACATGCCAGGGGAGTTGGTTCACTATTTAGAAGTACAGCAAACTGTACTTCTTTAGCAGACCATGTTGTCTGTTGATTGGGCCTCTTTCCAGCAACTTCACTGGCATGTTATCTGTCGATTTGGCCAGTTGGTCTATTTCCAGCCACTTCTGAAGCCTGGTAGAGGTTATTGTTACCTCCATTAAAACATTAGCCAGGAGTCCATCCTTGTTCAATAGCTTTAGTCCCCTTCCCAAGATTCACTACCCCATTCTTAGTGGCCTGCTAATAAAAAGGAGTACAATTGGAGCAGCTAGCCTCCCTGCCCTTTGAATGGGGGGGTTCTTTAAACTGGTTGAGGGGACCTCGAGCGCCGTGGGCGCGAGGTTCCTAGGGGGGTCCGGGGGCATGCTCCCCCAGAAAATTTTGAAAAATGAACCTTCTAAAATGGCATTTCGTGCATTTTTGAGAGGATTTCCAAGAAAAAATCAGAGATAAATTTTTATTCAATGACAAAGGGAGCAGTTTTTCTACGATTCCAGTCCATCTTTTCAAGAAAAATCTTGGACCTTTACATAAAAAGTGGACCAAAAGTGGACCTTTACNTAAAAAGTGGACCAAAAGTGGACCTTTGAGCCGTGTGGGGGGGTTCTTCCCGAACCCCCGAACCCCCCCTGGCTACGGGCATGAGGTACAGTGTGCATCTCACATCCATTTTTCTCTTTCAGGTTGGCCGGGTGATCCAGCGGATGTGGGACCAGGAGAAGGAACACATGGCCAAGTTTGAGGAGCTGATCCCTCAGCACAGAGTCAGGCCAACTGTGCTGCTGCCCATCTGGAATGTAGCAGGGTTTGTACTAGGTATGGCACCTGTTGTTGCTATGGTGGCTTTTCTATCCATGTTTACAAACTTTGACCAGTTTGGTGCAATGAAAACAGGGAATGTTACCCCTTTATAAACTGTATAAAGATACATGAGAGTGCTCATACACTATTCTGTATTTGTAAAGTCCATATATAACAAATAAGTTGCTCATTTATCAAGCTTCTTCTAAAGACAGGCCAAGTTAGAAAGAGGAGTGAGTTACATGAATATTAAAAATTGCTTCTTGTTGTTTTTTGTGTGCCAAATATTAGTGTATGTTTTGCCATCTCTCATTGGTTACAACATCTTTTAATAAATTGTAGTTTGCATACTAGTAACTTTCTCAACTCCGGATGTTTTTGACATATTACAGGTGCTGGGACTGCCCTGTTGGGTAAGGAAGGTGCCATGGCGTGTACTGTAGCTGTGGAGGACAGTATAGTAGAACACTACAACAACCAGATCAGAGCTCTGGTCGAGGATGACCCAGAAAAACACAAGGAACTCTTAGAAGTCATCAAGAAATTTCGTGACGAGGAACTTGAGCATCATGACATGGGACTGGAGCATGATGCAGAGGCAGCTCCTGCATATCAAACCCTGACTAATGTCATCAAAGGAGGGTGTAAGGCTGCTATCTGGCTATCAGAGAGGATCTAGGGGGTTGGTTTTTGTATTTGTACTGTAAGAGTAAGCAGAACTGGGCTTGTTGTTGTTCAAACATAGACTAATGTCAAGAAGAGACTCATCATTGACTGACCGGAAAGAAGCAGGTGTTGGCGTAAAAATTAGCAACCTTGGCTTGAATATAAATTATATTTTGCCAAGCTTAAGTTCCTCAATATTGATCAAAGGATGTTTCCATGTTGATGTAACACTGAAATTCCTCAAACAAGAACTAGTTGTCTGATGGACTGCATTATGTTCAATTGTTGAACATAAGCATTGTTGATATTTATTTGAACATTGCTTTGTGCAAAATGTATTCCCTTTTCAACTTCATACATTAAAAGGATCATACAAACATTTTCTGTATTCAGTTCTATTTTGAACCTTTATTCAAGCACAGGATCAAACCATCTGACATGTGAATTTTCCCTCTTGATACTAACATAGGATAGAGCTTTTAGCTAGAGCAATAAATAGATATGAATCATATCTACCAAATTGAATTCTTTTTCCCATCATAAAATGATTGTCTCAAAATAAAATAAAAATACAATGAAATTTTTGTGGCATACATTTTGTTGATTCCGAATAATAAAACAAAGGAATCTGATAGAATGAATCTAAGAAGTCAACATAGTATTTCTTTCACAACAGAAACATAGGACTCTCTATATAAACATGTATGACCTTAATGGAGGGACAGTAAAAATCAATACAGTACAACAAACATCGGAAGACCATTTCTTTCATTGCAATTTTTCATTATGGAAGCCGATCAATAAACTCAGAGTCAACGTGGCAAGACCATTTTTCATTATTGAGCCGATACGTACATTCATCTTTTAGATTAGCTATCATAAGAGAGGATATTAACCATATATGATGCCACATATTACAGACATGAGAATATTTAAACATGCTCTGTACAGCATGTCAGCTCATCTGTTATCTCCGTAACATGTACATTTGTACATGTATTAATATCAAAACAAATTGCACTAAAATGGCAAATTTATACAACTAAAACACAAGTCTGCATCTGCAAAGCTTTCCCCATTAAGTCATAAATAATTGCATATAAGGCAACTGCAATGGTAACAAGTTAACTGGTACAATATAATCATGAGGCACAGTGAAGGCATACAGTTCACAATAGCAATAGTGCAAGGCTGCAAGCTATTGAGCATTACTTTTTCCACAAGGTTTTTTTTCGACCTGATGATCATATTATCAACTCTGACATGGTCTAGGTACAGAAAATTTATCATTGACATTTTATAAAAATTATTCACAGATGACTAGTCATCACACAATTGTTTATTCCCACACAATATATAAAGACTTCAATTTCACTTCCTAGCCTTCTTCTTCTTGTTAAACATTGTGAGCATTTTCCATAAAATTGTGCCAGCATGTACATTTTGTACTTTAATTTGTTGATTATAAAATTTCTCACTAGAACCTAACCAAATAAAATGAAATTTAAGTTTCAATCAACATTTTTACACCTGGTTCTCTGCACACTCAAAATTCTATCCTATCTAACATTGTACATGATACATACATGTATGTTCATAGGTGCAACAAGGCTGACAATGGCTACCAGTTCACAATCATAATGATCAGCAAGGTACATACATGTGTACATCTGGAGACAATGTGCAAAATACTCCTAATTCAATTCAGTACCTGCTTGATTGTTTGTTTCTTAAATGCAGAGGAATTTGCATGGAAACGAAAGACTGAAAAGAGACAACATTAAAATAAGGAAAAAGAAAATGGTGCAACTTTTTAAAAACTGGCATTGAGAAGCCACCTCTTTTTTCCTCAATTTACTTATGACACAGGTCATGACATGATATCAGTAAAAATTTTCAAACAGTTCTTTGTGAAATTCGTTGACACTTTGGGCAGGAATCCTTCTCACTGGGGAAGCAGTCCCTGTGGTACACGGTCGAGCACTTGTCACACACGTGCACGCTGACATCAAAGGGGAACAGCACGTCTGAGTCCTCACACAACTCACAAATAAACCCCTTCCCCTGGCATGTCGGGCAGTCCAACTTGATGTGGTGCGCGTAGCCTACGTGGATGTTCGTAAGCTCGTCTAAAAGGTTTCCACTCTCCGTCTCACACAAGTCATTCAGCGAGTACATGTCGGATGTCTCCACGAAGTGCTGCCTCTCCTTCAGCTGGAGGAGCAGTTTCTGCTCCAGGGCGACGCGACATGAGATGAAGTAGTTCTTCATGAGTAGGATCTCCCTGCGCAGCTTCCTGACATGGTCCAGCTCCTCCACACGGCTGAACAGCTGAGGGTTGGACTCCTGAGGGTTCAGCAGGGGCTTGTAGAACACCAACTGCAGGTACTGCTTTGACTGCCTCGCAACCTGGGGGAAAGGGAGAAAAACAAACGGTAAAAAAAGTTACTCCAACCTTGAATCAATAGTATTGAATGTTTTGTATTGACTCAATACTACAACTTACAGTACAGTACAGAACTCAGAAATAATTAAATAATGTGCTTGAAAGCTTGTTCAAAGCACTTAGTCTTAGGCAGCTAAAATGAAGAACAGAACTAGTTATTATGGAAAATGGCAGGGTTTTCTAGCCTGATTACCAAACCTATTTTAGCTCCCGAGTCCTACATCCTCTTTGGCTAAGGGTTTTCATTAAATGGTCTTATAGGCTTTATAATGACAACCCCCACTTACAAATAAACATTCCAAGTATCATGGCTACTGATGTCAACAATTATACATGGGACTTGAGATACCCAGATGCACATCACACACTTTGGTAGTTACTAGATTCCCACCTTGCATGGCTGGAAGTCCCAGTTGTGCATGGCGCGTGCAGGGATGACTGCCGTGTCGTTCCAGTGACAGGATGTGCAGTAGTACTGTCCCGTGTAGTCACACTGTCGCATCTCTGTGTCACGGTACAACTGCACTCTGCAGTCTCCACATCTGGATTGGTGTGGGGAAAAATACAGTTGTTTCAAGCCAAGTCAATCACTGGAATCTGTGTACCATTAGACTTTTACTGTAATGTTTTGCTTAGCCTACATTTTTGCACGAAATTTTCAGTACAATGACTGCAACATAATTTCCTTTCTTAATTTTAGTCTAAATCTATCATCCTTTGCTATAACAGTCTTGCTCTTTTTTTTAATTACAACCATACTGACTCAGAGCTCCAGGTCACAACTCTTGGTCTATGACTTTTAACACCGATATTGAGTTGACGACATTGCTTGCCCAACAACAATACAATGCACACAGTTATCTCACCTGTACTTTTGCCTGGAGATGCCCACTTCAGGACAGATCTGCAGTATCAGCTGTGAGGACCCCAGCTTGGTTCCTGCACACACCCTGGTCAGCTGGTTCAGACACTTGCCATGGCAGTGGCAGCCGCAGCCCTTACACCCGTACCAGGTCTGCAGCATGCCCCAGATCAGGTTATTGCACTGTTCACAGCTGTACTTCACACTCTTCCCCTGCCTCTTCTTAAACTTGTGTCCCAGGATAACCTTTACGTTTGGTTCCTCCTCCACTTTGCTGTCTTCTATTTCTACCAGATTTAGGCGCAGCTGCGTGATCTTCCTTATAAGACTGCGTCGTTTGTCGCTGTGAGGAGGCTCTGCTAAGATCAGATCCTTGCAGTTCTCAATGGACTGCTCCAGTTCTTCCACCCTGGACATGCCAAAGTAGCCGTCAGGTCGGGAGAAGTGATCCTCGGTCAGACCCAGGGCAGCGTTTGCCAGCTCCTCGTCAATGTCTGTGTCGTGTGTGGTGTATGACTCGGGCCACGATTCGCTGTCATCGCTGGACTTGGACGAGGTTCGGTCGGATTTCGACACGGGGCCGTGGGACCCCGAACTGCCGCTGTTGGCTCTGAGTTCTTTTGCAATGGGAGAGTTTTCTGGAGGGGTGTTGGCAAACCTGTCTTCATCGATAACAATGTCACGGTCAAACGGATTAAACCTCCCGGAGCCCTCTCCCTGAAGGGCGTCTGTCGACAACACCTCATCTGAAATCCCACTGTCCACAGGGCTACTCGCAACAGCCCTCCTCTGCTTTGAGCGGACAACAAGAACATCACTGGGTCTTCCAGGTTTTTGCTGTTCTGAAACTTCTGACATAAAAGCATTTGGAGAAGATTCATGTACACTGTCATTTGTAAGATTTTTAGGGTCTTCCTCCCCTCTTTCTGCACCATTTTCTACTGTTCTTGCCATCTCCTGGCTACTAGATATCCCATTCTCTTCACAGATATCTTGAAGAGCCTTACTGGATGGAGAAACACTCTGTAACACTGGTGTTGAGGCCAGCCTTGCCTGAACAAATGTTGGGTTTTCTTCATCTGATGATTCTCCATCTTGCTGGCCCATGGAGAATGTGATGACAGCTGCTTCTGTCTCAATCTGTAAAAATGTCAATCCACAGAAATAGGACATGAGCATGAGTATTTTGTGTGTTGGAAAAATTGGAAATTAACTTCTATGCAAGTAATATTTCACAGCAAGATGCTTCCTGCTTCGTTACATAGAGAGTTTCAAATCAGATGTAAGGTTTTAACCTTTTTTTGTAAATTTTTAGCTGTTTTTGCCATTATCAAGTACCTAACAGTAAATACTGAACAAATATCACGTCACTTGAAGAACGTACAATACAAGCTAAAGGACTAACAAAACATGCTGAAGCCATACATGTGTGAATTAATTAACGGTTTATCCCTCCAATGGTCAATAGAATTCATGAGATTACCTCTAAGTAGGGCTGATAGGAGCTTTGAAACAGTTTTTGACTGATTAATTGAGCTGTCATTTATGCATGATTTTATCTCACATACAAATTCCGTATTCATAACATTTACAAATTATACTTGTCACCATGAAAGTTTAACTATGTTGAAGATGACATCACAAAGGAAAAATCAACATATATTTCCCTGTGTTCAAGATTCAGCCATTTCACAGCAGCATTTATTGGCAAACAGGTCTTTAAATTCATTGTTCTAGAACAGAGAAGGTCAGAACACTTGGGCTGATGCACAATGAATAATTTATAACGAGTTCCCAGGATGTGAAGCCATACATTTATGCATGTATCTATGGGTGGGCCTTTGACAACTTTTTGTCACACATTTGTGAACTATAAACAAACCGTTGACAACAATGGGCTTAAATCTGCATGATGATGTCCCCCACCCAACAACTGACCCGCCCATCTGGGGCATAAACAATCAGACGACAAACTCGATCAACGACGTGATTCGATCAATGACCTCAAGTACATGTACCTTTTTTTTTTTGGCAAATCATTACCTAAGTTTTTGGATTGAAAAACGCCGGTAACACCAGCGTGGACTACGACACTAACTGCACAAGACCTTTAACCAACTGGGTCAAAAATGATTATGCAAGACTACAACAAATAGATAACATGAACAGCAGACCGGATATAATTTGTTGTGAGAACCATAATGTTGTTAGATAATTTCATTCCCAGCAATATGATCTGACAAGATAAACGTAACTTAATGTTTTAACGACTGAAAAGATGACAGCGGTGAAGCATAGTTACCTGTCTGATCGGCGATCCGGCCTCCCTCCGTAACTTTGACGTGATATCGTCATCGCCACCGGCGGCGGTCATCAGTTCAGACGACAGGACCATTTTCGCGCGCCGCGTTCGCGACGATCTCGGCTTTACTGAAGGATCGGAAGACATCGTTGAGATCCAGGTTTCCCTCCACGCCTGTTACATGTCGTTGGTCACGATTTTATGGGGAAGGAAGGAAGCCGCGCGGCAAAAATTATTGTGATGTTTTTAGCGGCCTCTTCCGCCATTTTTGGCAGACGGTCACAAGGGAAAGGATAGTCCACTGCTTTATAGGGGTGCTTTTCATAAAATATTTGACTAGGGATTCAGTATGTACACTTTTATGCATGAAATTCATAGCCTCTAGATAAATTCAATAGAATCAAGAGTTTGTTTGCGACTTTTACATTACCAATACTACACAAAGTACAAGTTCATAAAGTATTTATAACGCACCTAATCATACAGTAGACTGTCCTCTTGACCTTCTGACCTATGTAACAAGGAACATGGCTGCCTTGCGGAGCGTTTCTCTCCGTGTTGGACGTATTTGTCGCTGTTCGAACAGAATTACTGTGTCTAGAAGAAATCTCAGTGAACAAACATCTTCAGATGAGACTGATAAAGAAGAAGGAACGGAGAGGTCAACTCATTTTGGCTTCGAATCCATCAATGAAAGTGAGAAAACCGGAAAAGGTTTGTCCCATCATGATACCTTGATACCTTGATACCGTCTACAGTCGAGTAAGGCTTCTTCCCGCCTGTTGTGGACTGGTCTTAGATCATGTCATTTTTTTGAAATCATAGCTTACATGTGGTCTTAGTTATATAAGCTATGAAAGGTATATAATAGATATTGTCATATATTCTACTGCTGGAATAGATAACTGCTCAGATTTTGATATAATGACAATGTGCAAATTGATGAATATATCATGTGATCCTGTTGAATGATGATGATGTAGATAGTGATGAGAGGATGTGCTAAAGGATGCTGAGCATGTCCATGTGTTCCACCGTCATTTTTCTTCCTACATGCCTTAATGATAAGCGGCTAATAAAAATGGGGGTAATCTAGCTTTGGTTACCTTCCAAACCTCATCAGTATACCCAAGTATACCCAGAATCAACACAACAAGTTGATGTTGGTTAACCACAAAGACGTATAATAACGGTATATAGTATACGTTGTAAACGTCCTTGATATAGCTATAACGTTATATGTATTTCTATATATTGACAGTTCATGAGGTGTTTTCCAACGTGGCGTCCAAGTATGACATAATGAACGATGCGATGAGCCTGGGTGTCCATCGCCTGTGGAAGGACAGGTTCATGCAGGTGTTGGACCCACTGCCTGGCACCAGGCTACTGGACGTGGCAGGGGGAACAGGTAGGCTTCAATATGACTTTGTTTGATAATCTACAAGCAGATGTTTGGATTTTTGTATGCCCTCATCTTATATGTCATATGTATATAGGTCTTTCACACATGGTAATGTTTTTAAATTAAGCTGAATGAATTATCAAAGCCAGCATGTACCGGTAACAGAGAAATACAGCAGTCCTACCTCTTATTATTAGGTTACTTATGTTACCAAGGTCAAGGACGTTGAACGTCCTTGATGTTAATAGTACTAGCTGCCTATATACTGTAACTATAACTGCCAGTATACTGTATCTGATACAAATTTGGTGCCAATAAAGCTACTTAGCACAAAGACAAACAAAAAGATTAACATATTCTCATTTCTAAAAATTTACATGTCATACATGACATCATAATTCATATATGATTACAGGTGACATAGCTTTTAGATTCGTCAACTGGATAAAACAGAAGGAACAGCAGCGGAGAAAGACCTCAGGAGCAGAGTTCAGACTGAACCCACTAGAGACAGATGAATCAGGGAGTGACACAGGGCTTCCCTCTGCTGAGGACTATTTGTACAGTGAGCAGAGAGGAGACCTGTCAGACACAGAGGAGAAAAAAGACTCAAAAGTGATCATTTGTGACATAAACCAGTCCATGTTGGAAGTCGGAAAGGAAAGAGCCAAGAAGTTGGGCTTGGAAGATGGTAAGACAAACTAACATGCCCTTTTCTGCTACCACATATGAATTGCAATTTGGTCCCAAAAACATTACTAACAATTTCAATGTAATTCGTATATGGTAATATTATAGTTTGAGACATAACCCTGATCAGTTACCAATTTCTCTTCTGTTTGCATCCCTTCTTCCCAGACCTTGTATGGGTGACAGGTAATGCAGAGGAACTGCCCTTTCCTGATAATTCTGTAGATGCCTACACCATTGCATTCGGCATCAGGAATGTCACACACATAGAAAAGGTAGTCATTTTTAAGTTTCCCTTTTCCTTGTACTAGTATTTGTAGGGTTTAGGTTCTCTTATTTATCTAAGATCTATTTATCAATGCTCTTTCTGATATTCATATTTTTAGCAACAAAAGGATGGAAATGAATTTATTATTCATCTGTTGTTAAACTAGATAGTGGGTGTGAGAGTGAGTTTAGCCAAAGAACTAAAACAGAATCCTGTTGTGTGTCTGTCTCCATACAGGCATTATGTGAGGCCTACAGAGTGCTGACCCCAGGAGGCAGGTTTCTGTGTCTGGAGTTCAGCCAGGTGTCCAACCCTCTCATCAGCAGGTCAGTAGGCACTACATAACACAAGTCACTACATAACACGAGGAGCTTCTAAACATTTGCTAGCTCAAATCAAAAGCAGTGTATTAGGGATTATTAGGAGTGGCTAACTGTATGTGTTTCTGATCTATGTGGATGTGTGCAATCTCTGATTGATTGCATTTTTGTTTCTTTAGGCCACACCAATTTAATTCCTTGGTTAACGGATTTTTCTAGAAAAATAATGGAGCGGGCGGGTGAAAAAAAATAAAAATAAAAACAGGCCTAGGCATCCTATTATGGCCCAAAACGGTACCATAGGAGCCATAAAATCAACACACCAGGGTGGTTCAAAATTTAAACAATGAATTTTTAACTTTTAATGATACCACTGCATTGAAAGATGTAATAACTGTAACAACTAGGATGAAAAGGTCTGTTTTCAACTGTTCAGGGCAAGATATGACCATTTTGCAGTTGATTCTGGATTTTTATTTTTATTTGCAAATCAGAAAAAAATGAAGCGGCGAATCCGTTAACCAAGAAATTAAATTGGTGTGGCCTTATACATACAGGTTTCAATCAACCTTAATGATTTTATTTTTATTCTTAGCAAGGGTAGCTACACTAATTAGGAAGGGTGTTCTTTTCAATACATGTATGTGAATCTTAAGGTTTAATTTAAGAAACCTTCTTTGGGTTTATGATCACCCAATATCACGTTGAAACTTCTAAAATGGTGCCCTTGGCTAACCTAGATTCCAGCTTTTAGCTCTTACAGGCTAGCCTTTGACAATTGGAAAATATATTTTCAAATGTAAGCTGACTTGTCCCGCATGTGTTCTATATCAATATCAGTAGCTGGCAGAAATTGAAATTGATTGCGGAGAATGTGTTCAAAGGAAGTCTTCTACCAGCTCTGACAGCAAATCAATGTTGTTCCCCCAGTGTGTATGACCTGTACTCCTTCCAAGTGATCCCTGTCCTGGGAGAGGTGATAGCATCAGACTGGAAGTCCTATCAGTACCTCGTGGAGAGCATCAGGAGGTTCCCTAACCAGGTTAGACTAGCGGTGTTGTCACCTCCTAATAGTGATATGACCAAGCAGATGTTGGGGTAGAAGATTTTAATGTCAGACTAGTGTGAAAGCAATCCAAGTCAGATCTTGTACTAGTTTTAGAGATTGGCAGATAGAAAATGTAATCTGCTTGGAGATTATGATTTGGTTCTGAAATACTAGTACGCCCAAGGCCACTACCAAGGGTAACATAAAAATGGATGCAAGTTTGGCACATGGCCAGCCTAGTTCCAAGAAATGATCAGCCATTGAAATATCATCCCTGTAGGCATGCAAATTTCTTAAACACTGTGACATACACGACTTTTACCCTGTTTGAGTGATATGTCCCACAAATTTACTGGGAGTAGATGTTGTGTGTTTATATGTCAGTCATAAGATTTAGCTGATTCCTGGTATTCTATTTTACAGGAGGATTTTGCAGAGATGATTCGGGAGGCAGGTTTTCGGATGGTGACCTATGATAATTTGACCTCTGGTGTTGCTGCAATTCACAGTGGGTTCAAGATCTGAGTATTCATCTACTGAAACCTTCAGAATCAATGGCTAATATCTCCTATTCATAATAGAGTAATCTGTCACTGCTGTAAGGTCATTGCAACAGCTGTTATTTGATGCCTACAAATGTGTTTGTGATGTACATGCAGTGTATTGACTGAAACTACTGAGAGATGACAAAAACAGATTGTTTCTTGATATACATATATTTTGTATTTTCAAGTTTACATAGTGACAAATCTAGCGCATCTTGTAACAATACATATAGCCAAGGAATATAACGAGTTTTAGTGGAAAATACAAGAATAAGAACAGAAAATAAATATCTTTGCTTCTTCTCCGCAAGATGTGACCCTTCTCAGTGTGATCCTGTCGAGAGTGGCTGGAAAGATCTGGTAGGTAATTTGTTCAAAGAAGGCTAATTATATTTGAGGATAGTCTGATTAGTAAGGGGGCCTTCATGCAGAGTTCTGGCTACAGTATTGATTGATTAAGCTAGTGCCAGCACAGCTGATCAGCCCACAGTTCTTGATTCTCCACTGTTGTGGAGCCACCACCCCTCACACCCTGCGGTGCCTCAGCAGCCCTCTATCCAGACTTGAAGAGCAGGACAGCCACTTGGCCTAGGTAGAAATAGATGAAGTGCTTGGTCTCGTGTGTGACGTAGCTGCCGAAGTTGCGCCCGACGATGCAGTGCCAGGTGGGGTTGTACTTCTTGTCGAACTCCTTCTTGATGAAGGCGGCGATGTCCTTCTCGATGTTGTACTTCTCCAGCGCCTGGGTGGCACAGTCCACCGCGTCCTGCTGCATCTCCTCGGACATGTCCGCATTCTTGATCACGGCCTTCCTGTCAGACATGTTTGGTCCTGCACAGAAAACACAATCACTGGATTATTGACTGACCTCAACAACAGGACTTTCACAACTCTTGACTTCATCTGGAGTGGCTATGATGTAATATTTCTGAACAATGCAAAATAGTCTCAAGTACCAGCAGTTTACAGAAAGAAAGCACTCAGATGGTCTCTAAATTTGGTCTGGTGAGCTGATTAGTTTGGTGTTTTGAAGAACGTTTTTCCATAAACCCTGAGAGGGTCGGAGAAAAAGCACCTGTTGTCCCGTTCTAGATGGCTCATATTACCCCTGCCTGGCACCTGTTATGGAAGTGTCCATTAGAACTGAGTGGGACAAGTGCCACACACACTTCATCATTTGGAAGACCAGAAGCCCTGCCGTACAGTACGTGTCAGCTGTGTGATCATTCATCAGAATGTGACCCAAATTTGTAGGAAGGAAAGATCTGGTAGGGATGAGCATCCCGGGTATGTTAAACTGGTCGTCCGGGCCACGCCTCCAGGGGATTAAAGGCATAGACTTCATCTACTGGTCTATGCAAAGCATGTGACGCGATACGTTTGCCCCGAGGCTTAGTAGCAGATTCTGATCAGAAGCAATTATTTAACGGCTCTATTTTATGAGCTACTCTGGTATTACGTTCAGTTTCTTTCAAAGGCCCCATAAAATGAGGTAATCAAACAAGTACAAGTGGTTGCTATAGTAAATATCATCAAACAAACAAACGCAAAGGTGAAAATTCTTATTATAAGAATTTCATCCCCAAGGCCTTTTGTGAGATGACAGTTGCTACTAGTTTGAAAATGTGTTCTTGTCAAGGCGAAATATAAGTTGGACCTAATTTTTGTCCGTTAGACTTTTAATTTTTAAACTCGCCACGAATGAATAATATTTGAGTTTCTCATTTCGCATGCCGAGTCAAGCATGACAACAAGCACAAAACACTAGTAACGGTCTCTGAAAAACTTCTCTGACTTGTCAGTTCAAACAGTATCATTTCATGCATCAAGAGACAGGCGGCAAGAAATACAGACATGATTTTTGGTATTTGGCTGAGTGCGTACGTGACTGTCTTTGACTTTTAGTTTTAGAATAAAACCCAACGCTGTTTCTACGTTACCACAAGCCAAATCATTCAAAGGCCTTCCAACACACGTGAGAGGTTGTCAGCACCCATTTGCAAGCTGACTCGCCTTAATTTTCCACAAGAAAGCAGAGGGAACTTACCTTTTTTGCTATGAGTCTCCGGGATGAAGAAAAGTGCGTGTTGTCTCTGTGAGTGACTTGTTGGGAGTGTCAACTGTTTCCCCGCAACAGACTGCTTAGTTTGCCGCCGTCTGGGGAACTCAAGCGGGACATGAGTTCGGCATCTTGCTGGTAGGGGTTGCAAAGTTATAAAAGTTTTGAAAAAAGTTCAAAAATAGATAAAACGTGCTGTATTTTATTAGATAACATCTTATAAAGTAATATATTTTATGTTTATTGGTAAATTTTGTTTTTATTTTGTCTACTGAGTTCAACAATTATCGTAAAAATCAAAAGTCACCCACTAAGAATTGTGAAAAATGTATTCGTCCAAAGGTACCTGACCCATCTCATTTTTGGTTGGTCAATTTTTTTGGATCAGCTAACATGTCATTGGTCGATTTTCTCACTGCGTCCCAGAGCATTATATCACCCATGATGCAACGCGCCATCTTCGTGTGCACTCGGGTCCGGCCGCTCGGGAGTTTCCGTAAACACCCGAAGGCCGAACCCCCTTCGCGGATGCAACCTGCATTTATAATATGTTCGCCATGCATTCAACCATTATTATGTTCGGAGAGCGGGCAAGAGCAGGCTTTGTCCCCGTCCTCCGCTAAATATTTGACCGTCCATTCGGGGCGATTATCCCTCACATGTAGGGATTCAGTCCGTTCATAAGCCATTGTGATCGCGAGCACTCAACCCGGAACAGGTAATATTGTTTTTCACGGCCGGTAGCTAAACAAAGAATCCTGGAGGGGCAGCGTATCGCACCGTCGACCGCGGTAGGCAGTACCAAGATGTCCTTCGCCAACAATGACTGTCGCATCTACGTGGGGAACCTGCCGCCCGACATCAGAGTAAAGGACATCGAGGACATCTTCTACAAGTACGGCAACATCCGCCACATCGACCTGAAGAACAAGAGAGGACCGCCCTTCGCCTTCGTCGAGTTTGATGACAAGAGGTACGTGTCGGTCCCGCTAGACGGGGAATTACATTCTAGTGTTTTCATCATCATATCGAAACGGGGGCGGAATTTAATACAGGGCCGCCAGACGTCGTTTGTCATCCCGTATTTATTTGCTATAGCGCTCGCTGAATATACGTGTCAATTGTGGTGCTACCGGGTGTCATAGAATAGCGGACAATGACTCGATCGATAACGCTACGGTAAAAACGTCAAGAAATATGATTTCATCTAAATGATCGCTTGAAGCAGGGCCTAAAAAACCAGAGGTTGTACATTTAAAGCAAATATCACCATAAAAATTGGACCCATATATTGTGCAATGGTAAACTAGTATGGTAAATCCAGTGCATTGCATATAGGTGCAGCGCTCAAAATTAAAACGCCATTCCCAATGGAGGATGAAACAACAATAGGATGAATTTGCGCTCATTCATTGTCTCGTGTGGGATTTAACATATGTACTGTTCAAAGCCCACCCGTTGTTGGATAAACAAGACAGAATGCGGATACTAAGGTCCGGGTTGTACCCCAAAATTATTTTTCCCTCAATATAAAATTGTACAGTTAAAACAACGCTACATATAATTTCGCCTGAATGAACGGACACTTGAAACCTTGATAATAAACACATTCTTCTAACAACAACCTCTCGCTGCTAAGCATCATCATAATCTCCATCAGCCTAATTTTCAGCGTTATTACGGCAATGAAGCCGCGGCGCATATAATATAATATAAACGGTTCAACAAAAGAGGGACAGAAACGGTGGATAACAAAGGCGAGAGAAAACGTATTACTGCGCAGCAGATGGAGACAGATTGTGGGGGAATTACCGGCGTACAAGTGGGGCATTGACGCGATTGCCGGAGATCCAGCCGGCTCAGGTGCACCTCACGTGCCAGCTGGCCCCCCGGATCCTGTCCCGGGCCGGTCGTGTGCCTCCTTAGCTGGTCTAACAATATTGATTTCAGAAAACCGCGCAGTTAAAGACAAACAATAGCCGAGCATCTATTCTGTAGAGATGAAGCTCAATACGGGGCCGGGTTTTATTCCCTGTACAATTTCATACACTTTTAAATTAGGTGGACCTGGGACCTACATTATACTATTTACAAGATGGATCGACAGGATACAACAATACCGTGTCGTCCCGATCTATTTGTACTGCAGTACAGATGCTGCTAAATACAAAATTTACATGCGTTCTGTGTACATTCTCAATAGAGGCGGAGCAGATGTTGTAACAAAGAGCGATTTTCATTTTCGATACGATGGGGAAAAGTAATCAATAATGCTGGGGTAATTGCTGAAATTGCAATCCCGAAAGTTTCGCCAATTAGGGTCGGGCTCTTTGTGCCACAAAAGCCTCGTGATGATCAATTATTTAAGGGATAAGCCCTTCTGTTAAAACCGAGCTAAGGACACTTACGTATACCTAGAATTCATCATTTGGCAACGGCACACGAAAAAAATATATATCATCAAATCGTATTGGAAGAAATGCCCTTCTAATGTGTTTACATCCACCCCGTGACATTTTGGCCCTATATCTCCCTTTGTCTGGAGACAAACGGACGAACCGTTCCCCATTGTTTCCACGCAAGATTCAAAACGATGGATCCACTTGTGCGCCGTCCCAATAGGATAGGGAATGGACAGGTGCTTCATCAGCATAACAATGGCGGCCCGGACCAGCCGCTGCAACCGTTATCTCCGGTACCCATTGTCTACCTGTCTCTCAGGACAGCCTGTGGGATCTGAGGTTTTTGTTCGGGTTTGAACGGACCGGCATCCTTCAAATTACCTACGTCAACAGATGTACCGGTTTCATCAAATAAAGTGCGCGTATAGGAGTATATTCGCTCAAGAAGCTTTCATCACAAATGTCCTTGATTCGCTACAGAGAACAAAAAGAAAAATTCCCAAGATGGTGTCCCAGGATCTAGGACGGTTGACCCCAGAACACGGGCAATGACCATGTAGGCAAGGGACTGGTCCGAGGGTTTGTATCGGGAAAGCCGTTCATTTTATCGGGAGGTCGATTTTTACGGGACATCTAAACACAGTACCCATACGGCACACGGCCTTGGAGTGGAAGGACACCGTGCCTTTAATGACAGTTAGACCAAATTGCTCTCCTGATCAATGAGCAAAATTGATGCTTGACGATAAAAGCTGTCATCGCTTAGGTAGTACTGAACAGGTTCAATTCAGTGTAATGTTAATAATTTGACAACATTTCACGCGTTAAGATGTACAAGTTGCCTGTGAAATTAATTAATCTTACATCAACCAATATCTGCGAACGTAGAGTTGCAATTTCGTCAAGATTACGCCACAAACATGTTTTTTTAACTCCCTGGACACCTGTTAGAGAGGCTAGAGAAAGGGGCTGTACTTTCAAAATGGCGCTGCCAGTTTCCCTCGCAGAAAAAATCAATAGATGATGAAGTCACTGTCTAACAGGGGCTGTGCCTGGCAAGCTGTGGGCCGGGTATTGTCTGGACTGAGAAATCCCCCAAGCGTGATATTAAAGGATGGAAATCTTATTTGAGTGTGGACTGTAGGTATTACATCGGGATGAAGCAGCTGTACACACACTGTGACATCAGTCCTCGATCATTATTCTGTCATACCCTCCGTATATTGTACGGTGTTGCTGAAATATACATTTAACTATGCTGTATAATAGTATAACAGTTGATGCCAGGCCTAAAGATTATATATTACAAATTGGCACGATTGCAAGACATAGGTCAGCCTATATATCAGGCTAAATCTGATAAATATTCATTTTTCAAGGACGAGGATGTTGATTCTGCGTCGAGTCATAACTTTCCATGATCGTGCTTATTCGTTCAGGTATTCATAATTCAAAATAAGAGTAGTGACCACATGTATTGTTTTGACATGTTTCCATGAGGTCATTCCCTATCATTATTGGAATCGATCGGTCACCGAAGGTTGACCTCTCCGGCTGCTGTAATTCACCGGCGATGGACAACACCGCGATACGTGAATGGAATAAATAGTTTCACATAAAAGCTTTCTTTCTCTGGCCATTGATCAATACAAAATTAAACGATATCGATCTTACAGAGTCTGTGTAATGGGGCTAGCAGTGAGATGTACATGTAGGCGCCGTTATGATCAAGGTCATTGCGAGGTCACCTGTGCCCACGGGGAGTGGTAACAATCTATGCAGCTATCCATCTAGTCCGTCCTGGATATGATACCAGAACATAAAACCTCCAACCTTTATGCTAATGTCACTTTTCCAAACCTGAGCCAGACCGTGCAGTTTGTATGAACGAAAAATAACAATTTATTTCAAGAATGTACACAAATGGGGCTACTAAATATACAGATAGCAAGGACATTTAGAATTTGTTCGTCAAATAAAATTTGCTTCTCGATATGCACAGACTGATCCTCGATGCATCTTTCGGAGAAATATCCTTGAAAAAATGTGTTCAAATCATTCAAATTATACAAATACCTGTTTTTGGCTTAGACATTTTTTAAACTCTGATCTTCGATCTGTCAATCCCTTTTAACGGGAAATCCAATATTCTTTACAAGTTGCTGATGACTTATTTCACGCCAAGGTTCCGAAGATCAAGATCATTCGACCTCGAATGGAGTAGTTGTGAGAAATCCATTTGCAGGCAGCTAGCAGATGTCAGATGCGGTTGATTGAGGTGTTACGTTCCTGAGGGAAACACGAAACTCGCTGCATGCATTATTGATGTCGCCTGGACAGTTGCATCATCAGGAATTCAGTCAAATTGTCAGACGGCAGCTTTCGAACCGATAATGCCTGCTCCCGGGGCGGCAATTTTCATCAGGGCAAAACGCCTGGGAAATTTCTGCACCTTTCTGCCTGCTGAGGGCCATTATAGGACAGCGGGCTGCAGCTGACAATCCGGCAAATTACATGCCCTTGAGTTAATACAGACATGTTTTTGTGCCTCCTAACGATCTATTGAGCATATTCAGGAGTTCAAGATCTAGAGTAGCTGACAAGGCAATGACTTTTCGATTTCAATACTCTTTAATTTGCGGTAAACAGATCGAACCTCCTTCTGTCCACCTCTCTTTCTCTGTCTCCTGTTTCTCAGCACTCTGCATATACATATATATATTTCCTACTATCTTCTACATAATGACGTAAGACGTATGCAGACAATGCTCAGCAGCTGATGATGACACTGACAGAAATTGTTGAAAGAAATGGGAGCACACTGTAGCTGCCGCCTGCATGATCTCGCATGCATGATGAAGGTGGAATCGTCTGTTCTTGTTTGTTGTTCAATATTCTTTTGCGGTAAACAGATTCTCGATCGCCTTCTGTCCGTCTCTCTCTCCCTCTCCCTCTCTCTCCCTCCCTCTCTCTCCCTCTCTCTCTCTCTCTGAGAGTCTATCTGTCTCCTGTCAGTCTGATGAAAGAAACGTCAGCGCACTGCGACTACCACCTGCATGCATGCATGATGAAAGTGGGAAACGTCTGTTCTTGTTTGTTGTTTGTCTGTTTTGCAGGGACGCCGAGGACGCCGTGCGCGGCAGGGACGGCTACAATTACGACGGGTACCGGCTGAGGGTGGAGTTTCCACGCGGCACCAGCCGGGGAGGCTACCGGGGAGGGCGGCGCGTCGGCCAGCCGTCTCGGCGCTCCGAATATCGCGTTCTGGTATCAGGTTAGGGTCGAGGATTGTCCGATTGCTTGAAAGCCTGGCATCTTGGGGAAGGTGGAAGAATCTGACATAAGGATCTGACATAAGGATCTCTCACATAAGGATGTCGCTAGGATCTCACACTAGTGGACACACATTGTGGATGCCCCAATAGGTAAAGGCAACCGCAATTGTTTGATGTGTAGTCTGACTACAGTCGAATCCCTTGGTTGGTTTTTTCAGTGTCTTTCGTCAGAACACATCAACCCATGCCTACATTTCAGCTCGACTCGGCCAGAAAGCGGGGCTTAATACGCTATCTCGGAGGCTAAGTGCACATTAGTTCTTCAGGCGTTTAAGTCGCTTTCAGGAAAAACACAGACATTACTCCGAGGTTTTACTCCCCTGATGATTTAAATTGCACTTCAGAAGGATGATAACATCAGTAACAGGGTAAAATTGCCCATCTGAGGCTGCGGGTATTTAGAGAAGCTGTCTTGATGGACGGGAACGTCGCTGTGTTCGACATTTTCCCGTAGATCTCAATTTCACAATCGAATCAGACATAGACTCTACTTTAAAGAGAGGACATTTAAAACTCTGCTGTCGGGCTGGATATTTTAGAAATGAAATACATAGCCATGACTATCGGAATTGTTTATATTACATACGCGTATCATAGTCAGCGATCGCGAGTGCCTTCAGCCTAAAGCAAAGAAATTTACTATGTGAAAATAAGCTTGTTTCATAACCTTGCAATGTGTTATACATCTAAAGCCGAAAGCAAACTACATATTCCCACACGTCGCAGGCTATAGGTAAAGATTGACAGGGATAATACTAAAACTGACAGGGCTTGATGAAACTAACTGTCAACCTTTACTGTTAGCTGTCTTATCTTACATCGATCTAAATGTCATGAGATCAACGTTGTCGACCTAAGCTTGAAAAGGTCACAACTGCAACCTAATATGCGTGGGCTAAAAGCACAACAGAGCCATCTCATAGTCTCTTAATGTACAACAAATACCCCACGACAATGCATAAATATCAACGAATGGACCTTGAACCTTTATCCTTGTATACTCTAAAGCGACGATGAATTCAAGTAGCAGCACAATGTGCCCCTTGCTGTTCACACAGTACGTTTGATAACCGATACGACCAGGCGTAATTTCTCATGGGGCTCATTAGAAACACACACATGGGGTTTCGCGTGGCTCGTGATTTAGTGTGTTTCTTAAAGAACCTGACCGGGAATAGAGTAACTAGTCTATCAGTTGGCCATGTGATGTTTCAGTACGTCCGAGGCGCTTGTTGTGTGGGTCTTGGTTGTCAGCTTGCATTTTTCACCAATTAGGGAAGGTTATGCTTAGCTATCTATGGGATACGACTTTTTCTTTGATTTCAGCGGCATTTTTCAGATACATACACACGACGATAGGCGTTTTAAGTTACTGTGTATTTATCTATTTATTGAATTGGGTGTGAAAAAAAGTCATGCATGTGAGGTTTAGTTTTTTTGATTGATATGAAGTAAGCATTGTAAGTGGACCTTTATTGCCTTAGTTGCTACCATGCTTCATTCAGTGAAAATGGGTGCCTGATAGGGGAACAGGTTCATCATCACAATGTATCTTTCTATGGCTCTGATACGACACGTTCTCTAAGATGTCGAGTGATGTTTGTGTTTCTCCGTCTCTCGCCAGGGTTGCCTCCGACGGGCAGCTGGCAGGACCTGAAGGATCACATGCGGGAGGCGGGGGACGTGTGCTACGCCGACGTCTTCAGAGACGGCACCGGAGTCGTGGAGTTCCTCAACTACGAGGACATGAAGTACGCCGTCAAACAGCTGGACGATTCTAAGTTCAGATCGCACGAGGTAGGCAGCTTTTCTCTGTAATATATATAGATAAAAATGACACCGTTTAAAAAGTTTTATTATGTTCCATTCTAGATTATTTCACCCATAATTGAGACGTGACTAGGGCCTCCTGTAAATATGAAACTGAAATAAAATTTTGAAATAAAAAGAGAAACTCCGATGCCAGAAAACCACACTTGAGAATGATGTCAGTTATGCTGCGTATTATCTCCTGTAAAATGTATGTAATGTCAGTTGTTTGAGTATCTGATTTATATTGGGTTTACAATCAAACATTTTTGAAATAAAGAGAGAAAAGCAATCGACTAAAACCCTTGCGGCCAAGCGAACCAATACAAAACTGTTTTTAAAACCATATTCCCGTGTTTCTGGACATACATAATGATTAGGCAATACTTACAGCAACCTGGAAAAAAGGACAAGGAGCAGACTTCGGGAAAACCCAGACTAAAGGTACATGTAAAGTGAACCACAGAGTTTGTCCACATGTGTTTAACCTGTCCTTGGTGCTAATTCTGCAATCTGGCGTGTCGATCATCGTTTCACTCGGAAAGTTTCTGCAAATTAAATAAACCAATCACGAACTAATACAATCAATACATGTCACACCATCTAACTTCACACGTATGTTCTAATGATGAAATGTTGACTTTCCAGCTAACCCCCTGCTGTATGAATGCTGTGAAGTAACGTGTGTCCATGCACGGCCGCGAACTGTCTGAGTGGGATGTATTGTGATGTCTTTTCAGTTTTTTTTCTTGTAACAGCTCTAAGATAGCTAGGACTCAAAAGTATTTTTCCCTGAAATATATTTCTGTTATTTTTCTGCTTCCAATAGTTTCACACATTTACAATGTCAAAGTACAAGTGTTGAATTATGGAGCTAGTAGCCAACTTTTGTTGGCGCATCATTCTTTAGCGCTAGCTAGCTAGGAGTGCTTGGCATGGGAATATTAGAATTACTGCTTTTGCATATAGCTATAGCCAGGCTATTTCTTTCCTTCTCAATTCTAAATGCTGTTCCTTCTAAATCCTGTATCGTCTGGTATATTCTGTATCTTCTAGTATTTTCTATATCTTCTTTTTATATCATGATAGTGCCTATCAAGCTTCATGAATAAGTACAGCACTGCGCAGACCGTTAAGTCCAGTGAACTGCTGTTATTTCCCCCACTGTTCACCCCACGTGCAGGGAGAGACGTCGTACATCAGAGTGAAGGAAGACTACCACCCGTCGGGAGGCAGCCCTCGCCGCGCCAGCCGCAGCCGCAGCCGGTCTCCCAGCTTCTCCCGCCGCCGCCGCTCCCGATCCTCACCACGCTACAGTCCGCAGCGGTCCAGATCCCGCTCCCGGTCCTAGGTTTGGTTTGAGGCACCTCGGTTATATCCTCACGGCTAGCTTATTATCGTCCCGTCATACTCTCTTTCGGGAGTATGATACTAGACTGACCACCTTCTTGTGTTAAATGTTTGGCAATAACTACAAGCCATGCAGGCCAGCTTATTATCGTCCCTTCATACTTTTTTTCGGGAGTATGATACTCGAGTGACAACCTTCGTGTGTCAAGTGTTTGGTAAAAACTACAAGCCATGGAGACAGTACCGGTTTTGTACTTCCAGTGATCAGGAAGATGACATAACTATTCAAAAAGTTAGAAGGAGTGTATTCCTGTTACTAGTACTCCCTTTTCTCCTCAACCTCTGAATCGTAATTCGACATCTTCTCGTATTTTGTCGCGCACCCCAAACACTGAGAACGAGCACCCCATCAAAATCATTAATTAGTATCTCTATCTTCCTTGCTCTTTCCACCCCGAGATCGTTAATTCTTTGATACAGTCTTCTGATATACTCACGAACATATAATTAAATCCCACGATCCCGGCTACAGAAGCTATCCATCAAAAGCACACCTACGTGGTTTCATCCCCGTTGATATATATATATAGGCTCACCGAAACGAGCTTTATTTTCGGTCGGCTGGCTTGGGAAGATAAGCCGGGGACTGATCCCCTAGCCAGAAGGCTACTAGACGCCGCGTTATCAATCAAGAGAGAAGGTGTAGTTTCCATGGAATGAGAGTAGAAGCAAGGACATTAAACAGAGGTGTAATGTCCTTGGTAGAAGCTTTCACGTGACAATCAACGTACGTACGTAAGCGATGACGTAGGGACGACGAACCCCTGGTGGGTTCATGTTTTACCAGCCGCGTTTTTGGAACAGTATAACGAAAACGTACGCTGGAAAGATGTACATAATCTTTGATGTTAATATATTGGTTCTTTGCTGTATTCTTGCCAGCCATAGATGATCAACTACAGCAAAACGTACTTTTGCTAAAAAGCCCCAGTATAAAGCCGTCCAGAACTTGATAGGATATACTTGTGTATATCTGCAATAGTGAGAGTCTAGTATTCAATGGCAATCTAGGTCTTAGATGTAGAAGTACTAGAATCTGTAGTGGTTTGCACAGAGGTGTTTTGGCAGTTTCGTACTTTTGTGGTGGAGATTCCCCGTTCTGATAGCCCCTTTTTTATTATATTCCTCATAGTCATACTAACATAGAGTACTTGCAACTAAATCAAAAGTGTGTACAGTATAGGGTCCTCGTCTAACGTAAGATTTTTACATATTCATAGATTCGTAGTTTTGAATCATTGCTAGAAAGCAAAGAGAGTGTAGGAATAGCTTGAGATATATCCATATATTACCACTGATTGAACTGTTGCAACAACATGTGGATATTTGTATGTCTTTACATTTGTACTCAGCACCATGAAAGTTGTTTATGTCTGATATTGTACATCACTGTATATATCCTGCGCACGTTTTTCTGTAAAGCCATGTACTCTTGATTTTCTTAAAGAAACGTAGAGGTCGTAACCAAAGGAATTCGGTGCTATATATTTGGATTCTGAAAACTCACAAGCCACATTTAAGAGTATAAGAGATTCATACATTCCTTATATTGTGCAAATTGAGTGAGAGGTGACACGAAGTGCGTAGAAAGGCTTCATTAGTAGAATGGGCGTAATGATACGGCAACAAAGGACCACCAAGGTTGGTTATAGAAATAGTACTAGTTTGAAATGTTGATCATGAAAAAGAGATTCTATGATGTGTAGTGATAGGAAGAGTCAGCTTTGTCATAACAGGTTCGTATTAGCTGTGAACAAGGTGAACAAGGATGATGTTCATTTTATCAAAAAGTTATTTTATGACAGCAGTCAACAGACCGTCATCAGGGCACACATAGTCTTGTGCAGTACAATGTATTTGTGACACCGTAGCTGAAGCTGTTCCTCTTAATTTTCCCTATCGGGATTTTTTTTCGAAGACACACTGCTGGGTAGGTTATCGAAGAGCGAAAAAATTTACCAATTTGATATAACAAGTCAATTTTACTAACAGCTGGTATTAACGCTTACTAACACTCTACTAACTTGTGCAAAATGTGCACATGGAACGATATCTACCATGTGGAAAGTTTTGGACATTGGAAATAAAAGACTAATAAAGAATAACTTTATCATGACCAAAAAAGCTGTCAGAATTCAGCCTCAGAATAAGAGGAAAATTGTAAGTTGGGGCGTTGGCAAAATTTGGGCACCAAAATTTAACAAATGATGAAATGTGTTTTACTAATTATGAACGAGCGCCGATTCGGCGACTCGCTATAACATACTAACTTATTGACTAACTGAGTTAACGATATTAACCTATTGATTGGGCGCTGGGCGCCGTTAACCTGCATGTGACCTTGCTGGCGTGACTGTGCCGCACTGTTCGCATGACAATTAACCGATCGCATGGCATGATGATGCATGGAATGTTAGAGTTAGAACCGTCTGTGATTAACTTTTGATTAACCAGCACTAAAATGCACGCGGGCCACACGCTTGCCTTCTCCGGGAGGCAATGCGAGGCTCGTCCTCTCCTCACACTTCTTAACTGCATTGGAAGGGAGCGTCCGATATTATCAACCAAATTTCTTTAAATATTAGAAATGACTGATTTATTCCCAGCCAAAAAATAATGATTGGGGACTTCTTAATTAAGAAAATTTCTAGTTCAAAAAAGGCACAAAGGCGTACAAAAAAGTGTAAGGAAACGATGTACATTTTCTAGACAAATGTTTTTATATCGGACGCTCCTAAAAACAGTTGTAGCAAATGATCCAGAGAGGAAAAGGGATGTCACCCTCACCTGCAGGCTTTTCTCTTTCGCTCGTCTTTTTTCTTGACACCTTTAGAAAAGCGAAAGAGAAGCATACAGGGGAGATGTCCCCATGTTAATCCCTCTGTAAGGTTCATTAGCTGCAGCTGTAACGGATGCCATATTGGTGGTGGTAACGCCTGTGGTGTTGCATGACCGGTGGTGGTTTTTGGTGTCGGTGGTGATGGGTCCATAGACATAAGTGTTGTGTAGCCTGGCAAGAAAACGGCTGTCTGTCTTCTATACATGTTCATTTGCCTTTGTAAACATCATAAAACGTGTCACCACGGTGATACGTTTGATCAAGGAATTGACTATTTAGTGACTGTTTCTCTTTATTATTTGACGTGTATAGAAGGCAGATGGCATGTTCGATTCAAGCCAGTTGCTACAGGATAGTCCTAAAAATAAAGCAACCGAAACGCCAGAGGGAATTTTAAAAAACGTCAAAACGATGAGGATTTGACGTCATGAATGTACATAATCACAACTCCTTCTTAATTCCCTCTGGGTGTTACGGTTCGCTTGTACCTCGCTATGACGTAACCTATCCAGCAGTAAACTTTTCAAAGACTTGGCAGGATTATTTGGATCCCAAGTAATATCTACGCCATCGATACTGCCAAGGACACATTTTATGGGTTTTACACATAAGCCATGCAGTTGGAGGAGGTCATAAATTACCAATATGACGGCAAAAGACTACGGTGTTCTATATCATAATGAAAACAGTACTAGTCAGTGTTCTTAATTAACCAGACCGAAACTAGCCATCACGTCTTTATTGCCATATCGAACCTGTTAATAGTACTAGTTGTGACGAACAATGTATTATTTTGTGTAACTTTATGGTATTGACTAAGTCGGGACAAAAGTGCAAATATCATGACTTCTTTGCCTATCATTGTGTATAAGAAGACATCGCTCTATTTATTTATTTATTACCTATTTATTATCAGAGAAATGTAGGGTGGACAAATGTTAGTTTGAAGCACATCGTGCGTTTTGTGTGTACAGTATTTCTCTGGTGTCTATTTATTGATACATCTATTTATACATCTATTTATTTATTACTCTAGATCTATTTAACTTATTGGCCTATGCTATGCTCTTGAAAGAGTAATTGGATGTAGTAGAATAAGGAATCATGTATATTAATTAATTAACTAACATACTTTTGTACATTGTTACTGACATTAAAAAAAGTTGTATGACCGTGTTTGAGCCAGTAGCCTAACCTTTCGAGGTGTAAACATTCATATTGTAACTGACATTTTCAAATAAATAACCGAGATTTATTCACCACTATCAGTCTGGTATTGTTGTTGAATCTTGTACATTCGACTTCGGTGCGTTTAATATTATAGTGAGATTAAGCATTTTTCCCGGGCATGTTTGAAACACGACGGAGCCGGTGGGGCCCGGGTAAAATTGTGGGCCTTTAATTTTAACTTTCAAATGAAAAGCTTATGGGACTTATTACTAGCGTTTCCATCAATATATGCTAGACAAGTGATCAGACGTCCCCCGTCAGTAATACCACGCACAGGGGTGGCTAGAGAGTAATAAATAAAGAAGAAGCTGTACGCAGTAAAGGGCCTTGAATTGAAGTATAGAAGAAGCTGTAAAGGGCCTGAGATGCCGGTTCTGATTCAGAGAAGCTGGACCATCTAATATAGCCTCTACCAGGCACACGAATAGATCATACGGTGACAACTGACAAGCCAGTATCCACTCCCCTGGCCAATGGAAATACTGTGTTTTGCCACCGTATGATCTGCTTGGAGATATGACGGATCCTTGCCGATCGTTGCCGAGGCGTTGGACAGATGTTCGTAACGAATCGGCCATTGTCGGTGGGTCTCGCGAGAATTCACGAGAATTAATGAGCGGCGTGCATCGAGGGCCCGCCATTTTGAGAAGGAAGTTCTGAGGTAAGGTTATCGAAGTCTTTCGTTATTTTTTGCCGTAATTGGGACGAATACGGTATGGTGAAACGTTCAGATACGTGTATAAAGAGGTGTAGGTTGTGTTGAACTCAGTTATATCGATACTTTTGACCACGGGAAGCGGTTTTGTCGAAGATTTATTGTTGTGACGGCGGGTTCTTTGTACGTTACGCCCGCCCCGTGTGTGGGGCGTTGGGCCGAACAAGCTAAACTTTCCGCGAAATATTTAGATCACTCTTTAAATTATCTAGGCTTACGTAAGCCACAAAAATGTTCTTCAACTATGTTTGATACTCTTGAGTTTGTTTGGATGGCTAAACAGTGTCTAAACGACCGATTTGCTCTTTTCAAGCTCAACAAAGCTGCCCAAGTGTTTTACTTTTAGATTTAGGGTTGTTTGTGACCTAACCAAGGCCGTGGGCGACTGGAACCTTGACCTATGATCTAGGGGCAGCTGAAGTATTTTTAGTGGGAGGAAGAGGACAATACAAGCTGCAATTTGCCACGTTCCCAGCCCTTTTCAGAAGCACGCCAGCCAGCCAAGTATAATTGGCTTTGCTACTTGTATATTTTACATGATAAAACAAGCCATTTATAATTTAGCCCCCCACCCACATCCCCAACACAGGAACATGAATAGAACTTAGAAGACAACAACGTGGCATAGCAGCAGTGAGTGCACAGTTTCAGACTACAAATATGAGTAAAAAGTACTAAAAAACCTGTCCTAGATATTAGGTGAAATCGTAGACATTTTTGCCAAATTTCTGGACATAATTTGGATGAAAGTTTGAAGATTCGAGTAGACAGAACTTTGTTGGTGGCAGGAAAACACCAAACTTCTTTATTATTTGCCCTCTTCTTAAAGTAAGTTAATGACAAAAGACTACAATGGATGAACATCACATCACATGACTCTAGAGTCTAGTAAGCCGTTATCCTTGCCTCTCACATATAATAATTCCCATTCCCTGTTTCCAAACAGCCCTGACAACTTAAACCACCAACCAAGCAGACGAAATCAACATGTCCTTCTACGGGAACAACGACTGCCGGATCTACGTGGGAAACCTCCCCCCAGAGGTGCGGGAAGACGACATCAAGGACGTCTTCTGGAAGTATGGCAAGATCATCCATGTGGACCTCAAGATCGGCAGGGGCCCGCCGTTCGCATTCGTGGAGTTTGACGACAAGAGGTGGGTGAAAGATGCATCGAAGACTAGGAATCTGTAGTCTGTTTACAGGCTAAAATTGACAAAGTAGGAAAAGAAAAGGGTGAAACTGTACAAGCAGCCCATTCTAGGCAAGAATGTGGGCAAAAAAGAACTTCAGTTACTCTGTCAAATGCAAAAGCTGAGGGTGATACTTATCAGCTACTATGTAAAATACTGAGCAGAGAAACTGTAAACAGGATACATTTTTGTTGTGGGATAAAACAAGCAACACTGCTCACTGTGTGCGTAAACATCTGAGGAACGTATGGCACAAATATTTATACTTACTCTCTGATTTCTCTCAGATAAGAACTAATGAAGATTGTTATCCCATGTTTGTTTAGGGATGCTGATGATGCTGTGTATGGGAGGGATGGCTACACCTTGGATGGGTACAGACTGAGGGTGGAGTTCCCCAGGGGGTCTGCGAGGGGTGGCTTCGGTCGGAGTGGTGGTGGCGGCGGCGGTGCCCGCCGGGGTGGTGCACCCTCACGGAGGTCCGAGTACAGAGTCTTGGTTACAGGTGACTTGTTTTTCTTACTTGAAAAAAGTATAGTTGTCTTGACCTTGCCAATGAAATTTGTAGTGTTAGTTGTTATATTCATTTTGCTGCAGTTAGGGTGTTGCTTGCAAGGGGGCTACCAGTTAAGCAAATCAGCATGATATTACGTCTTACTGTGCTTGTATGTACCGGTGGTGCACTTGTAGCATTTTCAGTAACGGTGTTGCCTACAGCACTGTAACATGGTTATGAATCCATGATAATTACATCTTCCTCTGCTTGTATTTGATGTTGATAACTGTTAAGACACTGAAACATGAATTCTGGCTTTGAAGTGTTCCTCAAGGTTGTTCTTTCTTTCAACCAGGTCTGCCTCCAACGGGCAGCTGGCAGGACCTGAAGGATCACATGCGGGAGGCGGGGGACGTCTGTTTCGCAGACGTCTTCCGGGACGGCACCGGAGTCGTGGAGTTCTTGCGTTACGAGGACATGAAGTATGCCGTCAAACATCTGGATGACTCAAAGTTTAGGTCCCACGAAGTAAGTACCTTGGCCAGTTGAAGCGCAGGCGGTATTTCTCAACGTTCACACACAGTGTTGTTTGGAAAGTAACAGACAGTCCGCTTCTGCCCCCCAGCTAGAAGGTGGATGCCTCCAGTCAGGAGGAAGTCGCCTCGCCTAGGACCACCCGCTCAAATTTCCCTTCTAGGATCTGTGAAATTCTCTTCGGTTCAGCCAAAAACAACGGCCCAAACTCGCCTTACGTTGGAACACTCGCACAAATTGTCCTTCGGCCTGGATCGGTGAAATTCTCTTCACATAGCCCTAAGGTACATGTAGTTACGTCGTGTGTAGGCTAGAGATATACGGTTAGGGGATTCATCCACTTCGTAGAGGTTCTACTGACTGATGAAGGTTTTCTCACTGGAGTGGGCAGAAATTGTCCAGTCTGCTCCAAATCCATCTCTTTGGTTAGAAAGGAATGGTAGGGGATCCCACTCAGCACCCGTTCCCAAATGTTTCCGTGCTTCTCTAAAAACGCCCTCTTGGACTCAACGTGACGTGGCCTCTAGGCGGATGACCCAAAAATACATTGCAGCTCGGAGCACCAAATTTCCTAAGCACAGGATCACTCTCGATTTCCTAATAGACTGGAAAACACTCCGATTGTCACCCACATGTAAGGTAACAACAGGGAGGCCTTTCTACACTAGAGTTGGAAACAGGTAGGGAAGACATTTGGACGGTCCTGAAGAATTACCTTGCCTAGGATCAGCCAAATTTTCCTCGATCAGGATTCCCTAGATAAATTTCGCTCTCACGCTGGACGGGCATTGTAAATTTGAAGAGGCCACGGGGGCAGGTCGGTAAGTTGGAAACCTTGGAGCATGGAAGAAAGGAACGGGAGGGGATTCGGAACGGAAAAGGCCAAAAAAAGTTGCAGGGCCAGGACCTTTCGGGAGGGATTCGACGAGGATAGGAAAGGAACCTCGGGGAAACAAACAAACAAACGGATAGGATTCCTAGGGAGCTAAGAGGAATCTGGACCCCAAGTGAGCGGGGCTTGGCAGTCCGGACACAAGGTACTAGGGAAAGGAAGGCCCAAAACAAATCTTGGAAAAGAAAAGGGATAAGGAATCGGAAACGTAAGGAACTTTGGGAGCCTTGCGGAGCGTGGAGGGAGGTAAGAGCAGGCATCCCCATCAGGTGGCTTTGTTGTTTTCTTTGGCTGTAGTTGGAACCTGTGATGTCATGTTTTCATTGAGAATGTAAGGAGTGGATGTTGGATGGATACTGTAGATTGTGTAAGCAAGGTAGACCTAATCTTTTCCCCCCACCTTTAGCCGAGTTTTGTGTTTTTTTCCTGTGCCTTCTAATGTCTTGATTCCACAAACTTTAGGGGGAGGTAACCTACATTCGTGTGAAGGAAGACTCTCCGAGTGGTGGTGGTGGAAGCGGCGGTGGCGGCGGTAGCTGCAGCCCGCGCAACAGGTCCAGAAGCAGGAGCCGCTCGCCCTACAACAGGGACAACAGGCGACGTCGCTCACGATCCTCCCCGCGATACTCCCCAGTCCGCCGCTCGCGCTCTCGTTCCCGCTCGTAAGCGTCGGGGCAGAGCACATTCCGAGGAATCGTCACAAGTAATGCATGAAGGGAGTATGCCTCTGGCAGCGGTCGTAGTATTTTAGAGCTGATAAATGGGACTGGGCATCATAATCACAGGGGACCCAGGGTAGTACTAGAGACAGCACCATTCCACAGTCTTAAGCAAGAGGTAGAAAATCCCTGGGTGCAACATTGTAAATGTTAGGATAGTTGTGGTACAACAATATCCGATGTGATCACAAACATAGTTGGAAAATGTATAGTCCTTGATATCTTGGATATTTGTAGGAACTTTTTGTACTACTGTACTGCTGTTTCTGTCTTTTTTATACGGTGTGGTTAGGAGTAGCTAAGTTTGATAGGGCAGGAGATGTTGCCATAGGTGTTGAAAGTATAATGTGTGTGTGTATGAGCCTTATAACATGTTGTGTTACACAAATGAGGGTGGGGGTCACACATATATGTACATAAACCTGAGTGAATAGAACTAAGGGGCTAGAGATGCTGATCACTTTCTACACTCAGGGTGGGGGAGCTGTTCTGATCATTCACTTGTTTATCATTTCCAGTTGTAACATCTGCATCTATTGACCAACATCTATATTTTATACAAGCCTCATTTTTCACTAGTCTGTAGTGTAAAACAAAAATACCAGTAATTTTACCAAGGTAGTATCTAATCTAAAATAACTTTTCTAGTCTACAAATATGCTAACTTCTGATTGATTTGGGATAAGGGCCAGTTTTTACTTTGCATCTACACAGTGACTAATGAATCCTATGGATTTCTATATCTATTTTATGTTTGATAAATTGTTACTAATCATTTGTCACATCAATCATTTGTCAATCAACAGTAAGATGATACAGCGGTTGGGGATCTTCCATTTCATCTCTGTAACCCTTTTGGTTTCTGATGTTTGCCATTACTAAATGCATGTAAATAGCCAGGGGTGAATAGAAGACATGTTTATTAACAGTATCCAACACAGTTCAGTATTTTTGGTGAATGGTTGTTTTGGGTATGGGCGTTTTCATTTCAGGTTACAGTATCAGCTTCAACTTCAAGGATGTGACCAAAGTAACGTTTTCAGGAGTCACCAATATTTTAATGCTTCAATAAAATTCATCTTATACCAGAACGTTTGTGTTATCATCTTTCCTTTAAAACTTAGTTTACCTCAGATTCTTACACAAGTTCTCAGAATGTAACATAATGATTGTTTAATCCAAATAGTATGTCTTGCTCTGACTTACACTTGTAATCTACCATGGCATGAGAGCTTTAGGAAATAATGAGACATAAAGAGCATTGAATAGACAGCTAAATGCTAATACAAGTAACTGATAGTCATACAAACTATACAATACAGGCTATCAATCTAAAATAGTGTCAATACTGTCTAGAGTGAAAGCTGTACAAGGTTGGTCATCTGTCATATTCTTCTTTCTTTGGTAGAGGAATGTTCCCTGTAAAGCAAAAGGAATAGTGTTACTGTTTGAGCGAAGTAATGACAGAGTACTTAAATCATAGGATTGATACTGGGGGTAGTACATGCCCTTTACAAGCCTTGAGTACACACAGTTTCCAGTCAGTACTGACCTGGTGGTGCCACAAAGTAGTCTTCCACCACCTTCCCAGCATTCCTTAGTATTTCATCCTTGCAGTTTCCCTCTGTGACTGTATCAGCTCGCAAGTACAGCTCTCTGGAGAGGAAAGGGCATCATATCATCTGAGGAAAGGTATACATGTTTAGCGATGCCACCGGACATCTTTATTGATAAACCAGAAACTACAACGGACAGTTAAGTCTATTAAGTACTTGTTTCTTGATCTTTCTGGAATGGGTGAAGAACGTTCCTGTTGGTAGGTCAGTCTACAGTTGTACTACACACATCATACCTGTCCTCTAGAACTGAATCCATAGGTTCCACGCCAGTAGTGTCCACCAAGAACATCTGGTCTGCGAAGCGTATTGCTGCCTCCAGCCTGCTAATGCCTTCCTTGTTGGCAAAGTCCACCAGGGCTAGTCTCTCCAAATGGTCAATGGTGTCCTTGTCGATCTTCGTAGGCTATGAAGTTACACAGTGTGTTTTCATTATACTAACAACTGTATAGACATACACATGAAGAGCATGACTAGTGAGCTACAGCTATCGGAAAGACACGACATGTACAAGAGAGGGGCAACGTTACAAAGCAAAAGTAGCAACAGCAAATTTAAGGTCGGTTGTCAACTAACCTTTGGTAGTTTAGTCTCGTCAACCTCCTCCCATGTAGGCTCCGGGGGCACCTGTCAAAAAGGCAATGTATTATTTTAGCATTCCTCCGCTATACATAAGATGACTTTTACAATACACCGATTTAATATAGTTCTAAATCATGCCAAGAGTGAAGTCAAGTTACCAGTAACGTTACTGCAGCTGCATAGTGGAAGTAGTGCTCACCTTGGACGAAAGCCTTCGTGTTATCGCAAGTAAAACAGGCCTGCCAACAAGAGGCGCCCTGCACAGCCGTGGTAAGTGATTCATAGCTGCCCACACACCTGTATAAACTAATACGGACTGGAAAATTGGAAATGTTTTTACACGATGATTTTTTTCAGCTCCAGGCCGCCATCTTGAAAGTTGAAAGGTCAGAATGTCCTACTGGGTCACATCTTTGTATTCTTCCGCGGATTTAAAATGAAACTGTACGTTATTAAACCACAAAGACTACCTTTGATTTAGTGTGAAACATGCCAAAGAGTATATTAGAGTATTGGACGAAAAAAGAGGTGGGAAGTTTCTAAAACTCAGAAATTTAAGGATATGTTATTGTGGAACTACTTTGTTGTAGTGGAATGTTGCTTATTGCTGCGTACGACACAGCTGTCAGAAGGCTTCACCTCTGGAAGACTCGTAGTAAACAACATCCCGAGGAAAGACGCTGCATTCCTGGACATTTCTGTCTTCAGTATCGCAAAACAATCGCCATGAACAGCGTGGGATCCGAATGTAACGACATGAAGAGGGATTACGACCAGTGCTTCAACAAATGGTTCTCGGAAAAGTTCTTGAAGGGCGACCGAGCGGACGAGGCGTGCACGCCGCTTTTCAAGAAGTACCAGTCGTGTGTGAAGGTATCTCTGACCGATTCCCCCGCCTTCCCGTCCGCGGGGGCCCGGCGAAAAGGTACCGGCCTGCCAGCGTGTGTCACACTAACGCATGGGACAGACATTCTGCTGAAAACATCATCATGTAACGGCACACACATGATGTTCCCCTCCCCCATTTTTTATGTGCATTTTGTATGTCCATGTTTGGCCATATCGTAATGATCCGTAATGACTTGGTGATTTACGGTCGCCATGAAAGATGCACGCTGGCATGGCTGTGACTTTTGAACCAAAATATATCAGGTAACTTGCTACATGGAACTCTGATTACAACGTAACTGTATGGCAATGACGCTGTCTTCAGTATTATTTGTTAATCTCCAAGCAGATACTATGGTGGCAATACAGTATCCATTGGCCAGAGGTATGACCACTGGCCACCCTGTAACCATATGATGTAGACATTCCTCAGTTCAAGGGACACAGTTTTGCCACCGTAGTATCTGCTTGGATATATTATTATAGTATTAAACATGTACATGAAATGAAATGATGAATAAAGAGTATTTGCATGTTCATTTCTCTTCACCAGAAAGCAATGAAGGAAAAGGAAATAAACATCGAGGATGTGGAAAGAACAATTCTGGGTACAAACAGTGAACCACAGAAACCACCTTCTGCAAAACCATCCAGTCAGGAGTCCACATCAAAATCTGGAGCATCCTAACAACGGACCCTTCCTCAGACTTTCAACTACACAAGATTATACTTAGATGTAGATAGCTGAGGGACAAAATACAATGTTTACAGCGACACCAGGATTGACTTTAGGTTGTATTTGGTTAGATATTCCTCATCTTGTAATGTTGAGAGGGGAAAAGTTATGACTGTACAACTGTAAGGATCAAGTGATGAAGAACACCTTGATGAATTTGTGCACTAAACCTACGTGTCGGTTTTATTCATTCAGTCTTTGACAATACGGAAAGACAAGAAGCATGATGGTGATAATAATGTAAGGGAGGCAACTCATGTCCTGGATCAACAGTTCCTGGTTGGACAGGGTTTAAGTTTTTCCATCAGCTTTTAGGAGAAATGCAACATGACCATTCTCCAAACCAACCCAGAGAAGGCTTCCTCCAATCCCTGCTGTTGAAACATTCTAAAGGCAGATTATATCTGGCACATGTAGATACCGGGAGGACAAATGTTCTTATCTGCACTTTTATTGCCTGTCTTGACTATGTTTGACATTCAGTAGCAAATATTAAACCAAAGGTTTTTTTTTAGAAAAAGTACTTTTAGGTATGTACTTAATAGAGTAAGAAGTGAAAAACGTTTCTTACATAAATGTAGCAAAGTATAAAAACAAAATTTTATAAAACAATTATGGCAAATGCCTTTGGTATGCAAGTTCTTGAAGCTTTGATTTCATAAACTTGTTAGTGCATGCAATATGTACAATGTATTTACGAAAGGGATAGGATGATATGGTATGATCATTGTGCATTAAGGGTTACTGCTGGGTAACTCATTGTAGCAGATGCAATTTTTGTACTGACAAGTCATTTATGACACTGTCAATAAAGTTGTTTTTTTTAATCATGTATTCATAATTCTTGTAATAGATAACAATAGCAAACATTTTCTAGAGAAGCCACATGTTTTACTCTGGACAAATACATAAGCATTCTATTATAGACATAAATAACTAACTTGGATCAAGGACAGTTGATTGCAAAGGTAGAGAACTGATTTCAGACAACTCAATAAAAGTACATGCAACTATGCACATAGTCAAAGAGATAGAAATATTCCACATACAGTTCTGTCGCAAAGTCAGAGAGAGTCTAGCACATGCGTTGTTCCTGCTTGGCAGTATCAAAGAATTGTTGAAGGCACTCAATTTGTGTCACAACATTAGAGACTTTCTATAGAAGCAGTACTGAGGTGGTGGATTGCACAGCTGCGACCAGAACTACTTGAAAGGGTTGTAACATCTAATAACATAATTCTGCCAGGTCATTTATAATAGTTATATCCACCACATTGAAAAATAGCATCTAAAGAGATCTTCAATGCGACACCCCCAGTGTAATGCACTCCTGCATATCTAAATATCAGCTGCAATAATATTTCAAAGTGGACATATGTCACCTGGTAGATATATGAGGTTTAGTCAACACACATTATCTGTAATTTCCGTTTTCAATGAAGAACTATAGCTTTCCACTACTCGCAGTCACCTGAATCATGGAAGAAAAAGACTTCTAAGGACTTCTTTATACAAAATGACAGTACAGGCCTCAGTTACCTTTACATTGTAACTGCACATATGGCAGTTCTCAATAGAGTCTGTACAAGTTTGAAACACAGAAATACACCAGTTACATATTATTCTACTGTGACAGACATGGATATACAGGACTATGCTATGTTTCCATATTATTGAGAGGTATGTGGATATGTGTGAGTATTGTACATAGTTCTGAAAAGGGTGGGCCATTTTCAACGAAGTGTGGCTTTCAATTAGGAGGCAGTTTGGATAGTTAGTGTCAGGTGTGGGCTGCATTTAAGTTCCTATCAAAACTGTACAGTATCAGTCTTCATGATACTTTCCTGTTGTTTACATCCACCTCATCTAGTTAAGAGTCTGGTCTACCTGTGTTTTCTGTAGATGACAGGAAGTTCTTAACGTTAAAAACTTTACACTAATTAAAGCATTTGTATCCATCTAGCTTTTATGTACAACTCTACATATTAAGACACTATCTAACAATTCTAATAGACACATACCTTTCCTACCGCAACAATATACTCTATACTCTTCATTTCTTTACAAAACATAGTCTACCTATTCAACTCAGTCCATTTAACTGGACTTGCATATAACAAATGCTTTTAAATTTGTGCCCATAGGATTTGTAAGAAACTACAATGTGATGTTATGTACACCATGTACAGTATAGACAAATAAAAAGAGAAAACAACATGTAAAGCTAACTACCTTTTTAAAACCATCCTATCTACAACTGTGTAGGCTGACAGTTTGGTTCAGACTCAGATTATCTTATAAAGCGATAGATGCCATATTTAACTACTTAATGTCATGTAACTATCAACTCATTATAGAAGAACTCTGCCACTTCAAATACACATGTTTCAAAAAGCGAGAAGAATCTCTGCGGACTGGGTAGGATAGATAGAATAATAGGTATTAGATAACAGTCTTGATAGTATTGTTGTAGAATGTACATTTGTAGTACCTATTAGATACAGATACATATATACATATATCTTTGTAATGCATTTAGCCCTATGGGCAAGAACATGCAATAAAGATCATTGTCATTGTCATATAATTTTACACATAGATGTATACATGTAGATGTAGCAGTAATTGCAGCAGAAGTCAGTGGGAAAAATGTGGAGCCTATCTTATCCAAAGGTTGGCTCTCCTTTCCATCTTTGTTACACTATACTCACACAGTGCATCATTGTCTTTCAGCAATTTTTTCTGGTCAATGTATCCATGTATGGGCACATGAGATACAGATACATATTGTACTGTCCACAATTATTTGTACTTACATAAAGCAACATGACAAGTTCATTCACTATGCATTTAATCAGTGCTACAGTACCAGCCATACATTAGTGGCTACTCCCTAAGAAACACATACTAGTTGCACATAATGCATAGTGAGTGAAGAGTCACATGCAGAGTCGCAGTGTCTGCATAGCCTATGGTATGCATAGCCAGGGCCTGACGCATGCATAGTCAATGCCTGATGAATACAATTGTACATAGTCCATGTGTACATTTTTTAGTACTGAGGCAGCTAGAACATTTTAGTACATTACAGTAACTGAAGGTTTAAATTTGAACATTGCCTTCAAATATCAATAATATGTACCACAGTTCTTATAAAAAAACATTCGCAGTGTCATAAATACATGTATTGCCAAGAAGCTTTCCACACTGACTTTTTTAAAGGTGGTCCCTGTATCTATTCAGTGCTATTGGAATGTAATTCTATAATCTTAACAATCACCATTTATCTAGTACATGTATCCATACAAAGTTAGAACTACATGTACATGGTGAATTTGATATAATATAAGTACAATTCTGATGGTTGAATGACTATAGCCTGACCACTCTATGGATCAAATTTGCTGATTTGGGGCAGTTTACAGTGTAGCATGTAGAGAGGAATTTTGAGAGACTATCCTACAGGAAGTCAGAAAAGGCTAGGGTATACAGGCTGCACTGCAGCTTCAAGTATATACTGGTAAGTTCTACATAGACAGACAGGGCACTTGAGTGAGGAGTTTTACATGACTTCCATCTCTACAATCATAATCATTCCCACAATACCAAGATAGCCAAATAGCTACATGTATTTCAACACTTAGTCTTAATCTGTCTGAAATCTGGGTACAAATTCCACAGGTTGGTATGATGTTTCCCCTCTTCAGTAAGCCACAGGTCTGTTGAGCCTGCCTCCCAGCCTGGGGGGTGCAGAGGGAGGGGAGGCCAGGCCCTTACGCAGGGGGGTCTTTGGTCTCTGCAGGGAGGGGATCCCAGTCTTCCCCTCGTGCTGGATGTCATGCAGTAGAAAATAGAAGAGAAAGAGACAGGTTTAGTGTGGTGTGATGTAAATCCAAACTTTTCATCCCAAAAGTGTAACTCTGACACTGGAATTTAAGGAATCTAAGCTATTTTTTCTCTTTTTCGAGATAAAGGTAAATCACTTTCCTGTGACATCTAGAACATAGAAGCCAGCACCACGGTGTACTAACAACATAACATGTATAAGGGGGTCTGAAATCACTTTTCTGTAATTTCTGCTTGTGGCTGAAAATTATTGCAAGGTTAGCTTTAGAATTAAACATTATAGTCTCATCACATTGTTTACCAACTGATCTCTCCTGACCCTTTAGGTGAGCCTATATACCGGAGGTAGAATTGCTGCTTGCTTCAACATTTTTGTGAGATTGATCTTGGAATTGAACGTTTAATCACATAGTTTACCAATTGAGCTCTCCTGCCACTTTGAGTTAACCTACCGGAGGTAGAATTGATGCTTGCTTCCTGCTGACAGGCCCATGCCTGTTACCATGGTAACCTGGCTGGGGCACGCCCAGGTGACCGTTGTCCTCATTGTCCTCCTCCTGAGGACCGTCTCTGTGAGAATGGTGGTCGTCCCTGTGCAGCTGTTCTCCATACATTCCTGATACATACAAAAGAAAACTTTTGCATAACTAGGGGATAAAAGTTTATAAGCTATGAGATTTAATGTAGATCTATGCATATATGGTATACTGAAAGCATAATCCAGAGGCAAGCAGCACTGTTACTTCAGAAGAAGGTTGAGGGTTGAAATTCTGGTTTGCTCGTTTTTCACGTCCTATGAAATAAAAGGCCAGATCAGACCTTTCAGATAGCATATGAAGCTAACGAACATCAAATGAACATCAAATGAACAACATCCCCACACACATTCATGCTCACAGAGTTATAACATGACTGGTGTGTGCCATGTACCTTTGCTGTGTTTAGGTGGGGGAGGGCTGCTACCGAACGCTGCCCGGGGGGAGGGGGGAGGAACAGGGGCACTGGGCCGCTCGATCTCCCAGGCTGGCATCTCATGGCCATGGTCTTCTGGTCCTCTTCCTGTGAAAAACATCATTATATATAGATATGTACATTGTCATGTGATTGGTATGGTTTTGTTATAATCATAATGTCTACTGTAGTCTTTGTTGATCTCTGTACTGCCAGTGATACTAGATAAAAAGTTATTTCCATTTCTCTTAACCTCCCATCCTGTGACTTTCTACATTAGTCCTTACTTTGCTGAACTGTTCAGACTGAATCAAAACTATAGTTTTTCAGTAATATGAGACTAAATCAAGCTGTACATTTCCATCTCTCTTAATCACACTGAAGTAGGGAGAGGGTAAAAGATGTGCCCACCTTCCCCTATGGTGTGACTGGCTGGTCTGTTAGGCCTGAGAGGTGCGGGGACAGACTCCTTCTCAGCCTTGCTGCCTTTCTTCTTCTTCTTCTTCTGTTTCTCCACCGGCTGGAGTGGTCCCAGGGGGGCCAGCTGGGCGGGAGGGGGATTTCGTCTCTGCTGGGGTTCGGGGGGTTGGAGGTGGTGGGCTGGGGAGGTTGGAGGGGGTGGGGGACAGGCAGGGGGCCGGTGGGGACCTGGAGAGGGGGGTACTCCTGTGGGTACATCTCCTGAGGTGGGTAGCTGTCATAGTATTGCATCATCTGGAAAAGAATAATCAAACAAATTCAAGATCTACTGGTATCGCATGTAATTTGTTATGGTGAAAAATGCCTAAGAAGATAACCCATACTGATAAATTCTGTGGTCTATGCACCATGTCGGCATGTGTGGCTTAGTTTGGTGTTTGGTTTGATACAACCCTTGAAAACTATAGATTCTTAAATATGCAAATACAACCTCAAAGGAGACGTTCTGTCAAAGTATTTTTTACATTACAGGTTTCGTGCAGGCGCAGTACATTCTATTGACGGGATGGTCTATGCAAGCCATCCAAAGCAATACTCCTATACCCAGAAGTACTGAGCTGGTCCCACCTGTTGATTGTTAGGTGGGGGTGCCTGGCCCCGCGCTGGGGGATGAGGTACGTGGTTCACATGTTGTTGCTGCTGAATACCTGGTCCTCGGGGAGACTGAAAAAATAAGTAACATCCTTATTATTATAGCACGGATTCTAAAGAAATGAACGGTACATGTACCAGTCAAGATATGACTCAATTTTAAATTTAAAAACCCCGAAATGTCCATATTTTGGCACTAACAGTTGAAGAAAGCCATTGCCTTCCTAGCTGTTACAGTTTTACAGAGTTCAAAGTTTAAAATTACTTGAATGATAAACTAACCCTACTATGTTGACATTGTGGCTCCTATGGTAGCATTTATACTATCACAGGATGCCTGGTATGTTGTTTTCTGATTTCCTACAAACTTGAGAACCAACACATCAGGTTCTTACTTGCACAGGCCTGCCCTGCCCTTCCTCCGTATCTGGCCCCTCCCCATCGATGTCTGACACGCTCATCCCCACACTCAGACTCTGGTCACTGTTCACGTCACTGTTACTCCTGGACCGATCAGCAACTGAAAAGCAAATCAAACAATATGGTAAGTAAAAGGTAAAGAAGAAATCTCTTAACAGTAGTGGCTTGGCTGCTTTTTTGTGACTGGAAGTCTTAAAACTGTTCCTTTTAACTTGATTTATGTTAGAACGCTGGGTGCATTTTGTGAAAGGCATCAGAAATTTAGGATCTGTAATAAGACTTATGCAATATAGATACTTTTTAATATTACATGGATACTTAAGATAAGACATATGAGAAAGCATATCCTGTTACTTAATATGAAAACAAGATTTTCTCTTGTACATTCAGTACAGATTTGGACAAGAATTCCAAGCAGACTTGTACATTTTGTACCTTTGTTGTTTTGACCGACATCCATTCTGTCCATAGATTGCACCAGCTCCCCCTGTCCACTCAGCTGGGACTGCAGCTGTTCTCCCTGCCTGCTCTCCTGATCATCCTCTTCCATTGGTTCTGAAAAAAATAGTCATCAATTTCATTTCACAAGGTTTTACAAAACCATCAATACAAACAACCAACCAACCAACCAACCAACCAAACAAACAAACATACAAAAACATTGGGGATTGCTGTAACAACCATTCAAGAGATTTGCAGAACACTTTTTATGTGTCCAAGTTAGACGTAATTCTTTAGTCATTATAATTAGGGTTTCTACTTGCATATTATGTGAATTTGATATATAAGTTAATATTAGCCACTCCTCTATGGAGTATTATCCCTTCCAAAATTACGTCCATTACTATGTTCCCAATTCTCCTGACTTAGAGATGTGGGACATCAAGCTTCTAGGCGCCTAACCAGTAGAAGGCCATGATATAGTCATGCTCAGTGTCCATCCTACCTATTGCACTGTGGTTTTGCTGTTTGTGAGGTTCGTTCTTCTGTCTCTTGGACGCCCTGCTGGGGGGTGTTGGAGGGGGGTGCGGTGGGTGTGTCTGACCCTGGGGGGTGTTCCTGCTGTGATGGGAGGGGGGGAGGTGTCCGGACTCCTGCAGCTGCTGTCTCTGGTGCGCCTCCAGGACCAGCATGCAGTAGTGCAGCTGTCGGTTCTCCGCGTAATCCCACGCTGTGGCGCCGTGACAGTCTGTCGCCTGGAGGTTGGCTGGAAAACAGGGTTGAAATGCTTTTCTTAAGCAACATTTGCTAAATACTGCTGCTGTGACAGGAGCTTTCTTACAGGACATAATGACCTACATGCCAACATATGTGTATCATACTACGTCCAGTAACAGAGCTATTGAATGCAATGAGTTCAATACACCAGCAATTGTAAGACACAACCTGAAACCAGCAGTTCCACTTACATGTATTAGAGTTCTGTATCAAACATGCTCATTATATTTGATTTTGAATTTTATTTCCCGATGAACCAATATAATTGCACGGATGAAGCAGTATAATTTTTTTTTTGTTTTTAATTCCAGGAAATCATGACATGAAAAGGCAAAAATCCACACCTCCGTTCTCCAGGAAGAAGTTGACGACCTCTCCATGGCCACAGATGGTGGCGAGATGTAAACACGTCCTCTTCTCATCATCTCTGTCATCCAGACAGTCCTGTCCCAACTCAGACAGCATCAACTTACAGGCTGGCATGGCACCTGCACAGGGGAGAGGTCAGGGTCAAGGGATAAGGAACATTTCATCCTAATTTTAGCTAGAGCCATATGTAAATTGGCTAACACACAACTTACATTAGAAAAATAAGCTCCAAACTCACAAGCTTGTCCTCAAGGAGTTATACTCCAAGCAAATCCAAGCCCCGACGGCAGGACAGACTGCTATGGGACCGGTGAGGTGAGGTGAGGAAATCCATAAGATTAAAGAAATGTGCCCTAACTCCTTGACAGTTACTTACCCTGTTCAGCTGCCACGAGGAAGGCTGATTTGCCCTCGTTGTCGACTATAGCTGCCATGTTGTGGTTCTTCAGTAAGGTCTGCGGAGACAGTTCATAATGTAGAAAAATGGTTACTGGTTAATGATGTATTGTCCATACATGTACTTCCTCAATTCTAAGTAGTGCTGGTAAAACTTGTCTAATGCAGTTAATGTTACCGGCACCAGTGAAGGCATGCAGAGAAAAAGTACCTGAGACCACAGAGTTTTACAACTGGGTTCTTACATGTAGAACTTGCAGTGGTTCTGTCTTCCTGACTGCCCAGTGGGTCCACGTCCTCCCCGCCATGTCCCGCTCTATCCCATCATCCTCCTCTGTGTCAAAGGTCGGGGCAGACTGGATCATGTCCAGGTGGTGGATCATGTCTGCCCGACACGCCCACATGCAGGGGCTCATGCCGTCACGGTCACGCAGCGTGGGGTTCGCTTTCCCTTCTATCAGTAACTGTAGGACAGGGAGATGAAGGAAAGGATGTTTTAGTTCCTCGCGTTGACAGTAGATACATTTACACAAATGTACAATGCATTCTGAGCAGAAGTCAGAGACACAGAAATAACTGGTGCCAAAAAAACTTTAGTATTTCACAAAGGACGGGGTTAGCTTCCCTTCAATCACCAGCTATGACAATTGGAGATAAAGAAAATGATTTTTAAGCCTGAATGCATCATGTGCACTATTTGAAGTTCTGATGTTGTAACTGTACTAAGTTTAAACATGCCACTCCTTGCTTTACTATTCTTGACTGTTTGCTCACGCTTTTCAGAACAAATGTGCTGAATGCTGTGTATCATCATGACTTACCTGCAGACACCCGTTGCTCCCCCCAGCAGCTGCCCAGTGAACTGCAGCACGGCCCTGGATGTCCTGCAGGTCACAGTTGGCTCCCTGCTGCACCAGCTGCTCCACCGCAGGGGCGTGGCCCAGGTTTGCTGCCATGGCAACTGCTGTCATACCATCTGGGAGTACAAATCAACAAATATTTATTTAAGTCATCGTTGCAAGACACAACATACAGTAGCATGGTGCACCTATATTCTTGATCAGGTGACCAATTTCTTTATGTGGAATTCTTTATTATTCTTTATCATTGACCAATTTCTTTATGTGCAACGGTATATTTCAATTGTTAATGTGTTGTCTGGACATTTCAAAAGTATGTTAAACTTAAAGAGTAACTTTATGTTCATGTACAATGTACTTGGTATAATATTTTTTAGCCAGGCCTCTACCGATGTGATCTGTCGGTGGCAGATTCTAGACTGAAGTCTGATAGTTTATGTTATCTCAAGTTGTATGGTGATTTTATAGTTACTGTACAAGATTGCCTGTTTACTCAGTAGTTACTAATGATTGTACAGTTGCCATTACCATGTGCCTGTACATCCAGGTCTGCTTTATTCTCCAGCAGCAGGCTGAGACAGTCTGGCTGGTTATGACACACGGCGTACATCAGGGGGGTCCTGCCCAGGCTGTCTGTCTGACGCAGGCACTTCTTATCTGTGGAAAAATAAGCACACAGTTCATCAGGAGGGATGGAAGAAATACTTGTATTAAGCCTACAGTTGGCAATTTTAATAACCATTTACTAATAATCCATAATCAGACACTGTCAGAATTTAGGAGAGATATAAAACATATTGACAAAGGAATCATAACAGTAAACATAATATTATTACTATAGTCATTCTATAGTCATTCTATGTATAACTTATAATGTTTGCGCTATAATTTACAACCTTAACATACTATACTACATATGCATGTGCATCTGACACCTGAAAACAGAAAAATTCTTTGCACTTGTAATATCCAGTATAACTTTTCCACTAGAGCTAGGCGAGTGAAATGTCAAAGTGACCAGTTTATTAAAACTATATAAAAGCAAACAACCATATGTATTGAGGGCATTAAAGGCTTTTTTTTTTGTCAGGTAACATACAAAAAAGCAGCACGTCAGATAATGTGCATTTAGCTTATCAGGTATCCCAATTTTCCATTAATGGACCCTTCCAAGAACTGGCCTAAGGTTGTTGCTCTAATACAGGATGCGTGCCAAGCAGCTAAAGCATGAAGACAGCATGTTAAATAATAGATGTGCTATTTCTCCTCACACATACCTGGCAACAGTAATCCCTCACATAAACCTGTCCAAACAACCCAGGCTTTCATAGATCACACCAAGATCTACAAAAGCCTTTCATAGATCTGCTTATGTCAGCATCTTAAATTCACTTAAAAATCTGTCTTTATGTCTAAAATGTGTTTTTAGTAAAAATATGCTGGACAGGTTGCTTGAAAGGAAGTGACAAACATTTTCTCCATATTATAACTATAAAATATATCCATGTCTGTGTACTGTGTATAAGTTTATGAGTGCAGTGTGTCTAACTTTCATGAAAAGAAATATTTTTCATCTTAGAACTTTGAATTTCACCCTGGACTATTTCTGATTACTATATATACAAGAAATGTATTTTTTGCTTTTGTCATAAAGTTCATTACTTAACTCTTTAAAGTTCAAACCATAATAGTTCACAACAATGTATGGTATCTAGAAGTTACTAATAGCTTAGTGTGCATCTTCAATTCTGCAAATAACTATGTTTAACTTAAAAATGAGAAAATTACAGCATATTATATCAAATTATCTCCTCATATCTAGACATATTCAGTCTACTGAAACTCTTATCTTAAATTTCCTTTGAGAAACTCGGTAATAATCTTGAGCTGCATTAACCTTTGGTATTAAGACCAACTTTCCAACCCATTAGACAAGATTGATGATAAAAACAGCTAAGAAACAACAAAACCAAGGGCAAGACTTTGACCCTGTAGCCTAGCAACCCTGACTGTTTATGTCTCTGGTGGGTGTGTTGGCACAGAGCATGTTTGGATGTGTGTGTTATTAGCCCACGCCCTGCTGCCTACAGAAGTCGCCGCCACTCACACAAAAGGACTGTTTGGTCTAACAACGGCATTTGGTTAGGGCCCAATGAACCGTTGAGAAACCTTCAAAGGAGCTCTGAGCTCTGTGATGTTGTTTGACGCACAGTACTAGTATTAGTAGAACTTGTGGAGCTTAAAGTAAGAAACTTCTGCCATAAAAATTTTGGACTGTTAAGTCTTCATCTGAGTTGAAATTATTTCTCACATTGCATGTAGTGACTACATCGTGTACTTTCTGACAAGTTGGCAACCCTACAATGTGCTGAAAACACTAACTCAACGTACTACATTGTTGGGTTACCATGAAGTGCCCTGCCTGGTGCATGATTTTTTAGTACTTTGAAGTGGAGATCAAACATGATTGTTTGCTTTCTATGGCTTGTGGGTGTAATATGGGAACCTATGTGTCAAGTGCAGGACAAAACATTGACTTATGCCTAGTATGACATTTGTTGACCATTAAGTTCAAATTAGAGTCATAACTATATAATGCTTGGACATTTATCACTACATCATGTACATTGTAACATAATAGTACTGTATGTTGCATTTCACTTCAGAAGGGCTCCAACTACTCCTACTGTGAAATCACTAGTCTTAAAGGTTAAGACAAGATTCATTTCAGCTAACAAAGACTGATACTAGTACCAACATAGATCTCAATGAGACAATGTAATTGTGTCTGACTGTCTTGATTAACAGGACTCAAAATACCACTTGCAACCACATGCAGGTCTTGAGTAGAACTGGATTTGTGTAGCTGTCTTTTTAATAAATTGAATTAAGGAATCCAAGCCCTGACTTCTAAACTGTACTGACTAGATCTCTTGTTGAATCACATTTAGTAAATACTGGTTGTACTAATCTCCTATACATATCTTACCTTTCTCTATGAGCTGTGCAACAAGCTCCTTGTCCCCTTCCTTCACTGCCTGAAGAACCAGCGGAATCCCGGAGTCTTTCCTCCCGTCAATTGGAAGGCTCCCGTTCAGAGGCACGCTGTGTTCTATATTCTGCCACCTCCAGCTGAAATGGTCCAGAAAGTCGTGAGCGGGGGCGGCGGGACTGATGCCTCCGTGGGGCATGGACGCGGCGAGGTTGACCTGTCCGCCATCTTTCCTGCGGAGCCTCAGCAGGCGGTAGTAACGCTGCATGTGCACCAGAACCAGGTTCAGGCTGTCCCGCACCTCTGCACATTCAGGGTCCTCACTGATCTTCAGGAGCAGCTCTTGTATGAAGGACACTGCCTTCTGAAAATCTGAAGAACAGAAAATTATAATCTCAGTAGTATCATCATTTTCTTTATTGTTGATTAAGGTGACAAGCCTACAAGATGCAAGTATGACCTAAATTTGTGACAATATTCCAATGATTTGGCCACTGTAGAAATTATCATCTATTTCACTTAAAAGAGCTTCTATTCTACTTTCAATTTCGTTTTTTTTCTTCTCATTTTTCATCTTTTGAAACCTTTGCTGTTTGTAAATGTTAAAAAATATATTATCCTTTATTTTGTGCATGTTCAGTCTGTTGCATGCCTATGGAATAAAAAGTGTATTTTTAAGTTCCATTGACTCAAGTTTGAGCGAAATTTTGAGTTCCTTCTGTGACAGTCTCTCTTGCAAGGCCGAAGAGTGTGAAGACCCTTAAAACACACCTGGCCCTTCAACATTCTCAGCTTCGAGACCTTTTTCACCCCTCCTTTGCTACATCTACAGGCTATTGTGCTTCAAATTCTTGGTTAATCACTCAATGAATCTTGTTCTAAGTAGGTACAGAGAGTCTTTAAGATACAGTTTTACAGAGAAAAACACAACATCTACTTCTTTGTATTGAGAACAAATGAAGCCCTCTTACATGTACACTCAAGTGTCCCCACGCTAAAATGAAACGCAAATCACATTGATGCAATTATTGATCCTGCACACAACAAACAGTGGTGATCTTTACTAATTACCCCTGAACTAATTTGCCAACCCATAAAACAATTTGAGTAAACAGAGGTTTGTTAAAGCAATGAATAATTCACACTTGTCACACCTAATAAATTAAGTAAAGATTTTGCCTACAACTACAAGTCATTAACTTCTCAGATCAAGAACTAGTACTAGCAAGGTACTAGTAATTAAAGCCGATACAAACAAGCACTATTTGGTGTAGCAATATTTTCTTTATTTTGACACGCCATTGTCTTGCATAATGGACAACAGCAGACGGCTATGCTTAGAAAAACAAGTGCTGACCTAAATAAATATGAAGACGACAAAAGATGAAAATTATGTTAGTTATAGTCCCTCGAGATCATGGGGGTTCTGCACTTCTGGTTTGGCGAGTTTTCTGCTAAATTTTATAGACTAAAACTTTTGATCCCAGAAATGCTCCATCGGTCAGTCCACAACAAGACGAACCTTCCTTATTGTCTTAACACCTTTCTGTCGAATATTTAAGGGCTCGGAAATTTTAAGACTTCTTCCGGGAACCATTTTATTATCTCAATTGCCTTGCTTGAGGCTTGACATGTCCCTACTGCACGTCCTTATTCATGAGACAGAAGAGTGTCACACTGATATCTGTGTTCAGAATCTTACAATCAGTTTTAAACCTTACCGATCACGTTTTTAAGCGATGTAAACAGTCGTGACAGATGCCAGTGAGATGGTAGTTTATTTCCGTCAACACCGTTACGCAGGACGCGCCCCCACCAAAACATGGCGGGCCTCGCGAATCACCCGCGTTTCTTACCTTTCTTCTTCAGTGTCATCGCCTCCGGTGCGTGAATTCGGCCGCTTCTTGGTTCAGAACAATATTATGGACACAATCGAGTCGTCCGCATACTTGGAAAACGATGAAAAGGGCGAGTAAAACGGTGCCAAAGTTGTTGATTTCGCCCAGATGTCATGTCTCTGTCCAGAACCCAGTGTACTACCCGACATGCATCGCGCGGGCCGTCGGCAGGTGAGACACCGCATCAAAGCGCAACCAAGACTTGGAGCAACATTTTCCACTTTCCCTTGTTTTCATACTAAAGTTTTGCAAGATCAAGAGCACAAACAGTTACATAAAATAATTGTTATTTAAAACACAATTGTACGTCGTATTCTACGATTGTATAATGGTTTTATTGCTTTACTTTCCTTTTCAGCACTACTCTCTCTCTCTCTCTCCCATAGCTTAGTCAGCCGTCGGGGCAGCATGATGTTTGGCCAAGTTCTTCCACTGCTGGCGGTCCTCCGCCAGTCTGGCCATCTGGTTGGCTGTTAGACCAGTCCACTCTTTTAAGTCTGTAATCCATGACCGACGGGGACGTCCCCGCGGCCGTGCGCCTTCCACCTTACCCTGGAGTACTGTATGTGACAGTGTGCCTTTGGCCCTAGACACATGTCCGAACCACTGTAACTTTTTCTTCTTAACTGTGGTCAGGAAGCTGTCGAGTGGGCCTTGCAAGGTGTGGATGCGTTCCATGACCTCTTTGTTTGTAGTGTGTGATGTCCAGTGAACCCGTAGCAGTCTGCGATAACAGTTCATCTCAAACGCATTGATTCTCTTCACTATAGCTGCATTTAGAGTCCATGTCTCCGCACCATACAAGAAAATAGATAGCACAAGACAACGTAGTAGTCGTATCTTTGTTGGCATGGAGATGCTATGACTGCACCAGATGTGTTTTAGTTTCGACAGTGCCTGGGTTGACTTGGCAATCCTGACTTTCACCTCTTTGTCTGAGCTGCAGTCTTCTGTCTGGACAGAGCCGAGGTATGTAAACTCACTGACCTGCTCCAGTTCTGTGCCTCTGACTATGACTTGGCCATTTGTATCAGACGGACCGGATACAAGGCAGTTGGTTTTCTCCAGACTAATCTCCATACCGTACCTCCTGCTTGTGGAGTCCAAGCTGTTGATCTGGGATTGCTGATCCACTCTTGACCCATCCAGCAAATCCACATCATCCGCAAACTGGAGGTGGGTTATGGTGCGTCCTGCCAGTTTGATGGGTGCTACTTTTGGTGCTAAGGCTTCTCTCATTATGTTCTCTAAGAACTACACTATATGGCAATACGTATTTGTTTGGATGGTATCTTAAGGGGCTTTGCGATTGACAGTTGGGCCTAGTATGTTTGTTTGCACACCTGTCCTACGCTTAAGCCGAGTTTTTCATGACTCTTTGGTTAGCAGATTTTACCTTCTGGGCATGACAGTGAGTTAAACAACTGCAATTGTCAATGTATCTCAGTATACAACATTTATTGCAATGATCACTGTGTTTATTGCTGATGTAAATGATAAAGTTTTCTTAATAGATTTATAATAACGTTTAATCAGTCGTCTTGAAAGTGTCTTCTGTCATCTGGCTGTAATCTGTAGCATCTGTATGGAGTGGTTGCTGGGCAGATCTGACCCGCCTAGCGACGGGCTGTCGGCTCCAAATAAGGCAAGTGGGAAGTGCACACATGTCAGTTTCCACCTCTTCAGGAGGGCCTCAATCGACCAATCAGAGCTGGGGAAATAAAACAAAATAAGTTATGCCCAAATGCAAGGTAACACATAGAATGTAAGACAGTACATGTCTACATGTACTTGCTGTTCCTATGTACCTTATTGAGGTATCTGACTAATGATTTTTAAGGCTTGTCAATAGATATATTCAGTATAACCAGCCTTAGACTTTAGAGAATGTAACAGTTCATTCACCTTCTTTCCTGGTAAGTTGTCCAGAACTTGGCTTGTGGGTTCTTCTGTAGGAAGTAGTACACTGTGGCCAGCACATCCTCAAAATCTGCAGCAAAGAATAAAGAAAAATCTGACTTTCTAATTATAATCTAATGACACTTCAATATTTGTTTTGTTTGAGCCTTTGCTTATTCATGAAATACTCAAATCCACTTTTCATTCAGATCAATCACGAGGGAAGAAGTCAGGATCAGACAAAATGCAACAAGATACAGGTTCAGTTACAGTGATCAGTTACAGTTGACTAGTATCATGTCAACTTATGACAGGTAGCTTATTGACTAACTCTAATTATGAACATTACCTTTTGGATCATAGAAACAGTCAGACCCCAGGATCACATCCACAGGTGGCAGGGTCAACATAGCTGGTGACACTTGACCCCAGGTCACACCAAGCACCTTGACCTCTGACATGTTGTTGACCTCACAGCTCCTTCTGCAGTTTTCTAGGCAGCGAGGCAGGTGGCAGCTGTCCGTCAGGGTAACAGTAGCCCCACATTTGGCCGCTAGGATTCCGGGAAGGCTGGTGCCAGCACCAAGCTTTTAAAACACAACAAAAGAAAAAAAACCTCTGAATTTGGCAATGCACAGTTGCTTCACATCCATTATTAAAGGGTGACAAAAGATTTGACTTTTGGAAGACAGAGGGGCACAATCTGTTGCATGATGGCTAGAGACTTGTAGGGCAGCATTCCGTGATGCTTGTAAGCCAAAGGAAATGAAAACAAAGTGAAAGAAGTTTGTTCTCACCTCCAGAACATGTTTGCCCGCCACCTGTGAACGGTTGTGCCAGACGAACTGTGCCAGCACGGCAGCACAGGGCCAGGTGTACATACCATAGCTGGGGTCTAGCACCTGGAATGTTAAAAGTTAAAATCCAGGTTTTCAGAATAGGCTGTTTCCTTGCATGCTTTCTTTGGCTATAAATAAGGTGGTTTCTTTAATCTCCTTTCTACATACAACCTCCTTGCTATGAAGGATTAAATTCATACTTGTTGCTTAAAACTAGGAGGGCCTGCAAGGGGGGTAGTGATTACGAATTACGCAAAATTTTCGCCGCCTATTACGAATTACATTAAAGTCTCAGAGCTGATTACGACTTTACGATTTGCGACTAATGTCCAATTACGAATTACGTTGATTTTTGCGGAGGCTGCCTACGAATTACGAAGTCTAAAACGGCCTGATTACGCCTTACGAAAAAGGGCTTGCAGGCCCTCAACTAGTTCTAATAAACTCCGGGATACAAATCCAAATGTTTGCAGACTAAGTACATGTAGTTTCAATAGTATCCCCCATATCAGCCCCATGACAGTCAAATGTATTTTCGTATATTGTGATGGAAGTTGGTACTAAAGATGCTTCAGGTTTCTGGCGGCGTCACAACGCACCTAGCAACGAAGTACAGCACTGCAGTACAACAATTCCATTCACACACGTGCTCGAAACTAGCCTTGTAAAGATTTGTATTTTCCTGCAACGTCAATGTTATAACGTAAAAGTGACAACCATACACAGAAAAGCAACGGGTATGTGGAAATATAATGAACTTTATTGCTCAACAATAGTACATATAACTTGTTAATTTGTACAACTTGGTACAAGAGATAAACGTTACAATTACTTACATGATGTAAACATGTTTAGTATAATTAGGTACAACTGCTCACTGTACCCTTCATGTGTATAGTCTAGCGTAATGTAGAATGTACATGTAGAGTCGAAATATTCTCTAGCCAGTAGCTATTTATAATACTCTGTCAGATACAATGTCCGTTGACCATATACATAGCATTATGTTAGACATATACCAACTAGTAATCTTATTATTTGCCATACATTGTACCCGTGACAATCGTTGTGCAATAAACCTTGACTTGACTTGACTTGTAAATTCTGGAGCGCCACCCTCCCCCACTCACACATAATTCACCAGCGCATACTGACTGATATGAGCACAATAAAGGGATGTACCTCTGGCGTTTTTACTTCCACGGGTTCTCCATCATCCTTTCCTTCAAACCTGAACGTTTTAAAACTGCACTGCATGCTATACGAGGGCAGAAACTACGCTATAGTTGTAGGTGATCCGCACGTACATGTAGGAACATTTGGCGGCCATCTTGACAGCACACTTTGCGTCATTTCCGCTAGATGGCGCACGAGTACAGTGTTGTAATCTTGCTTTAAGAAACCGCACGACAAGAAAATATGCACAGTATTTTACTTTCAGTGTTACAGTATTGTGTTGAATAATTCTTAGAATGACTATGCTTGCTGCCCTATGCTTATAACTACTCAAACTCGAATTCGCATGTGCTCTCGTCCCCAGAGTCGGGTGGTAACTTTGGTATGTCGATGCCGTGATTGGTCAGCGTCTTTTGCAGGAGCGCGTTTTCCTTCAGGAGGCGATCTCGTTCCCTCTCCACCAGCTGGTGCTCGTGTTTGAGATGGTTCACTTTGTGTTCCCACTCTTCTTCCACTGATATGATGATACCTAGGAGGGGGAGGGGGGTAAAATTCACAAGATTTATTCGTTGTATAGTATCATGGCCACTCAACCACTCATTTAATTGTCATTTGCTTACTCACTAACATCACTCTCTCACTCACTCACTCACTCACTCACTCACTCACTCACTCACTCACTCACTCACTCACTCACTCACTCACTCACTCACTCACTCACTCACTCACTCACTCATTTACTTACTCGCTTACTCATGAATTCAATGCCGTCTAACCTTCATCATGTATTCATCCATTCATCCGCGGATCTGGTCTTTCACAATTCAACCGTTCAAAGTATCTCATAAATTAAAACCCCGCCGATGTTCTACTCACCGTTGACGATCCTGGTGATCCTCCAGAGCCTGAGCAGGATGAGCAGCCCGCCGGCGTCCGTGAAGGCGGAGGGGCGGACCAGCGAGGCGATGTCCAGCCCCAGAGACACCAGCACCACCACGGCGTCCAGCACGTGGAAACCGTTCTTGAAGAACTCCAGACGGTCCACGTAGATCTTCAGCGCGATCTCAACCACGAAGATGCCTGGAAATCAGACAAAGCGTATCTTCATCGTTCTTATTCCCGTAGTGATAGTTTTTTTTTAGAATAGAATTTTTTAGAATTACTGTATTGTCATTGATCACATTGTCGTTATCATAGTGTTGCCATACATTGTACCATGTACGAGAACTGTCGAGCATTTAATGTTTGTTCATGATCATTTATGCAACCGATGAGATTCAGGGCGGTTGGTTGCTAGGACATTCTTCTCCGTTGCTAGGCGTGTCTAGCAAAGGATGGGGTGTGTGTGCAATTTTAACCACAGTGAATACAAATACATGTATTTGTTCTACAGGCCATTTACAACTCAAGGAAAACATTTAGTACCAATAGTTACTAGTTTAAGTTACTACTACTTACTAGGTATAAACCAGTAGCCTACAATTGTGACAAAGTGGGTGATAAAGGGACAAAAAATCAAGAAACTGGCCACGTACACAAGATGAGGATACTGACGACATGAAGAACTTCTATCAAGACATGGTGGCATTCCTCGTGTCCACCTGTCCCATGATCCCCCGCATCGATCACGTGATGGCCAGGCGCACCTGTCGTCACCAGCCCTGTAAAACAGCCCGTTACAAACTTTCACTTTTAATATAGCAAATGAAATTCTCATACGATTTTACGGACTTGAAAAAAAGCACATAGGTTCCAGCATTTGATGAAATTTTGTCGCGCATCAAATTTCATCTCGGAAGCCTGGGCGCCATCCTATACCGGGGCCCCCATGCTAGCTTTCTATATAAGAAACTATAATGTTGGAACCTCAGTATACAAATGAGATGACAGCCAGATCAACCGTATAGTCTGTTGGCAGCAAGAGGTGAACCACAAGAAGGCGTACGTGCACCATATGCATTGTATAAAGCCCCAACCACTGCTTTGATATAACCTTTTTCTTACCCGTATAAAGAGACTGAGTAACATTCAGCAGTCCTCCAGCGTGCCCCGGTGCGTGAGTGGGCGAGTACGTGTGGCTGAGATGTCCCGTCCCGTTGTGCCCTGCCTTGGGTACGCAGACGTCAGGCGGGTCCGGACACAGCTTGATGACGCGCACGTCGATCAGCAGCTCCATGATGACGATAAGCGTGTCCAGCACGATCAGCACAACAATGGCGATGTGAACAGACTGGAGGAACAACGAAGCACTGGACTTAGCTCCTTTTTATAACATCTACAAATTATACCATGACCTTGAAAATCAACTTTCTACGAATAATTTCTGAAGGTCTTTTGTATGGCCACCCAGTGGATGCTGGGTGACTCCTATGAATTTTGTCTTTGCCTCTTTGGACCTTTTAATTCCTTTCTGGTCAGCTTTTGAACCCCTTTCGTTTCACTCCATGCTCTCCTGTCAAATTAAAGCTTTAAAGCTCCTCCCCCCACCCCCACTAGTACTCTGTCTCTCTTTCCTTATCTTTAGAGCGGCACTTAGCCTGCGTCACAATTGGATGTTACATATAATCATTGTTGCAATCATAGATACGTAAATGGAAATATTACCTATAATTGAAATTTTAGCTATAATCATTAACTCACCTGCCGCTCCAGCATGTGCTTCAACTTGTGTCTGCAATCCTGGTTGTCATGGTGATGATCACGTGATTCTGAGAAAAAGGTGACATAGGGAAGAAAGTAATCATCACCATGTTTGGAATGCTGAGACAACAGAACATATGCAAAGAATCATGAAGAGATAATCATACATCTGCTTGTAGATTGACGGCCCACGTGAACCCAGAGCCGTACCTGTGAGAGGATGGGTGGACGATGGTGTGGGTGGTGTCTCCTTCTCGTTCCCAGGGCCGACAGGCATCTCTGCAAGCTCCCCCATGTCTCTGGCTTCTGGGAAAGTTACATAAATATACGTCATTAATTCGTGTCTTCTCTACAAAAGTCTGGAAACGACGCTTATTGTAATGCTAAGTTAGAAATTAAATTCCTTCCCCAACCTTCCGGTGTATAGGGCTGTGCCCATCTCTGATTTCATAGCCCTTGGGTCACACAAGAGGCAGTACAGCGGGGTGCTAGTCCACTGGTAGCGGTGTGTGTTCAACTTTCACATGCGTACTCTTTCTCACAATTATGTAAAGACCTGAGCGCTAAGCAGAGAAAGCACTATATATGTATCCCCCAGTTTAGTAATACCCATACCCCCTCCCCCCAAGGATGACCTACTAGACTTTTCCGCCAGTTTATTATAACGTTGTTAAATCGATAGCGATGTTGAAGGTCTGAAATATCTTGTCTCTTTCATGAATATAGCATACACAGCCTGCCAGGCCTCATTTTACATGGCGTGCAACCTTGTCTTAATCTATTGTTTAGGCAATGATCTATCTCGTCCATAGTCAGATGTATGGCCAAGAAGCCAGTATGTTAACCTTTATGCCGAAGGGCAGCAATATTAGCTGGTTCGGCTTATTGATATAAATACAGATGCCTGGAGTCTTGATCGCTGACTTTCCAAACTGGGACATAATGGACCGAAAGCGGAAAACAACAGCGATAGTGGCAGTGCAAAATTCGCTAATCTGGCACAGTTATAGGTACATACACTTCCAGGTTCTATTTCTGGAGAGCCATAATAACCATACGGCCGGACACGATAAGAAACATTCCTCACACAAGATAAGGACAGTTCAGGGGCACGGACCGGGGAAGGTCTGGTGTTGACCTCACTTGTACAACTGTGCTTCCTTCCGCTTTCTATTTCCTCAAACAACGTTATATAATGGTTTATTTCAAATTCAAGTAACACCTCGCAGCCAATGGCTGAATTATGTGATACATTTACAATTGATTAATAGATTTACGCAAATAAACAGTCTAACGTATAATATTTAAAATCGAGGTATGTAGGTAGCGCATTGAATAAAAACAATTGATAACAAATGATTGGTTAAAACATTAAACATTTAAGTTAAAAGCATATCGGGATAAAATGATTAGGTGTGGCGCAACGAGTAGATTCTAGTATGTACATTTGAATAAAATTTCTGGGAATATTAAATAACATTTGAGTACACGTACATACAAATAGATGGCAGCATTAAGTTAAAAGTAGGGCAACGAAGTAAAGAGCAGCTACAAATTCAGCATCCGTATCATGTAAGGGATTGCACTTGTTCGGTATCTTTCAGTTCTACAGAAGACAGTGTCCAGTTTAAGGGATGAGCGGGTCGTCCTACCACTGATTTCAACTCTTGGAGGTGGCAATAAGTGTCTATGCAGCTTAGATCGTTCAAGTGATCTAGCGAAGTTCATTGTCAGTTTGTCACGGCGTGACTTGAGTGTTGGTAGGTTGAACTGTGCGCATGCCGTTCAACTTGAATTAGAAACACTGAGTCAGAGTTTCACCAAACAGTATCAAAGAAGTATTTTGTTGTCTTACTGGTGCTTGTTTCACTAACTTGCGTAGCTTTTGAGTAAGTAAGGCAAGTGTTCTATTTGAAAGTTTGGATGACTGAAGTGGGACATGTTTAGAACTCACGCCAGCCGGACGTCGTTGACACTTGTACTGATTGATTCAGAAGTACTCAGCCGTCTTGCCTTCCGCAGATTATCATGCTTGAGTGACTTTGACTTGTTCTCAAGTTGCTTAGGCACGTAAAACTCCGCTATACCACTTACACCACAGCAAATGTCATTATAAAGTTGTTTTTAAGTAATTGTCGCAATAACAAAGCTCTGGCACCAATGACGCAAATCCTAAAGCTTATGTACTAATGTAATCAGAGTCCGAATGAAAAGGTGCCTTTGCAACAAAGATCTAGACCGGGTTCAGCAAATTTTGTTTGCCCTGGTATGCCGCGTATACAAGGCTGAGGCGCCGGTCACATGCATCACTACAATGCACTCATCACAAGTCTATGGTAGAAGATTTAATGCCTACCGCAGAACTTCGAAGAAGTCTGTGCCGTGGGTGTTTTGTCAACATGTACTCGCACTGTGGGTAAGTTTTCAGGGGTTGAGAGGTCAGCATGCCCGAATAGCCCCCCAGGTGATGTATGTGTAATGTATGGCTGAACTCTTTGTTAGCTTTGCCGTACAAAAGTGTAATGTTGCATGGCATACCGCAAACCCAGGGCCTTCTGAGCAAACACAACAGTGTTTAGTTAAGTCTTTACCGATACCTTTCCTGAGCTTTAAATCATTCAATTTCTCAAATCGTCACCATCATCAGTCCCATAACTTAAGGGCCCTTAAGCCACAGTGTCTGTCTGTCTGTCTGGCGATCACCAGCATATTTCTTAAATACAGGGCATTTTAAAGAGAATGGGATTTCAACAAGTTCTTTTTGTCACCATGTTTACTGTTAGCGATTACCTACAAAAAAAGAGTTCTAATTTTGTTCTCACAACACGTCGGTGAAGTTCCCACAAAACTTGTAATTTCATTGAACCAGTGCAAATAGCAAACCCTGGCGCGTTTTTTTACTAGAGTTTAACACATCCTTTTCGGATTGTACGTCACTAAAATATTACTGAGCGAAGATTAGTGAAGAAAAAAGACTGCAATTGACTTAGACAAAATTTAGAATAATAAGAAAGTCTTAGAAGACGTACTACCCCCGGTATCCCAATGGAATAGTCCAGCATAACCTGCCAGACAAGACGAACCCGCGGCCATGTAGGGGTGAGTGTGACGTGCATGAAAAGTTGTCTGCTTTCTGTCCGCTCTCACGTCAAATAGTGATACGTGTTCAGAGACTACATAAAACACGCAAAGCACCCCCAAGCAAAATAGTAGTACATCTTTACACAAACGTATAGAAGACACATAGAAGGTGCTAAAGTATAGATACCTTTCCGTGAATGTTTTGGTGATCCCCACATGCATTTGCTGGATGGCCAGGCGTGAGTGCGTCAGTGTATAGTCCCGAACATGAAACGACTCCACAGGGCGAAAAGTTTCGGTTGCTCTCGTGATCGTGAGTGTTACGACTCTGGTCTCGTTGCCAGTCCGTACAGCTGAGAGTGTGACAGAAGGAGGCGTGGGCTTGTAAGACCCGGAAGTGTAACCACAGCTGATAACCTGTTCTATCTATAACCTGAAGGCATGCTACTATGGCGCCTTTATCTCCTTAGGGACGATACATTGATGGTCAATAGGGAACATATGAAAATAGAAAAGATAATCATTGGAAAAAAGCCAGAAGGATGTTGGCCCAAGAAGTGAATAATGACAAAAGACAATGTAATTCTGTAGCCGATATATCGATGTAACGCTCAATGTAACATACACCTGTACAGTCTTTTCCCATCCTTTGGACTTCTTGTGGTTTCGTCCCGTACATGTGCGTATGCGTTACAGCGACATCTAGCGACTTTGTGAAGAGCAAGTTTTCCCTGAGGCAAGTGATCATCAAAACACGATGGAATAGGCGACTCTTCAGTATACATAACGTTACATAAACCACAATAGAAGAGACACATACACGCTCAACGTAAGTTTAATATCCACTTTTTTTATTGGTAAAAGTGCAATGCGGTACACATAATACAATTATTGTGTTACTTTGTTCACAGATTATGCCTCGAAAATAGTACACCAAGGGAATGAAAAATAAAGAATGCCCAATGGAAGACTTATATAATGAATATGTGCTTTCACTTTCAGCTAAAAAAGCCTGTCAGGCTTGTTTATAGTACTAGTAATCGAACTGGAGTATTTTGTATTTAACGGCAACTGTTAGGGGGAATGCCTCAACAGTGAAACGATTTTACTGCTGCCTTATTCCTAATTTCCCTGCTATTTCTAACAAATCACAATCATATAAAGAACCTAGACCTTAAAAGCAATTCGCCAGTCAAAGCCGTTTTACAGAAATACAAGCACTGCATAATTTTTTTTTACCTCCGATGCATCGTTCACAATAATATACTTGGCATATTAACCCAAGTTGGGCCTCAGCACCCCTGGCGGCCGCGGACCCCCCAAGATAACAAATCGAACGAACCAGCCCCCGTACCAACCTCTACCGAACCAGAATCTGATTGCCCGTTTGAGTCGATGGTCACCCTGATCGTCAGCTGTCTCGTCATCAGCAGATTCTAGTTGAAAACAAAGCGTAGACAGTAAACAAAACAGTTGTTGCCAGATAAACCAATAAACCAAGGATACGAGTAGAGTACCATTTTAACGACTAAATACATAGGAATGTGAGTGCTATTACTCACTATACTCATACTCAAAGCAGAGTGGCGGAAACAGAAAGTAAATGGTTCAGTTATATATGAGATGTCATATTTTACAGAAACAACTAAGGGCCGCAATGCAATATGATTTATTTCCACATTTGTTCATATTTCTGTATAATACAAGAAGTTTTTTTTTTTTTTAGTTTTTCTCACCGGCAGGCATGATGATCTCCACCCTGTCTCCCTGCTGTTCCTCCTCAGTAGCCGGGGTGAGTTTGGCCCAGCGCGGCTCGAGCTGTCCGCAGAAGTTCTGCAGTTTCTGACTCAGGACCGGGCGGGCTGGTCGCTCTGTATCCACGGTCATCAGCATGGCGCCTCCGTACTCAGCAAACTGCAAGGAGCCGTCCTACGATTCATGCGATGTAAACCATTTCAGGGTCAATGAACTTTAGACATACTGATAGAACAATTACTTTGTACTATGTATATAAAACATTCAACATTTGCATGCTTTACCTGTATGGACTTCTGTGAACGAAAGGCAATAGGTCTGGTACGAGTACTGCGTGAGACATTCAAGCACTGACACATATAGTTCCCATACATATATAGTTGACACAAGCTGTTTTGCTGATACCTGTTTTTCTTCAAGTTCTTCTGCTGTCTTCTTCACGGCATTTTTCTCTCCTTGTGTCTCTTCGAAGATGAAGCAGGTCTTATTACTTCGCGACAGCTTGAATGCTTTCATCATCTGTTAATGAACGAGTGAGTACACGTAGCTGTTAATATAAAGTAGGTAGGATACGAGCTTGTAGATTCTTGAAATTTTTACAGACAGCACACACTTACACTGGAGTGGTCATACATGACCGCAGCCTCTCCCCTGGACCCCTCGGTGTAAAACGCGTCTGTCTCCGCGTCTTTGTCGGTCTCTACGGTCTCGTGCAAGAGCTGCTTTCCGGTCCAGAAGTTCAGTGAGCACTGTAGAGGAAATTACTTTAGTAATTAAGAAGAACCCTCGCCCTGATTGCAGATTTCGAAAAAAAAGATAAAAATGGTGGTCAAAGATCGTGCAAGTTACCGTGACTACTCCATGTCGCGAGGGGCGAGTGATCAACAAGAGAACGCCTATGGCCAGAACAGCCATCACGGCAACTCCCGCGATGATCACAATCTTCAGTGGACGGCGCTTGTCATTTTGGGCTTGTTTCTGTGGCAAAGGGAAGGAAAATGTAGACTTAAAAAAGCTCTTAAGGACAAAATACTCTGTGAACTTTTTATCGTGTATCAGTCGTTGAAGATGTCTAAAATATCTGACAATTACTCTGAGAGTTCATTGCTCTGTTCGCAATTGAAAGTCCTGGAATTAGATATCTGGATTTTTAAATTTACATGTAGGTATCTAGGAAGGCCTTTTCTCACCTTGATAACAGCAATCTCATCCGGAAAGATCCCACCGACTGTGGCCTCACCTGATGGCGGGGGTTTCTTTTCACCGTCGCAGGGCGTCATCTTGTACGGGTGTCACCAGTTCTGCGGATTCTAACGTGATATGAGAGAAAGCGATTGTAGTTCGAATTTGGTAATCTCTCTCTTCCTCTTTTTACAACTCCCTAAAGTGATTTTTTTACTAAAGTGACTTTTTTACCTGAAACTGAAAGTGTTACCTGTAAACATCGACACAGATACAGGTCTCAGTTTACGTCCTTCTCTATTGTTACATCGGCCAAACCATTGTAATTAAAGGCGCGGTCACATTCCCAACCCGGGGTCCGATTGGGCAGTCATTTGGAACGAAAATTATGATATAAGACAGAAAACAAAAAACAAAAAAAAATTTAGAAAATTAACCATGAGCGCTATTTGTGTATACTCGTCATACAAATTGTTTCTTTTTTCGTTCCCGCAAACAACTCGCGATCGGCCGGGTCTCGGCTTGGAAATGTGACCGTAAACGACATCACAGGTCACTGAGCTTTGAGGGCTCCTTGCCTACTTTGAGTTCCTCTTTTTCCAGGATAATACTTACATAATGTTCTTGCTTAAAATGTCCTACAAACAAGAAATAAAGGTGAGACCTAATATGGTCATGAAGTGGGATTAAAACTAACCTTCACAGGGATCCCTAATAATGATTGAAGGTACAACTGCAATTCCCCCCAGATTTTTCAGTGGCCCAAAATAAAGCATACGTGTGTAAGGCTGCCAGTAGTTCACAGAATCATAAAGTGCACCATTGGTGGTTTACATAAGATACCTGAAAACACCTTAGTAAGCAGGTTGCAAACGTTTGGGGAAAATTTTCCGTAGGATTTCAGTATCTCACTCTCCTGTAGCTGATAGTTATGTCTGTATAATGTCTGATAATTTTTTCTCCTTGTCATGTTGTCAAAAGTATATTTAAATCCATTAAATATTCTTTCTATTATGCTTCTATTATGCTTGTATCTTAAAACGAAGTGGAAATTCTAGAATGTTACTTAAATTCTTAACTTATTAGAAATGTTCAGCAGTTGACTGACTGTGCGCCAACCCAGTGTCTTTTGACATTTTTCCTGCTTGACATTTCCTCAACGCCATTTTGTTATGACGCACGAACTAAACATATTTGATCCAACGATATTTCAAACGATTTTACTTATTAAGGGTCAAAAATGCAGCCTGATCAAGTAGGGGCACGGGTAAGAACTTGATTGACTCACCTCAGAATGGAAGGAAGTTGTCTCAAGTCGACGAACTTTTTAAAGTCTCGACGTCTGTCTTTCAGTGTGTTCTTCAACTCAGCGCTGAGGTGGTTGGACTACGTGAGTTGAATTAAGAACGTTGAGCTTGGCAGACGCAGTGCCTATTGTGTCATATATGCCCACAGGTGATACCTGTGGTAGTTAGATGTGCTAGCCATGCGAACATAATGAGTTGTCTGTGATACAGTCTAACCTGCTATTAGGGATCAAAATGTCTTTTGTACACTGCTATTTATCTAGCATAATAAAGTAATTCATAAAACCGATCCTGATTTTTTCAGCCTACAAAACTTCAACTCCATTCTGAATGTGATTTTTAGCTCTGACTGCATGTCCGAGTGCATAAAAAGAGTGTATAAAAAGAAAGTCCGTGAAAGTTTGTAGTTTACTCTTCATGTAGGGCCAGCCAAACTCCCCCCGGGCTAGACTCCCCCGTAGCGGTAATTTACACCAGCGGGCGAAGGGCTCTTGCGGCCCGGAAAACGAGTTCTGGATTCCAGGGTAGGAACTAGCAGTATATGTACATAATCCACAGTGGAAGATCATAAAACACACATGCTCAACACGATGCCTACTTTTTTTTATTAGTAAGAGTGTAATGCGGTACAAATTGAATACAGCGGTGTTATCAATTACTTTGTTCACAGATTATGTGTTCAAAACAAAGTTCAGTGAAAGAATTTCGAAGGTTGACGAAGGAAATGTAGAAATAAAGGATGGGAATGAATCCTTCTAGTAGCATATAAACCTAACGCAATGCTTTTCCAACTGTTGTTGGCAAATTTTCTTCTTCAGTGCGATAGATGAAGACGACGACACAGTACGTGTTTTCACCACACTTGACGATGCTGATGATGATGCCCCGCTTGTCACGATGCACTCCAGGCGCAGTTTCATCCGTACCAGGATCTAAAAAGAGAGGGTCACTTGTGAAATCCTTAACTTAATTTGATTTGATTTTTCAATATGTTGCTTTTCCTGATCTAGGCTTGTATCCATCCTTATTCAGAGTACTTTATACATACTTATGTAGAGTAATCCGTACGTATTACAGAGTCCCGACCCTGTCAAATAACATACTCAGATACTGGACTATTTTGCACGAGGGGTCAAAGAGGGCATTGCAACCATCCCTCAACAGAGATGGGGGACGCCACAGACTTTCTGCAACCTATGATCCACTGCTCACGGAGTCACGCGTATTATCTAGGTGACGTTACGAAAGCGGTGGATTGCTCATTCCTTGACAAAGACTGGAGTTGTACAGTATAAAATTCGGGTAATTTCTTGTGTAGATCAAAGGCTCTAGATATCTACTACTGTGCAGTCATTTCATGGCAGTTCGGCAGAATGCTTCAGCTGCAAACTAAATGAAACTAGCTTATAGCTTTCTTGAAAAGTTTCTCTCACCGGCAGGCATGATGATCTCCACCCTATCTCCCTGCTGTTCCTCCTCAGTAGCCGGGGTGAGTTTGGCCCAGCGCGGCTCGAGCTGTCCGCAGAAGGTCTGCAGTGTCTGACTCAGGACCGGGCGGGCTGGCCGCTCTGTATCCACGGACATCAGCATGGCGCCTCCGCCCTGAACAAACTGCATGGAACCGTCCTACATGCGACGTAAAGCATCATAGCGTCAATGAACGTTAGTCATACTGGTAGAACAAGAGTCAGGTGTGTTAGATGGTATCCTCTATCTATCTAAAACGTCTGAAATGTCAGAGAATTTATCCAGATACCGTAGTGATTATTTCTACTTTCACAGAAGAATAGTTGTCATATACTAGCACAAGACTGTGGAGGGTAAGGAGCGATAGTTTGTGAAAGTAAACATTATGCATCTTCTTTGCAACTGTTACCTTTCTAGTTGTTATTTTGTACTATATACATGTATAAATATTTAACATTTGTGCATGCGTTACCGGTATGGACTTCTGTGAACGAAGGGCAATAGGTCTGGTACTGTATGAGACATTAGACACTGACACACATACAAATATTGTTGACACAAGATGCTTTGCTGGTAATACCTGTTTTTCTTCCAGTTCTTCTGCCGTCTTCTTCACGGCATCTTTCTCTCCTCGTGTCTCTTCGAAGATGAAGCAGATCTTACTTCGCGACAGCTTGAATGCTTTCATCATCTGTTAATAAACGAGTGAGTACACGTAGTTGTTAAAATAAAGTAGCTAGGATACGGGCTTTTTTTTAGATTCTTGAAATCTTTACAGGCAGCACACACTTACGCTGTAATGATCATACATGACCGCAGCCTCTCCCCTGGACCCCTCAGTGTAGAAGGTGTCTGTCTCCGCGGCGATGTCGGTCTCTACGGTCTCGTGCAAGAGCTGCTTTCCGGTCCAGAAGTTCAACGAGCACTATAGAGAAAAGTGACTTTTAATTACATGCAAAAACTCTGGTACTAATCCTCACACTGGTTGCACGTTCTTACAAGTTATTGCCACGCCCCTTTACGCATTTTAAAAGTTGGTTTCGTTAAGACAAGGACATAAGATGATTCCGTTCTTACCGTAACGTGTACGGCAAATTACGGCATTGATGACAACGATACTAATTATTCTGTGTCCTTTAAAAAAATCGGGCTTCAAACAGTATACTTGATCTTGCGAAATGCGTCGACAACGAAAGCAGGTTCCGAAACAAGATAAAAATGTCGGTTAAAGTTACCGTGACTACTCCGTATGGCGAGGGGCGAGTGATGAACAAGAGGACGCCCATCGCCAGAACAGCCATCACGGCAACTCCCGCGATCAGCACAATCTTCAGCGGACGGCTGTCATGTCGGGCTTGTTTCTGTGGCAAAGGAAAGGAAAATGTAAACTGAAAAAACTAAAGAGACACAAGAGGTTCGATAAGATCTGTCATTATGTGATGAATGGTATGTCTGAAAAGTGATTTCTTCACTTAGTCCGTTAGTCCATCTACGTTTAGAGCGCTGCCGGCGTTTTTTTTTTTTTGCGGGTAGCGCCTATCTAGCGTTCACAAATTGGCCGCTGCCATGCCTTCGCAATGACATAATGTCCTGAAGAACCAGGTCAACGTCCGACAGTCCAACGTTCGACAGTCCATTCTCGGCGCTTCTCATCCGACAGTGGAAAACGATGAAAGCTTATCGGCTTGTCATTAATATTCCAATTGTTCATATTGCACAATACACAGTTCCACATGATGGAGAAGAAGATAGTAGCAACAACAACAAGACAGAGGTGTGCAAGAATACAGAGAACGTTTTGACTGACAAAAAAAACTCTAAAGGACAAAATACTCTGTAAACGTTTTATCATGTATCAGTCATTGAAGATGTCTAAAATATTACTCTGAGAGTTCATTACTCTGCTCGCAATTGAAAGTTTTGAAATTAGATATCTAGATGTTACATGTAGGTATCTAGGAAGGCCCTTTCTCACCTTGATAACAGCAATCTCGTCCGGAAAGATCCCACCGACTGTGGCCTCACCTGACGGCGGGGGTTTCTTTTCACCGTCGCAGGGCGTCATCTTGTACGGGTGTCACCAGTTCTGCGGATCTCGGCGATTCTAACGTTGTATGATTAACACGATTCTATCGTGGTTCGAATTTGGTAGCCTCTCTCCCTCCTCTTTCAACTATCTAAAGTGATTTTTTTACTCCATGAAAGTGTCACCTGCAAACATTGACACAGATACAGGTCTTAATTTACGAGTACATCCTTCTCTATGGTTACCTCGGCCAAACCATGTAATATTAAGGGCAAAGGACATCACAGGTCACTGAGCATTAGGAGCTCCTTGCATGGGTGACCTACTTTAAGTTTTTCTTTTCTACAGGATAATACTTAATTTTCCAGGACAACGCATAAGAGAGAGCATTAGACGTTTTACCGAAAAAAAAGTGTGTTGAATGACTTCATCATGTCACGTTATACAGTATTTCGGTAAGATCAGCAAAGACCCCGGACCCGTAACGTAACGTCTTTCTACCGGTCAGCCATCCTGCTTTGAATAGGTGGATTTTCCTACTTCCCTAGGTTTTTCAAGTTTAAGTGATAATATTCAACGCTTTTCTAACTTACAACCAACAGGCTTAATAGCTATATACTGGCTGATGCTATGTCAGGTAGAAACGGTGCCTGTGTAAAGATACATAATCAGATGGTCAGTTTGAAATTTGTTTGCTGTCAACAACTTGCATAACAACAGTCATATGACCTTTCTACAGCTAAAAATAGAAATACTAAATCATTTTTGAAAGAACGCTACGGTCCGGGGTCTTTGCTGATCTATCGCAATACTGTATAACGCAACGTCACGAAGTCTTTCAACGCACTTTGTTTCGGTAAACCGTCTATAATACTATCTTTTATGCAAGTGTTATCCTGGAAAAAATAGAAACAGAAAGTAGGTCATGCTTACGGGGGTAGTGTATGACAAGAAGTAAGTATTTTACACAGGCTCAAAAGGAACATTAAGAGTTAGTACATCAGCAACACATACCGTGTAGTGAACACGAAAGCTTATTTAACTTACTTTATCCACCAGAACAAGACAGCGTGACGCACAGTGTTCCTGTACCAGCGCTGTAACCGCCCAGTTCTCGGTTTGATCACCTGCCTCAAAATGTGTAACCTACTTTGTTGCCTAAGCCTCGGGCTACAAAGTAGACAATCCTGAGATCTGTTGTATGGAAAGCCCCCAAACAACCCATGACAATATACGTGACTGAAGAGCCCGTGTGGTACTAGTACGGTATTCTCGAGTCTCGTAGCGAACATGCAGACATTCTTTAATGCGAGTATGAGATAGAGGATTCATGGCTTTGAAGTTCATAGGATATATGGGTAGGTAGTCTTTACACAAGTGTGAAAAATAAGTCTTTTGTAATTACACTTTAGAGATACATGCTTAGGAACATATTCTAACCATGTATTGGGAGGTAAAAGGCGGTGGAAGGAAAGGGATGGGCTCCGCCTTCTAACACCTTGCTCTAGACACGGGGGATCCACTGCCTACGACCTCAAAATGCTAAGGGACTACCTTTACCTTTTAGAGCCTGTATCACGATGAAATATGAATTGAGGTGTGAAATCCACTCTATGTTCCGAGGCTGGCCTCTCGGCATTCGTATTGTCAACGGCTCTTGGGAAATCTGATATCTTTCAGGAAGTGCCATATATTGGCTCCTTGCCTCCACCAAACAACCATATAGAGAGAGATGTCCATAGCCTAGCCACTTTTGATGGCCACCAAGATTTTTGATAGATTGACTATGCGTTTTCAGCTACAAAAAGCATGTCAGCTGCAATCCCCTCTACCCCCCTGATGTAACATAATTCTGCCCTACTTCCTTCGAGCACCCGGGCCCATTCACAACACATCAGGGAAGTCCTACTGGCCCTACAATTTTTAAACTAGTCTGAGCATGTAACAGTTTGTGTTGAGCCTGTGTTTATTCTGCATGTAGCGAACTTAGGAAAGGTTAGTGCATATGGGCTGATAACATTCTAATTACGGTGTGGATATTTATTTTTGTTTTACTCTCTACAGATGAAGTACCAATTAGAGATAGACGATGTACTTTTATTTCTGTACCATACTGTTCATTGTCCATGCGTTTGTGTGCTAAGTAGCCTTGATGCTTGAACTTTGCAGCCTAAAACAAAGGTACTGACCCGAGGATGATCTGTCAGCACTCGTGTTATTGTTCTCTGTTATTCACTGTAGTAATACATACTGCATGGAATGATTTGGAGTCTCATTAAGAAAGTTCACAAACAGAAAACTTCACTCATATAGGTTTATTCACTCCAGAACATCACAAAATATCCAGCTATACTAGTTTATGAATAGTTTAGACATTCATTTATTATTTTTTTAACAAATCACAATCACAAACAACCTTGACCTTAAAACCAATTCACCAGGCCAAGATGCTTTACCGAAATACAAGCATGCACTATTTCGGTGTCTTGATACGAGTATATGTTTCACAACAATGTACTAGAACTTGATATATGAAAGCAAGGAATGAATGAATGGTTTATTCAGAATGAGAAGCTTTCTCACAGCCTATTGGCTGAATTGCAGGGTCCTTACAAATATTTTAAAAGTATCATTCATTTATAATGTAAAATGAATCATTTTCCTGACTATTTAAAAGCATGCGCACTTCTACCACGGCTTATGTCAGGTATTTGTAACTGGGGGCCCAGTGTGGCCTTGACGGCGGAGCCATGCTGCAGATAACATATCGAACGAACAATCTCCCGAACCAACCTCTACGGATCCAGAATTTGATTTTCCGTTTGACTCGATGATCACTCAGATCGTCCGCCTGAGCTGTTTCATCAGCAGCAGATTCTAGTTTAAAAGAAAGCGTAGCTCGTAAAAATACAGTTGTTACGTAATGTAATAAACCAAAGATACAAGTAGAGTACCCTTTTAACGACTGAATTACTACTACTAGTAGATAGTAGTGCGATTACTGTACTCTTACTCAAAGCAGACGGTGGTGGAAACAGAAAGTAAATCTCCAAGTGGTTCAATTATTAGATGGTATATTTTACGGAATAAACCAAGGGCCTCAATGACTATTTCCACACATTTGTTCATATTTCTGTATAACACAATAAGCTTTTTTAAGTTTCTCTTACCGGCAGGCATGATGATCTCCACCCTGTCTCCCTGCTGTTCCTCCTCAGTAGCCGGGGTGAGTTTGGCCCAGCGCGGCTCGAGCTGTCCGCAGAAGTCCTGCAGTTTCTGACTCAAGACCGGGCGGGCTGGCCGCTCTGTATCCACGGTCATCAGCATGGCGCCTCCGTTCTGAACAAACTGCACTGAACCGTCCTATAGAAAAGTGAAACAGGGATGTAACGTCTTGTAAGAACGCTGGAAAGCGTTATTCACAAAAACGTTATTCACTTTCAGCCCAAGTCGTCCATAATGAATGTTAGTAAGCACCTGTTTTGCCTCCAGTTCCTCTGCTACCCCCCTCACTCCTTCCTTCTCATTCCCTGTCTCTTCGATGATGAAGCAGGTTCCACTTCGGGAGAACTTGAATGCTTTCATCAGCTGCACACAAAAACAACAAAAGTATGAATTTTGAAATGAAACAAGTAAAACAAATGAAAGCATGTATACTTAGTACATGTACTTTTTTTCCAACAACATCTTGATACCTTCACATGAGAGTTGTACCTACCTTGTGATGATCGTACATAACCGCAGCCTCTCCCCTGGAACCCTCGGTGTAGAAGGCGTCTGTCCCCGCAGAGTTGTCGGTCTCAACGGTCTCGTGCAAGAGCTGCTTTCCATCCCAGAAGTTCAGTGAGCGCTGTAAAAGAAAAGACCCAGAAGTTATAGTTTTACAGCGTGGTATCTGAGTAACACTGTAGTAGCGTGCGTACTCCAGTTGTTAGCGACCCTGCCTCTGGACTAAGAGGTTGGGTGTTCGAATCCCGGCTGTTGTCGCTCACCCGACATGCACGCTACTGTTTAGGGTCGCAGTCCTTAGGACGGGACGTTAAGCAGTGGTCCACTGTTCATTGTGCTTGTCGAAAAGAGCAAGGGGGATTTCTCCGGTAAAAAGAACCTGTAAATACTGTACATAGCGTCTGTCTTCTCTGTCACGACCAGTGGAAGATTAGCTCTTCAATGAGCTAAACTGGTTCGAGATCACTTTCACTTCAAATATGTTCTCATTTTACTTGTAAGGAGAAGTGCACGTTTTGACATTAAAAAAAAACATTTTTGCAAGACAGTTACACTGTATTGACTAACAAAGGTCAATACAGTGGTCCAAAAAATTACGTACCGTCACAACAGACTTAGCAGTGAGGTGAATGCCCAAGAAGATGGCACCCCCTGCCAGAGCGGCCATCACAATAACGGCCGCAATGATCATGATTTTCAGCCGCCGCCGTTTGCCGGTTTTGGCCTCCTCCTGAAAACAGAAACAAATAGATTAGCTGAAATCTCCAATTTAAGGAGAATCTTTCATTCAATCAAAGTGTTTTTTCAGCTGCTTCGAACATCTAGCGATTATAGGCTAGATGTTATATTTGATTATCCGTACTAGGAAGACAGTTTTTGAAACAAAAAAGAGAATTCTTCTTAATAAACTTACCTTGATAGCAGCGATCTCGTCCGGAAAGACTCCACCGAGCGCCGCCTCAGCTGAGGACGGGGCTTTCTTTTCATCCGTGGACGTCATCTTTCGCTGGTTCTGGAAATAAGACGTATTGCTTTGAGGCATGTGCAGGACAGGTAACAGTCGTCATATGATCCATCGCAACACGATCGAAAATTGTATTCTAAAGGATAGTCGTACATTTGTCTTACAGCTGTTTTGCCACGGCAAAGGCTGTCTTAGGGGTATGTATGTATCACTTATTCAGATTTTCAGCAAACAACGAGACGAAATACGAAAACATTCAGGACGTAACGTTACTTACCTCGCGAAACAGAGCAGGATTGTAACACACACAGACACAATCTGGACTTGTTTGGTGGTGTGCGGGAGCCGCGACTGGCTTTTAACCATGGACTTTTACTTCCTCAAAGTTCTCATTTTACGTGGTTGCTGCGAGATCTTTTCAACAAGATCGAGCTGACACAAAAGTTCTGTTATAAGCCTTAGCCTAATTACTTCGTTGACCATTCAAGTGCAATAGGGGAACTGTCCAAACAATTAACATCACGCATGCCATCTAGCAGCTTGTGATCATTCGGCAAAGCGAGGTCAGGAAAGCTTAGAACCTATTTCTGAGTGGGGGTGTGTGGCTTAACGGCAGAGTGTTTGGCTCATACTCTAGAAGTCCTCGGTTCGACCTTGGGACAGGCTCTTTGCGCTACTTATTCGCTCCACCCAGGTGTAAAATGGGTACCTGACCGGTTGGGGAGGCAAAAGGCAGTGGATTCGAGGGTTGGCTCTGCCTAATCCAATACCATGCCCTGGACATACTTGATAACACCTGCCCTTTCCAGGCTCTTTGGCTTAAAAATAGGGCCATTACCCAGTACCTTTACCTAGTACCTAATAGTATTCAGATCCTATATAAGGGTAACCTGCCAGTGAATTGAGGTATGTCGTACTCCTATACAACATACATGTAACTCTATCTTCCTGTCAGAACCGTTCATTGTCCGTGCGTTGTGTTCTAAGTAGCCTTAATGCTTGAACTTTGTGGCCTTTAAACAAAGGTATTGATCCGAATACGAATTGGTTTGCGTTATGCAGACTACATTTCTTCATGTTACACTAACACCTTAATAAATGCTCGGCTTAATTAATGGCAGGTAGTTCAGCTAATACTTCAGGAAGCTTTTATTGTTATTCTCTCTCTCTCTCTCTCTCTATCTATCTCCCCCCTCTCTCTGTCTGTTTGATTGTTTGTTTGTGTGTGTGTTTGTTTGTTTGTTCTGTATAATGTATTTCCAAAATACAGAATGCAGCGTTGCCATGCATCCCCTATCCCGATGCACAGTTTGTACTTTCCAAATAAAGAGTCTGAGTTCTTCCACATGTCTGTTAAGTGCCATTCAAGGGGAACTGAGAACTTTGAGGAAATGATATGCTTCAATTAACATGCTAATGACCACTAAGGCATACGTGTGACGATGAGCTAAACAAGGTGGGGCATGTGCTAATGGGATCGGAACTCATTGACAAACATGTTTGTACATCTGCTTCTGTTCGGGAAACTTAAAACCATATATATTTACTGTGAGACCACGAGGAAGAAAATCAAGGCTCAAATCTCTGCACAAGTGCCATGATATTACCTTTAACAACTACATCTACATGTAACCTAATCTGGATACTAGTATACTGTATGTATGACATAAATAATAAGAGCTGGAATGAGGGAGACTTTGAATCTCATTCCGTGAACTGTCTTGAGGTAAGCTGCAACTTACAACACATCAACGCTTGACGCCTCAAGCAAAAAGTTTGCCTTCTACCATTTTATTAGCAACAACAAAAGAACACACAAAATTGCCAACTACTCGGTTAGACCGTTACAATTGCTAATGCCTGTCAATCTCTGTCAAAATGCACAGCCTTACAATTTGAAGAGTTAATGTTTTCTCAGCCGTGTCTCCTGTACCATATATAGCAATTGCAAGCTCAAAATGGCTATGAGATATCTAATATAATGAACACAGTCTAGACTACAAGAATGCAGGCTCCGTGTAGTAACTGCTACAAAATGAAATTATTGCAATATAAGAAATCTTATCTCATAAAGCTTGTTACACAACATTAATTGTTACACTGAATCTAAGCTTCACCTCGCTTCTTCGTGAACTTCATATTCTTGTGGGTAACGTTTAGTAAACTAAGATAACATCTGAATGCAGGACTAAAGCAATTGCTGTTTATATATACCAAAATTCTAGGGAAAAAAACTGCAGGAAAAAACTACGTTTTCCTGTTTGTTGCCAGTGTATTAGTTGGCAATGCCTGGTCACCCTAGCCGACATAGCGGCAAACCCTGTGGCGGACAACACGGCACCCCCAACTGCAGACATTCCTGCAGATCGCGGACACCACCCTCCTCACCGCACGGCGGAACCACCCACGCTTGGCGCGCGTCTTCACCTCCTGTTCCGGCGCGTCGTCCACCAGGCCCCTGCGGCGGCGCTTCCCGCACACCCTGCTGCAGGTACGGGAGCAGACGTTTCTGGTCGTCCAGTAACAGACGTACCTAGGCCAGCGTTTCTCACGATGCTGCACGGCACTTGTCCCTGGAAGAAGAGGAAACATTCAATTTGTCTTAGTAGCAGCCAGTCACTCAAATATTGACACGTTGATATTTCATATACACTGTTAACTACACTGTCAGCTTAAAGGGTTTCTAAGGTGCATGGAGAAAGCAAGTGTCTGTTAAATCACAGGTTATATCCTGCACTGCATAGTCTTTAAACTTACCGTTGGTTCCAGGGAGAACCTCCACCTCCATCTCTGAGTCATCTTCCTCCTCCTCAGTAGTGGCCTCTGGAGTAGGAGTGGGCTCGGTGGCAGACTTGACGGCCCAGTGGGCGTGCAGACCCTCACAGAACTCCGCCATGCTCTCACTCAGCACCGCCCGGTCCACCTGCCCACGGGCCTCGTCCACAGTCAGGAACGTCTCTGCTCGGCGCTCGGCGGCGTCAATTTCGCCCTCCTGGTTAAAAGAAGCAGGAAACAATCCATTGTTTAAGGTAGAAACAAGCCGTGGACACAGATATTATCATAGATATACATGTGAGGCAAGCAATCTGTAAAATGGAATGATATCAGATATACAACAGCAGATCTTTAAAGTCAAGAACTTACTTCCATCTGTTCCAGGTCCTCCAACAGCTCCGCAGTGTCCTCTGCCTCCTCCAGACTTTCATAGAGGATGTAGCACTTCTGATCCCCATCAAACCTGTAGGCTGAGAGGCTCTGGATGGAGACGCAAAGATACAAGTTAGATAAACAACCAATAGAGCAAGGCATACATCATCTAAATGACTGACAAAGTAGATGCAATACAATTTTTAGCACATAAACTAACCGTCTTCATGTCTCTGATGACGAAGGATGTCCCGGTAGAGCTGACCGTGCGGAAAATCTCGGTGTCTCTCTCCTTGTCCACTTCCACTGTCTCTTGCACGATCTCATCCTCTATCGCCAGTTTCACCGAGCGCTGTAGTTATGGGTGTGCAGGGTGAGCATGCGGACCAGACATAACCTCAATATCATCGAATTTCAGTGTTACGAGTATCGGAGAACTTGGACACATAAAAAGTAGAAAAACATGGTCTTACCGTCAGTACATCGGGTTTGCGGTTGAGGTGGAGCCCCAGGAAGGTCCCTCCCACCACTGCAAATATCACCAGAATCACGCTGCCTGCGGCAATGGCGATCTTCAGACGACTCGCGTTTTCTCCACGGGCCCTTTTCTGCAGAAGAATGTCAAGATTTATTTATCTGTTTTTGTTTCCTTTTTTCAGGGTAGGCTCGATCAGTGTTTACAACACCGCTTTCTGGCGTGCACTGTGCTTAAAAACATAAACAGAATTGAAGTATCAGCAGGACAAAACAATGGGGACAAAAGTGTTTATTCCTGCACTTAAGATATCAATTCTTTTTTTTTCTGATCTATCAGTTGTGATCCAATGTTAGACACTTTTAAACATACAAGTGAGTAAATTGCCCAAACTTTAAGATACCTTGATGACGGCGATGTCATCAGGAAAGACTCCTCCCGGCAGCACCTCGGCTGGGGGCAGGGCTTTCTTCTCCTCGTAAGAAGTCATCTTGGATTGGTTCTGAAAACTGTAAAAAGTCACAAAAAGTTTGCGTTTTGTTTTGAGTAAGTGAAGTCTTTGTTATTTTTGGACGGGGGTTAGTCATAAGAAAATACGCTTCAATGACGACCCTGGTGGACGGCAAAAATAAGATGTTAAAGGCCTGCTTAACTGGGCTAGACACGACATTGTACTTCCTTCATTCACGGGTAAAATCTTAAAAAAAAAAATCTTAAAAAAAATATAGCGCTTTCTGAAGCATAAAAGCAAATAGCCAGACCAGCGTTCTGCTCTGGGGATCGCGCGTCAAAACACAGAGGTATCACCTTTCTAGGATCACTGCCAAGGTACAAAGGATACACGAGAAGGCAGCCCTAACAGAAAAAAAGTGTCAGTTTTTTAACCAAGCGTTTGCCATTGTATGAAGCAGGTCGTGAAAAATTGTAGACGGCCTTTGGCAGGAAACAAAAATTGTGGATGGGAGTAAAGAAATTGTTCAGCACAGCGCACACGTCCTATCGAGATACAACATACAATCGCTGGGATTTAAGCGGCTGACACCGTGCCTTCAAGCCTAGGGAACTAGTGGGAATAAACAGCACTTTGAAGCGCTAGTCCATTTCACGCGGACCCCCTACACAAAATCACATATAACATCTCCCTTCAAAAGAGCGTAGTTTTAAAGAAAAGACCATTGTTGTATACTGGCATGGAGAGAGTGAAAGGAAACGGTGGGACACACACACAACAACAATTGAGACAGTATAGGCGCTACGCAAAAGTTTACCTCGACTATCCCAGAAAAATTCTAGACCTTCAAACTGCACACTTCTAGCAGAAAACAACACCATTTTGCAGATGGCCAACAAATTAGCTCTATGCAGAAGCCAAAGCGTGCCCAATAATATTTTTCGTCAAACTCAAACTTTAAAAAAAGGCTCAGATGCCCTCGCAGAAACTTCTATACCCTCTCTACATACATAGATGCAGCTTACCTCTTGAAACGTGTCTTGAAGCAGGTTGTGTGCGGAGTCTAATAGGAAAACACTTTAGGTCGCTTTTTATACTGTCTCACAACAAAAACGCTGGAAAGAATGTGGAAAACAAGATATCAACTTGCAACTTGTTTTCGACGTTTTGCGGTACGCGATTGGTTGAAAAATATGAGCTAATATTTTTTTCGCCGAATTTCCTCCTCCTCTGTACAAAACAACTCTTTCGAAAACACTTCTGTGAAAAAGGCACAGCCTTTAAAAAGCGAGGAGGTTCTGGGCTTTCCTAGAAGAGCTGATTTTGGCCCAAGTCCATTTCCTTATGTATTACAAAGGCACTAGAACTATCTACAGCGGCCAGTGTAACTACTAGTATCCCTAATCAAATTTCTTTCCCATTTCTTATCTTTCATTTGTTTTTATATTCATTATCTGTTTTCAAACAAATATATGTACTACACAACTGGCAATTAACGTTATTCAATAAGTTCGTACATCTGATAAACATCAAACATCTTTTCCTAGAAAAAGGACTTTCTATTGGCACGCGTTCAATTTGCTGCGCCTGAGCACTAATCCACAGGCAAAGAAAGCCGACACTGCTGTTGCCCACTCCAGAGTTGACAACTATGATGCCTCAACACTTTTTTTGTCAGTTTGATAAATTTCGCACCACATTTACTAACGTTTGAAACTATTCTTCTGGTTGTTTGAAACTATTCTACCTGTTGTTTGAAATGTGAATCTTGAGTGCATGTTGACCACTTTCAATGAGCTATCCCCTGTATGTACACGGGAGTTGGCACAAATGCGAGTTTATACATCTGTAAGGCACAAAGAAAACAGTTACGTGACCTGCTTGACAAAAACAGTTCATGTTTCCACTGCCACTTGCGTCAAGTAGACCCAGTACTGGCAGTAGGCCGGCACTGTGTGGTAGACATTATCCAGTTTATATACAAGTATTCAAGTCCTCTCTGAGGCGTGTGTAAGTTCTTCGAGGCTGGCTAGTCATCTTCCCCATATACATTTTATGCTACCGTCTCTGTCGACGTATATTAACTTACATGGAAGTGCATGACATGTACACATGCCTTGTCTGCTTGGCTATATCTCATATTTCACCATACTTTTCGCGCTTTCAGAATTTAAAACATGAAACCGTCTTTACTGATGTATATTATAAACTTCATCCCAGTGCTAACGATATCAGCTTTATGCGTGGAAATATTGTTAGCATCTTTCTTGTGAATCCGTAGTACAGGTGTCTATAACGAACGCGGGTAAACCCTGAACACAAAAGCTTCAACTCCGTGACCCCAGTGCGACGTCTGACCCAGACTCCTTTGTTAAGCAGGTGTGTTCTTCACGGCCGGTGTAAACATGTGAAACTGAGAACTTTGAGGAAGTAACGCTCTGATGGAGAATGTGTCAACAGCTGCCTAAGACTTGTGACATTTAGTTGAAAACAAGATTAACTGTAGACGTCAAAAAATGCAGAAGGATTTAGCAGATCACCATGCATGCGCATTGACAAAGAAGATGGGCGCTGCGCATCTGTTTCTCAACAATTTCCCAACATTTCCCAAGATAATTTCCTAATACGAAAGGGGTTAAAATGAACTGAACGAAATTCAAAGTTTTATAAGGGGAGTCTCCTAGTCCAGATCCACATTTCAAACAAAAGAATATACGTAAAAGACCTTTTAAAAGACATCTCCAAGCAGATCTCTGGGGGGTTCAAATCGGCCAGACCGTGTCCAGTTGGCCACCGTAGAAATATAGCCTGACCGGTTGAATTCCCCTCACCGCCCCGAAATCTGCTTTTTCTTCCCCTACGTATACAAAGCGGTGAAATGTGAAAAGTATAGATTAGTACACATATTTCATTAGTATTCGTATCGACCCGCAGTGTTGATAACCTCTGTGTTCTTTGTTTGTATCTCAGTGCGCAGGTGCAGAATGTTGAACTTGGGCCAACGCACACTTTTCGAGGAAAAGCTTCTTAATCTTGTTTTTGGCGAAATGTTGTTGTGCAATAACAACAGACCTCCTACCTGAGAAATGACGCACAAGGAAAAAACACCTACCTGTCCGCAGGTAACCGATGGGTTTAATCAACTGTAACAACAGGATCATCCGAATTTGACGATTTTGGTGAAAAAGGACACAGGGAAAGACACATTTAATCTTACTTGCATTGCTAGTTGTACACGATATGGCTAGTGTGAAATAAAGTCTTCTGCCAAAGCACACACGGACAGTGAGAACGCCTTACGTAATCTGCTTGTCGGAGACGGTTCATGTTTTCGCAAATATGCCTAGTTTGCCAGCAATGTCTGTTAGATATCATATCTATGTAACTACATTGTATTTCACCTTACTTTTCGCTATCAGAATGCTTACCATGATTCTATCTTAAAAGATGATTGTCAAATGTTATGAACTTCATGTGAGTGCTAACGATGCAAGATCAGCAAGATGCATAACAATATTGTTAGCATCTTTCTTGTGAGTCCGTACAGTACAGGTGTATATAATGAACGCGAGTAACCCTGAACACAAGGGCTCAACAAAGCCTCACTTCTGTCTCACCCTAGATTACTTTGTTAAGCAGGTGTGTTCTTCACGGGCGGTGTAAACATGTGAAACTGAGAACTTTGAGGAAGTAACGCTCTGATGGAGAAGTTGTCAACAGCTGTGTAAGACTTGTGACATTTACTTTAAAACAAGATTAACCGTAGATGCAGACTACTTGTACCAGCGTACGTGCAGTTTTCGCGGAAAAGCTTTTTAATCTTGTTTTGGCGAAAGTTTGTTGTGCAATAACAACAGACCTCCTACCTGAGCGATGTCGCACGAGGAAGAAACGACGAGAAAAATAACCACCTGTCCGCAGGTAACCGGTGGGCTCGGTTTTGTTGACTCAAGACATCTTCAATCTCTCTTGAACTGCCACTTGCATATCACATTGATTGGTCTTTTAGTAACGCACAAGAAGAAAAGTTGCTCTGTCATACGGGTAAGTAAAGGACCAAAGAACCAAAACATATACGGGCTCTTCCTACGAAATATTTCGTATTTGAGCTGCGGAAAACCGACTAAGAAGTCACCCACGCTATATAGGTCCTCTTTGGGACTTATGCAAGTCTATCGAGGCTAGACATCTTCTTCACCAGACATTTTTAAAAAGTCAATAGATGTCACCGCGTAGCCGTGTGTCGTATGGCAAAGTGCATGAAATGTACCCTGTAAAGCCGCCGTTACTCCCTGTTTCACCCTTCTTTCGGCCTGAAAAATTTGCACCACGATTCTATATTTGATTTGGAAATGTTATGAGTGATAACGATATTAGCTGATACAGGGAAATGTTGTTTTTTGTGAGTCCTTGGTAAACGTTTATAATAATATGATGATGAATGCAGATCACGTTTACTAGTACATAGAGGCTTGAAACTGACGGGGCTACTCGCGGTCGTGTCACTGTTGTTGTGATTTGTTGCTTTGTTTTTCTTCTGTTTTGCTTCCTCCACCTGCACTTGATCAAAACATATGCATGTAACCTGATAACTTGTTTGCCACATTTTCCAATGTTTCTTTGTGTTCGGACAGTATAAATACTTTCACAAACGCCCAGGATTTACAGAAGACTTTTCTGCCGACCAGTTTGCAACACAATTCTCCTCAACGCTGTAGAGGCCCACGCAAGATGACTTCCATGGACGAGAAGAAAGTACTGCCATCCTTCGAAATGGGCGGAGTCTCCCAGGATGAGATTGCAATGATCAAGGTTTGTTGCAAAATGCCCACATTCCTAGGTTAAAGAATCTGCAGTGATACAAAAAGCTGATACAATATTTTAAGGTGCCTTGGGGTAAGAATAAGGAAAATGATTCATCATTCTGCAAATGCCGAGTATTGTTTCACTGGATAGCTTAGCCTGTACAGCTCAGCTGCAACGCTTGCTGGTTTCTACCGTCTACAAGTTGGCTTTATCCTCTATTGCAAGAACTCTTGGTCACACAGTGATCTTCTATTTTACTGACGGACGTCCTTCTTTCAGAGAGAGGCGCAGGCGAGTAGGCTGCATCGCCTGAAAGTTCCGCTTGCAGTCGCCGGCGTGATTGTGATTCTACTGGCGGTGGGCGGCACCCTTCTGGGCCTGTACCTCACCCGCCCGGACTCGGTTGTCAGGGTAGGGCGCATGTAATAAATATCCTTTGTCCTATTTGATAAAAAGATATTCTACATAATCGTGTCCACTTACACTTCAATTTCTGTCCTTTTTTGGACATCATTGTTCTAGACTTGGGCACACACCCTCTAGAAATTGAGTTTGATATGATCCATTACTATATACTCTTGCTGTTAGCACTTTTCGCCATATTTCTCGCCATGCCATATGTGTTTAAGAATCCTACACTAATACGGCCAGTACGGCGCCAAAATGGGTGTCTACAGAATGAAATACACCAGTAGCTAACGAGAACGCATTTTCTCTTGAAACCGAACGTTTAAGGGAAGTCATATTTCTCACGTTTTCTCCCCCACAGCGCTCCTTGGACTTCCGTGTGGACGGCCGGGAGTTGCGCGAGACTGTGGAGACTGACAAGGAGGCCAAAACCGACTCCTTCTGCACCGAGAGTGCCAAAGCGGCGGGCTGTGTCATGTATGACCACCAAGCGGTAAGAGCGAGTCATTCAACAGCTTTTGTGTTGTCCATTTCCCACTTTTGTTGCCTTTAGTAATACATAAAAGTATGCATTCATACGCCCGGTTAGTAGTATATGATAGTCTTACCGTCTCTGTGTACGTAGGGCTTGAAGGCGTTCAAGTTCACCGGCCGAGAAATCTGCTACATCATGGAGGAGGCAGAGAGGGAAGCCAGACAGGCGACAAAAATGGCAAAGCAACTAGAGGAAGAAGAGGTAAATCATTTCCATTAAAAGTCGCCAATGTGTAGCATCTAGTCCGTCTATTACATAGAACTTTATTGACACAACAAAAAGTACAGCGACTTTCGTAAGGTCTAAGACATGTAGATATACAGACAAATATACATGGGTACAACGAAAACATGCTACGTACAGAACAATAGGTGGGTCAACTAATACTACTTGCTCTAAGGTTTAAACATTCTTTGATACATTTACCTACTTGTACACAGTAAGGGTTATTGCCTTCTAGGATGAACTTAAATTTATCTATAGCATGAAATTCTGTATATGTGATGGTTTTTGCAGTTCATTGTCGAGAATGCGACTTGATAAATAACGTACTAATAATTCTTGGACGTGTTAATTCCTGGAACAGGAGGGATCGCTGCAGCATGCCAACAGTGGCGGAAAAAGGATGATGTCACTGGATACGGAGCGAACTGGCCTGCCTGTGCTGAGTGAGAAGCTGGATGATTTCTGTGGAGACCTGGAGCCGCGCTGGGCCAAGCTCACCCAGGCCACGCCGGACAAACAAGATGAGACTACTGGCGTGGAGATGATTGTCCCAGCCGGTAAGACAAGAAAACATTTACATTGACTGTTACCTATTTCATCCTGCAATGAGAATACTCAATTATGGATTATCTGGCTCTTTCAGCTTGTCATTTTTACTGATATTTTCCTTTTCGATTCTCAGTTGGTGACCGCGTCAAGCGTGGTTGGTTCATCCGCATCCGCATCAGAATCACCATTACAATTTGCTTTTAGTAAAGTGAAGTCAGCGAGACTGTAGAGCTGTAATAGTACGTTTTGGTACGCCAATATAATATTGAGGTATATCATGCCCTAGCCTGTTTGCCTTTTGTTAATGCTATCCATAGATGCAAGAAAGACTCTTCAGCTAAATACACGGCAATATAGTATAATAGTCAGAATATCTAGTGTGTACTGAAGTAATGGGTACTGAATTTTACTAGAAAAATGAACTTGTTTCTCTATATCAAGAATTAGAATTTTGACAATTTTGCCATTAAGCTAACCATTCCATATACAAAGTAGAAAGCTTAGCGTCAATTTGAAGACGTATACGTAATTTCAGTTCTATACCATCAACCGGATCAGCTTTGTATAGCATCTACAAAGGAATATTTAACGTTATCTGTCGTTGTGCGCTTGCTACAGTAATTGAAGCCGTTGTGTGCGATATTTCTAACGGTAGATCCTTGGGATTTATGTGAAGTGTCCGTCGCTAATAACCACTTCTTTAAAATACTTTTTGTGAGAAGATTTTAGCTATCAATGCCAAGTGACTGTGGTTTATAAGCAGGTCTGGTGTGAATAAACTGGGACATGGAAAAGTTCATAAAAACTGTATTGTCTTCCCTCCACAGAGTTACAAATACATGTAGCGCCGCCTGTATGGATTTACCTTATGGGGCCTTATATCCCTGTATTAATGAGAAGACTCCAGTAAAAAGAGCTAGACATCAAGTAACTATCATCGTAAATTTACGACAAAGAACTTTTTCATATACGTTCTCGAACAGTGTGATTAGTGGTTATGACGGTTCAAAACTAGTGCATTTTGGAGGGAGCGTTTACTACAAGTTGTCACTTCCTGAAAGATATCCAATTTCCACGAGAAGCGTTACAACAACACACGCGCTAAAGGACCGGTCGAGGGTCACCTTCTTTGTTTAAAAGCAACAAGCAATCGATGATCAAACAAGGCTTTTCATTATAAGTACAGCGTACCCACTTATACACTAACAAAGGCTATAGCTAGCCTAAGGAAAGTTCTAATAGAAAGGCAGACCACGTCGTTCTAGACTTTGTGCACAAATACAAATGCACAGGCAATCGTTTAGCATTAATTACGTTGAAACATTTTGTTAATCAAGTGTTTTTTTTTGGTAATTTAAACACGTGTACGCAGCTGCCTAAGATATGAAATATTTCGTTGAACAAGATACGTTGCGTGCGTGCCAATGCAGTTTGTCCATCGTCCTTTTCATGGCATGACTGTACTCCAAAGGCATCCTCATTGCCAAGTACACAACTAGTTAATCTTCTTGTCATCTTAATGCCACAAGCCTTACGCACTTGTTGACAACATCTCCGTCAGAGCGTTACTTCCTCAAAGTTCTCAGTTTCACATGTTTAGACCGCCCGTGAAGAACACACCTGCTTAACAAAGGAGTCTGAGTGAGACGTCGCGCTGCCCTTACAGATTAACTAAAATATGACTGAATACTGAGATAATGAATAAACACCGAAAATGAAGATGGTTAAGGTTATGGAAAAATTACAGACTGATTCAGGATACTAGTAGTTGCGCTCGCCGCTTCAGATAAAAAAAGTAATCCAGCCCAGATAACGTCCTAATGTCTTACATAAGGAAATGGACTTGTGCCAAAATCAGCTCATCACGGGTAGATAAGAATCTCCTGGCGTTGCTAAGGTTGCCATGCTTGAATGATATATAACAACAGCCTTTTCACAGGAGTGTCTTTAGAAGATTTGGTTTGCACAGAGGACGAGGAAATTCGGCGAAAAAAACATGATAGCTCATATCTTTTAACCAATCGCGTACAAGAATGGTCGAAAACAAGTTGCAAGCTGATATCTTGTTTTCCACATTCTTTCCAGCGCTTTTGTTGTGAGACAGTATAAAAAGTGACGTTCGGTGTCTTCCTAAGACTCCGCACCCAACCTGCTTCAAGACACGTTTCACTAAGAGGTAAGCTGCATACTGTAGGACTAGGAGTTTATGCTAACTATAGGGTATCGATGACTTACAAAAATATTCAGCATAGTTTCAGCCACTGTAAACTTAAAATAATATTGCCTTTACATTGAGTTGTTGGCAATCTGCAGAATGTTGTTGTTTTCTCCTTGGAGTGTGTAGTTTGGAGATCTAGAAATTTGCACTAGTTACTCGGGGTAAAATTTTGCTAAAAGCCCATACTGTTTTGTGTGCGTTGTGCGTGTCCCACAGTTGTCTTTCACTCTCTCCAGTATACAACAATGAGACACTATATATGCTTTTGTGTAGCGGCTCAACGTATAAACGGGACCGGCGTTTCGAAGTGCTGTTTTTTCCTCCAGACCTAGACTTGTAGGCAACATGCCAGCCGCTTGAATCCCAGCTATTGCATATTCAATCTCGATAGGACGTGTGCGCTGTGCTGAAGTTCTTTACTCCAGTTCACCAAATCTTGTTTCCCTGCAAAGGCTTTCTACACTTTTTTCACGACCTGCTACATAAAATGAAAAACTCTCGGTTAAAAAGACTCAATTGTTTTTCTGTTAGGGCTGCCTTTTCATGCATCCTTTGTACATTGGCTGATCCTAGAAAGGTGATACCACTGTGTTTTGACGCGCGATCCCCAGAGCAGAACGCTGGTCTGGCTATTTGCTCTTATGATTCAAAAAACGCTATTTTGTAGTTTTATTTGTCCTGACCTCTTTATATTTTTGCCAGTAAATGGAGCACAGTGTTTTGTCTAGCTTATCCGAGTTATCTTATTTTTGCAGTCCAGCACGCTCATCAGTGAAGCATATTTTCTCGATTACTACCCTGCCCAAAAAGGCCCCAAATAACATAGATTTCACTTACTCAAAACAAACGTTTTGTGACTTCTCCAATGTTTCCAGAACTAATCCTAGATGACGTCCCACGAGGAGAAGAAAGCCCTGCCCCCGGTCGAGGTGCTGCCGGGAGGAGTCTTTCCTGACGAGATCGCTGCCATCAAGGTACTTCTCGAAAACTTTGGGCAATTCACTCACTCCTATATTCTTTATCCAAACAACCATTAGGATACTTCAGATCAGAAAAAACATAACATTTTTCTCCCCCGTTGTTCTCTCCCCCTTTGCTAACACTTCAATTCTGTTTATACGTATGTTATTCTGCAAAGGACACGCCTGTAAAGCAGTGTGGTAAACACTGAGCGACCCTACCCTACAGAAATAAGACATAATTAAATAGATAAATAAATAACTGCTGACATTCACCTGCAGAAGAAGGCCCGTGGAGAAAACGTACGTCGTCTGAAGATCGGCATTGCCGCAGGCAGCGTGATTCTGGTGATATTTGCAGTGGTGGGAGGGACCTTCCTGGGGCTCCACCTCAACCGCAAACCCGCTGTAGTGACGGTAAGATCATGTTTTTGCAGCTTTATAGATCTCCTAGTTCTCCGATACCCTTAACACTGAAAGTTGATGATATTGAGGTTATGTTGGGTCCTTATGCTCACCCTGCATTACATGCATTTCATAACTACAGCGCTCGGTGAAACTAGTGATAGAGGATGAGATCGTGGAAGAGACAGTGCAAGTGGACAAGGAGAAAGACACCGAGATTTTCCGCACGGTCAGCTCCAATGGGACGTCCTTCGTCATCAGAGACATGAAGACGGTTAGTTTATATTGCAGATGGTTGTATTGCAGATAAACAGTAATTTCTAGAGAAGTTTTTTTTAATGTACTGATTTTAAATTCTCTCTGCCAGTCGCTTGAAGTATGTATGGCCTTGCTGTAATGGTCTTGATTGTCTATCTAACTGGTTTGTATCTTTGCATCTTCAGGGCTTCTCAGCCTACAGGTTTGATGGGGATCAGAAGTGCTACGTCCTCTATGAAAGTCTAGAGGAGGCAGAGGACACTGCGGAGCTATCGAAGGACCTGGAACAGATGGAAGTAAGTTGCTGACTTTCAATTGGCATTATACTATCGTATATCAAATACCATTCCATTATGTGGCATATAATGATTCTTAACTTAGCTCTATTAACGTTCCGTGTCCACGGCTCGTTGCCGCCTCTAACAATGGATTGTTTCCTGCTTCTTGTAACCAGGAGGGCGAAATTGACGCCGCCGAGCGCCGAGCAGACACGTTCCTGACTGTGGACGAGGCCCGTGGGCAGGTGGACCGGGCGGTGCTGAGTGAGAGCATGGCGGAGTTCTGTGAGGGTCTGCAGGTCCACTGGGCCGTCAGGTCTGACACCGAGCCCACACCCACTCCAGAGGCTACTACTGAGGAGCTCGAGGAGGAAGAACAAATGGAAGTGGAGGTTCTCCCTGGAACCAACGGTAAGTCGAAAAAACTCTTTAAATTAGAAAAAGTGATTCACCAGATACTCTTTTTTCATAAGTCTTTTGTTTAGGCATCCTTGATAGACGTGGCAATATTTGAATGACTGGCTATGACTTTGACGTTTAACAATTTTCCCACTTCGTCCAGGGACAAGTGCTGTGCAGAAGCGTGAGAAACGCTTTGTTGCGGGCCTCGTCTGTAACTGGGTGTTGAAACGCGTCTGCGAATACACCTGCAGGAGGGTGTGCGAGGGGCGTCGTCGCAGGGGTCTGGTGGACAAGGCACCGGGACAGGAGGTGAAGAAGCGCGCCAAACGTGGTTGGTTTTTCGATGTCCGCCGTGTGGTGAGGAAGGTGGTGTCCTTTGTCTGTAGGGCTGTCTGCGGTTGGGGATGTGGTTGGCTTAGGGTCAAAGTTTGTACCCTGGTCGATATCTGGCTCGGCTAGAAATACATGCATGGCATTAACAACACAACAATTAGTCTTACTGTCTTTGTCCTGGATGCAGGTGTTAGTCTACTAAAGGTTGTCCACAAGAACGTAAAGTCATTATGTAACCTGCTATAGAGCAAGTGGACAAAGGAGAAAGGTGAAGCCCAAATTCATTGTAACAATTAGTGTGGAGTAACAGGAGGTAAACTTTCGTAGTAGTTTTGTATTGCAGTAGTACCACAGAAGGCCTGCATTCAAGTTATTTCACAGGACCTACATTCTTCTAGGTTTTTTGTGTCCATTCAGATATCTGATAGCCGTTTTGAGATTGCAACAGTTAAGGTGGCATTACTGGAGAAACTTGAACCAATTTTACGGCTGTGCAATTGACATTAACAAGCATAAGCAATAATGTTGTTCTAACGGTGTAAACGGGCAGTTGGAAATGTGTTATTTGTTTTGAATAAAATGGTATAAGACGAAGTTCTGCCTGTTGCTTGTGTGTGTGTGTGTGTGTGTGTGTGTGTGTGTGTGTTTCTCTCTCTGTGTGTGTGTCTGTGTTTGTGTGTCTGTGTCTCTGTGTGTGTGTGTCTGTGTGTGTGTGTGTGTGTCTGTGTGTGTGTGTGGGGGGGGGGATTATGGACTGTACATCCTGACAAAAGATCTGTTGAAATTCTCTCACATTCTAGATCACGGTTTAAGTGGTCCTTAACAGTAGCGGCTGTACAAGCATGTACAATGAGTGTCGTTTTTCCCTAATACCACCTGCATTGGCACATTCCACATCTTGTTTTTGGCCTGTTAATTGAAGCATATCATTTCCTCAAACTTCACAGTTCCCCTTTTCAGCCTCCGTGGCACGTAACAGACATGTGGAAGAACTTGGACTTTCATTTGAAGGTAAAATCTGTTCAAAAGGATAGAGGATGTATGGCAACGCTACATTCTGCAGAAAATGTCCTAGTCGAAGTCACAAGGACGTTGACCGCACAGCATTGTTTTACTACCTACATGTTGAATGAATGTCATGGTTTGCCCCATAGTCTATGACCGTCATCCAAATGCACCTACACTGCCACGTTCACAACTAATTAATCTTGTTGTCCTCTGAATGTCAAGCCTTACGCTAATGTTGACAACTTCTCCCTCAGAGCGTTACTTCCTCAAAGTTCTCAGTTTCACATGTTTACACCGCCACTGAAAACACGTGCTTAACAGACGTCAAGCTGAGGTCACAGAAGTGAGTCTTTTGTGCTCAGGGTTACTCGAGTTCATTACTGCTTACTCACAGTACATTTGTAAATAGAGATGCCTTGCCTTTATGGTCATATTCTATATCTCTAGTTCTAACAGTGATATCCTCCCATTACATTGACATTTACAGAACGTTTTATACTGAAATAGTAAAACTATCGACAGAGACCACATATTCGAATTGAATGCATCTATTAATTTTTATTATGAGCACAAGCAGTAATTATACACAGTCAATTGTTTATGCAATCTGCCCAGGAACCTTGATCTCACATTCTGTTACAAAAATCTTCCCTTCATTCAGATCTTGCTGTAATGAAGTAGTGCCACTAAATTCGTCATAATCTACACAACAACCAACATATTCTTCAATGGCTCGCTGAAAGTATAGTTCGAAATGAAATATCGATTGACATAAGGATTACAATAACTATATCTTGAAAAAAGCGAGTATATACATATCATGCATATGGATAAGGAGTTCTTTCTTTCTTGATTATCAAAATTCATATTGTTTAGTAATTGTGTTGACAAGTCACAACTGTAATAAAAGTGACAAGGTCTCCTAAAATCTTACTATTTGCTTAAACGCTATTTTCATCCAAAAGTAGAGTTCTTCTTCACATCTATACTTCACATCGTTCTTCTTCACACATATATATTCCAGCTTTAAAACTGGGTAAATATAATATCAGCGAGGTTTGATGATTCTAAATTACTTCATAGTCACAGAACATCACTTAACTTCAGATTCTTGTTTCTTTACACACCGTTAGTAGTTTTGAATCAGCACACTCTGCAAACGAAGAACGACAAGAACCAGAAGGAATCGCATCAGCCCTCGCACTTCGGGCTGACCGGGGTGATTCCCTGCCGCCGGTAGATGTTGTTGGCTGAGTTCACTCCCCAGACCTGGTTACTGCTGGAGCTGATGTGAACTCCCGTCAGACTTCCTCCGATCCGGTACCAGCTGCTGCCCTGGGATGTTCCAGGACGCGCACCTGAGATGGAATACGACATTAACAGCATCAAATCTTTGATGGAGAAACACTTTACAAACTATGTGAAGTATGCTACACCAAACTACACAGTTAAAAGTTCTATAGGCAGAGCATAATCAAACTGTGAGGAGAAGGGTCTGCACTAATCACCTCTATGGTCATTATTGCAGACCTGCAGCAGAATTTTTTCTACCTCCATGGAGCTAAAAAGTGCACAACGCAATGTCCAACTGTTAATGTAAGATTGTCTTAGGATTACTGTGTTAGTACTTGAAGTGTAGACAGAGGGCTGACTTTCTACCGTTCTAGTACATGTAAATAGTGTGTCTTGTACGTTGTTTATTTATACGTGTTTACGAATAAATGCACTTCTCCGGGACCAGAATCCAGTATTCGAATCATTGTTGCGTCAATTGTTGGTTAAGTTAACATATATATAGCAAGAAAGGTTATTGTTACAACTTGTAGTTGGGCTGTACCATTACCTGCATGAGATAATCAACTACCGGCCACAACTGTTTATTGATCATATAAACAGACAGCAGCAAAAATAACCGACGAACTTTCAGTATACTACACTACAGAACGAGTGATAAAAATGTCGGATGAAGCTACTGGAACGTACCTATCTCGCATATGTAGTTCTTGAGTAGATTGCAGTGATGGTTGTTCCAATGGTAGCTAAACTGCGGGCGGATCTCCACACATTTCTCCCGGTAAATTGTATCCGGCTGTCCGCGGGACCAGTCGTTGAAGTCACGAGCACCCAGCACGCTGCCGTCACTCCAACGGTACTGCGACTGTAGAAATGTGCAAATATTCGTCATCACAAAAGTTGTTACCATAAAGTATGTCTGTTTTACACATTTGTTCAATACATCAAGAGGACCTAGCAAATACGAGACTAAGGGTCATACGGAAAACCACACACTCACACACACACACACACACACACACACACACACACACACACACACACACACACACACACACACACACACACAAACAAACACACACAAACACACACACACACACACACACTCACACACTACTCAAACAAATGACAATATTCTTGATAATTCATGAGCATATGCAAAATAAACATATAGACAGAACAAACTCACAGAAGGAGCGGTCAAATCATCCAGTCCAATCCAAGTCTCGGCGGCGTAGGTGGTTCGGATGCGGTTGTCGATGAAGGTATCCAGTGCAGCTGATTTGATGACCACCAAACGGGCGCCTTGACCCCGGCAGGTGAGGCTGGCCGCCTGGTAGTTTTTGCGGTCACCTCTGGCAGAGAATCGCAGGCACTTGTTGTTCCCGTTGACCGCGACGAGCTCGTACGTTGGCGGGCAGGCTGTAAACGAGATTTTGAGATAAAGTTTAAAGACTCCTCCTCATTATAATAATGGTTTATTAGTCAAACATTACCCGTGCATTCGGGCTAGCTCCATGGAGGTGATTTGTGCAGATTTTATTGCCCAATTGATTTAAAGGACGACCAAACAGACCAAATTTGAACAAACGCGTTCTCTTTAACTTGGCTATCTGTCATTTTGATAGTGCCGTGCGTCACCACATCTAGTCATAAAATGTTGAAATACATTTGTATAAAAAAAAGGAAAAATCAAAACAAAAAAGGACCTACCGGCGGCTCGCACGTAGATCTGATTGTTGCTGTTCACCCCCCAGACGACACCGTTTCCTGACGAGATGAGTTTCAGGGACCCGCTGACTCGTTCCCAGCCCGTGCCCGGGACGTTCTCGTTCCCAGACGTTCCGGTGCGGTAGTAGATCTGGTCGTTACTGTTGACGCCCCAAACTCCGGCCCGTCCAACCGACACGAACTTCAGCTGCCCGCCGATATTCTGCCACCCTGTTCCTGTAAGTCATCAATACAGTGCCACACTCGTATATAATTTTTTTTCTTTATATAGAGGGGGAAGGGAGAGAGGCAGAGATTGTGACGGATTGAGAAAAAGTAGAAAACACAAATGTTACTTCATGACCTACAACTTATTATTGGGTGGACCGGCTACAATCTCTCCGGAGCCAAGGGCTGAATTGTGAGGAGCTTACAATTACTAGGGCTTAATCGCAAGGGTCTGGCGCGGCTGCCATTCCGCGCTGACTCAGGCGACCTCAATACGACCCCAGGTGTGGCCCGAGGGCTGTAAACTTGATCCACTCACACAGACGGTCCCCTACTTCAAAACATGATACGCTCAATGATAAACATATTGACAGATGGGGTTTCTTACCCACAGGGTTGCTTGCGGTGATTCCAGTCCGTCGATAGATGTTGTTCCCGGAGTTGACTCCCCACACCTGGTTGCTGGTCGGGCTGACGTGCACCTGTTTCAGCTTTCCTGGAATATTGCGCCAGCTCGTTCCACCAGGAGAATACCAGCAGATCCCTGAGGTTTTTAAGCACCAGATACAGAAACATCAGGTCAGATACAGAAACATTATAGCAACAGTGTCATGGTGATATCAGAGATATTGTGTGCTTGCCGTGCCTTGCAACACATCTCATATTTCTGACATGGTTGTCGCTTAAAACAGCCCACACGAGAAGCAGTTAGTTTGAGGTGGCACCAGGTATAGAATGTAAACAAACATGGCTAACAGTACTAACAAACAAAAAAGCAGCTATGTTTCCAACTTTCACTCATTCGTAAGACATCACATTTTGTTATAGTCTCTTTCTGAATGGTACTTATTTTCGAGTAGTAGGGTTCATTAAATCTACTGAATTTACCAGAAAAAGTTCCTTTTGTATCGGCCAAATGTTACACTATGTACCTTTAAGAAGGCCAAGGAAATAAAATGATGATCTTTTGCTCACCCTGGCGGATGTAGATGTCATCGTTGCTGTTGACTCCCCACACGATGTTGTCCCCGGATGAGATCTGTTTGAGGGCTCCGTCGATGCGCACCCAGCCGGAGCCCGCTGAGGCCTCGTCCCTGTAGGTCCCAGTTCTGTAGTAGATCTGGTCGTTACGGTTCACTCCCCAAACTCCGGAGCGACCGACCGATACGAACTTTAGCCCCCCTGATACTCTCTGCCACCCTGTCCCTGCATCTGTTGTAGGAATGGTCGGAATGAGTTATTTAGTCCCAAGTGTTAAGTCAGGTTAAAAGTCAGGAATAACCATTTCAGTGGTCATATGGTATTAAAACAAAAACATATGCCCCGCATTGTGTATAAAATGTAGCAGGCCACAAGTAAATATCAAAGTAATATATACAACATATTCGTATATATAAACATCTGAAAGCAATGTTAAGTTGCAAAAATATGCATTTCAATGTGGCTCTTTGTCCTCTAGCATTTGCCGTCCTTTCACTTTCATTTTCATCACCCAGAGCTTCAACACAAAGTCTGACAGGCTGATGTTAATATAAATGTTTTAGTAACTTACTTGTACTGATGCATGTGCGTCCGTCCCCTGCGTATCCTGTATCACAGCGGCAGGTGTAACTTCCCTCTGTGTTGGTGCACACGCCATGCTCACTGTTACAGGTGTGGCTCCCGTCTCTGCATTCATCTATATCTAGAATACATCAAGCACATAGGAGATATATAAGTAATATGAGCTATGATTGACAGTGCACACAAAAAATCAATGGTATGTGATAGAGATTATATGTTTGAATTATAGTAGCTTGTTTGGGGGATATTTCAAATGCTTCTGAGTATGATACGATGACAGAAATGTGCTAAAAACATCTGAGCCAATGCCAATATCAGATAGATTTCCTCATCCTGAATAGATTTGTTTCGCCGCCCTGAAATTGCATTGCATTGCCTTCGAAAGCTTTCTTAGCTGGTGTGTTACGCCGAAGGGCGGTTGTACCGGCTATACAGATACAGAAAACGCAGGCCATGCTAACCTGTGTTGCAGCAGGTCCCCGTGAACCCCGTCCCGGTACAGATGCAGCGGGGTCCGGAGGGAGTTCCGTTGGGACAGCCCCTGTTACAGGGCTGTGTCTCACTACTGCTGCCACTGCACCCAGAGCCCCCGCACTGTGCATGTGTCGCAACAATCCTACGGCAGAACCAGTCATATTGTACACATTATGCAAAAAACTTCTCAAATTCAAGTTTAGTTTTAGCTGGTTCCAGGACCATAACTATACAGTTTACCTGGTTCTTGTACGGGTCCCTGTAGCCCCACACTGAGCGGTGCAGGCCCCCCAACTCCCCCAGTTTCCCCAGGCACAGTTCACCCGACTACAGTGGCGACGGCGCCTTCTCCTCCACCACCCGGCCGACTCGTCAGGCAGAAGCAGGACCAACACGACCAGCAGGACTACACACACGGTCAACTTCATCTGAGGGAAACACATAAAAAAAGTGGCATAAAGCATCCAACACAATACAACATGACACAACACAGTCAGTAGTGGAACACTCCTGATTTTCTGAGACGGCGACTTTGGAATCGTTTAATTAATTAATTTGCGGCAATAAACACGTCCGTCATAGGTTGACGTTGCCTCCTTCGCAGACTTCTGAGGCGGCGGCGGTTTTTTTTTCGGGACGGTTTTGCAGCCGAGGGACTTTGGCGGGGAGAGGAGGTGGTTTCTTGGACGTCTCTCCCCGGCAAAATCCCTCAGCGGCAAAACCGTCCCTCCGCGGCATACCCCCCCCAAAAAAAAATACCACCGCCACCTCAGAAGTCTGCGAAGGAGGCTAGCTCCCGTCGGACGCAAGACGACATGACATCTAAGGGTGCTCTAAAGTGAGTAGTAAATGATAAAACCCGTGACGAGCCCGTCAAACGCTAGCAAATTCATCACTTGAACATTAATGGTTGAGCCGGTACAAAAATGGCATACTTAGCTGATTAATCAAGGTTAGATCACTGTACACCATATTGCAAAAGTTTCTGATAACTCTGGGGAAAGAAATGATGACCAATACAAACTTTGTTACCTACCGTAGCTTGTTATGGTGACTACTGGTTGATGAAAAGCAAGTGGTGATCTGCACGGGCAAGAAGACTTCTGCTTGCTTTTATAACTTTTTTGTTTCCTGAAAGTTCTCATCTTACAGCACATGACCGTAAAACAACAGGGTAAAAATGCGTCATTGCCAGGCAGGGGCTACAGTTTCCCTTTCAATTCTACTATTCACAAACTTGCGTCTGCGCAATGCACGCGGTATCGAAATGCACACGGACACTTGTTGATGAAAGCGTGTCCATTCAAATACATTCTTCCCCTGTACCGTATCCTAGGGGAATTTTGTCGGTCATTTCGCCAAAGAAAGAAGAAAGCACCTTTTTCCTAGAAATGCTTATATTGGCTCCAGTTCAATTTCCCGAGTCTGCGCACTACGGTAAAATCGGCCAGACGCCACTGTTGTTGACTTCGGCTCATGAAATTTGATACCTTGTCCAAGAAAGCCCGGACAGTATTGTGTGCGTGGCATCAGAGCTTTTTACTAGTATCTCTCTGTCTTCTTTGTAATTTTACATGAAGCCAATTTATGGAATGTACATTCAAAGCTACCCATATTCTAGATCTTTTAGATCTCTTTATGTTTCCAGTAAAGTATATCCAGATTACACTAGACTACATACTACTAGTACTAGTATTTGGAGCCAATGGTATGACTCTTCTGTGCAAATGTCAGCCTTGATCTGCTTCCTCGTGGTCTCACATCACTGTTAACTTTTGCTTTCTAGAAGCAGCTGTTTGTCAATGAGTTCCTCTGATACCATCTACCTGGTGTCACATACCTCACACCACTTTTAGCTCATCAATACACACGCAAGGACTAGCTACCGGTCAATACTCAATAGCCTCCTGTTAATTGAAGCATATCATTTCCTCAAAGTTTTTAGTTCCCCTTTTCAGCCTCAGTGGCACTTATCAGACATGTAAAAGAACGTAGACTCTTTCGTTTGAAGGTAAGGACTGTGCATCACAATCGTAGAAAAACAGACGGACAGACATAGTAAAAGACAGACAGATGGACAGACAAACGTTAACCAAAAACTTAATTCCCTTGACTCGTACTGAACTATACCTGAACCACCTGAGTTGACTTAAATGTCAAGAGTGTTTTGGATCAAAACACAGACACAAAGGACTCGTCTGTTGTTGACATCGACTCATGACATTTGATACCTTGTTCAAGAAAGCCGGATCGTGTGCATGGCGTTATTATATATAAGCATCATACAATTTGCGCTGCATTCTGTATTTTTGGAATCGCAGAAAAACAGACGAACAGACAAACAGACAGATAGACAGCTGAGCATGAATTTTCTTGACTTGAATGTAAAGAGTGATGAAGAACGAAACACAGGCACAAAGGAGTCGTCTCGAATCACATGGTGCAGGTACTAGTACTAAGTAAACGGCTTCACACTACTGGCATGTTGCTGAAGGTCCACCTAGCGGATTACAGCAACATCTCATACACGCGGAGAAAACAATTTGCACGACATCAAAATGTTATGACTTCTTTCAGACTAATCTCAGTCTCACTCCTTATTCATATTTGGCAGTTTATGTCTACATTACCTGGTATTGCAACACAGGTTTACGAGAAAGTACGACTTTGTTAAACACACTCTATCCGCGAGGTAGTCCAATTTATTAACCCAATTGCAGGGATACGTCTTGTAAATTATAAAGAAATACTGCTTAAATCTGTGTCGTCGTTACACGATGTTTCAGCTCCAGTTCCATCCTGAAAATTTAGGTACTGTTTTTTAATGTTTACCTGTCGGCAATATCTGTAAATTTAATAACGCAGTAACTCCTACGCGTCTTTTGAAACGCTTTCTTTAATATTTCTGCCTCCCAGCTTCGATTGAGTTTTCTCTCTCATTAAAAAAACTTACGAACCTCGCAAAAATGAAGTTTCATTCGCACCACGTCATGCCGCCTCCTTCTCCTCTGATGTGCTCTCTCAGACTAATCAGCGTTATTTTATAACCATATTTGGGCATGTTGAGCCCCCATATACCGCGTCTTCTCACCGACGCCTCAGTAGAAATGCAGGAGCAGGAGCGGTCCGTCCGCACTTCGTTCCCTGGACAGGGAGACGGGCAGACCGGTCGGCCTCTTCCCCCGCTGCCTCGTCCCCCTCAGCGCGGCGAGAGCATCCGTGGCAGCGGCAACTGCGACGCTTTTAACAGGTAGATACAAACAATTATCTGCTAACGACAGAATATGTAAATATTGTACAAAAAATACAGTGGATGATGAAATGCGCTTTATTTTCCACTGCCCTCATTATGTTTTGAAAATGTTAACGTTCCCTAGCTTTATTCACCTTCCCAGCTTATAAAAACTGCATCTCGCAAAATGTCGACCATTTCATATACAAAAATGTACTACAATGCATTTAAATCAGCTAGCATTTCATACCTTGGGCATTTAAAACTTCAGAAAAAAGCCCCAAGATGAATCCTTTATTTTATGGACGGTACCCTAAAATCAGCCCAGGGCCCTTGCAGTAACCATTCTCCGTCAGAACTTTGGGAATTTTTGCTCCACGAGGGTCAATATACTGGATAGTGTGGTTTCAACTCAGTATGTAGATAATTGACTAGAATATTGGCCTTGACAAATCGGGTTTCCAAGGCCTAAAACTGCACTGGATGCCTCTAACAGGTGGCAAGGAGAGCACAGAAAGTCTCCGAACTCATACCCTCGCGGAGACGACGCCAAGCCGGCAAATCCGCCGAATCTCTCACCGCCTTCACAGGAAGGTAAGATGGGGACCAGACTGCCCCAGGACGGAAAGGACTCGGACGGCATGGGGCCACATGTCAACTTTCCCTACGCAACCGACACCTCGACAGGTAGGTTTATTACACCTTTATTTTGGCCCCCCATATTTGAGGAGGGTATATGTGCATTTTCTTTCCTCGCTTTTCGGGTTATATTAAATTGACCAGCAGATCATTACAACTGTTTTTCTTATCGCTGCCTAGCGCCTACAATTGCCGACGTGAATAACAATTAGATACACATGTAAGTTTTATACTGTATCGAAGTATTTTCCTGGTACGCGACAGACTATTAAGTGTTTAGACCTGGGCCGGTTTATTGCGCCATGCCTTGTAAAAACAGACGCCTGCTTTTGCGCGTAGAAAGAAAAATGAAGCCAGAAGAGGAGTAACTAGTTCTCCAGTCTGTTTCTGAGATATATTCCAAATGTAAGAGTCTACATACTGGCCATTGCATGTGCACCGATAATAGCACTCTCACATTTCCATCATACAGTGTAACGCTACTATTCATTTACTCTTGGTAAAATTTGGCCAAGTCTCCATGTAACGTAAAATCATGATGACGTTTAAGCAGAAAATTGACAACAGTGTTTTTTTTCGGATCATTTGCTGTGCTTTATGCATATTTCTATTGGTGCGTTTTTTCTTAGAAAAAGCAACAGACTGGTGAGCACTACCGCAAAATTCACCAGAGCCACACACCTGTTGGAATCACTATCACAAATTAAAAATTTAGATACATACATGATTATTAATTCATGATAACAGACAGCACGGGTAAGGATGTGAAGAGTGACCGCCGGGGCTGCAGCTGCATGGCGGTGACCCTGGCTGTAGTGGTGGTACTGGTCAGCGCTGGCTTCACTCTCACGGCATTCATGCACTTTCAACAGCAGCAGGTAATGATAACTCTGCGAGCTTCAGTGTGCAACACTATACCGGCCTCTGCTACAACTACTTACGCCCATGGAATAAGGGTCGTGTGGCGCAGCGGTAGCGCGTTCGGCTCGGGACCTAGAGGTCCAGGGTTCGATCCCCACCCATGTCACCGATCTTGTGCCCTTGGGCCTTTACACGAATTTCCTCACTTCACTCAGGTGTAAATGTGTACCTAGCTTCGGTTAGGGACGCCCCTCGGATAGGACGTAAACGGGAGGTCCCGTGTTTGAAGAGAGCCACACCTCGAGCACGTTAAAGATCCCACCACACCTTTCGAAAAAGAGTAGGGGCATGCCCCGGTGTGCGATGGTCCAAAAATTCTACAGCCCAAATACTACAGTGTAGCAGAATCATCAGCAAGTTGATGTTGGCTACCTTAACCCCCCAATACCAATACCAATAGTAATACTCCCCTCGGGCTCAATGGCCCGTAGCGGTAATTTAGACAGGCGGGCGTAGTGCTCTTGGCTACCGAAGGAACCCGGCTAACGGCCCGATACTAGTCTGGCTTCCCGGGTAGGTAATAATGTCAGCAATGTTGCTCAGAGAACATCAACATTTATCATTACTGCTGGTACTCTGGTGTTTATAGAATATTACAGCTGGCCTTTTCTGTTGGTTCTGTTGTGTTTTAGGAAACATTACAACTGATCTTTACAACTTACAATTACAACTGAATGATATTCTGGTGCTTATAGAATATTACATCTGACCCTTTCTGTTGGTTCGTTGTGTTTTAGGAAACATTACAACTGATCTTTACAACTTACAATTACAACTGAATGTTATTCTGGTGCTTATAGAATATTACAGCTGGCCCTTTTTGGTGGTTCTGTTGCGTGTAGGAGATATCCCAGCTGACTCTTGCCGTGTACGCTGAACGGAACCGAACAACCGCCTTGGAACAACTTCTGCACGAGATGAGTGACATGGTGTCAGGTAAGTTAGTTGACTTTACCTTGATCCATTCTAAAACTCACCACCACCATTTTCTGAAGTTTCCAATCGTTTTCATCTTTTTTTCTTTCATCTACATGTAAAGTCGAAACCTCTGGGCTATAGCTACCTGGTATTTGCGGCTTTGCAACTGAACAGCATGGCCTGTTGTTATAATCTACATGTATACAGATATATAGATGGATTGCTAAGGTATTTCGTATGTGGCTAGAATAGGAGTTCCCCTGTCAAAATTATGTGAAAATGTGACTCTTGTTGAGGTTTTAAGTAAAGGTTAGGAGGCATTTTGATCAGCTTGTGTGATAACAATTTAGGCCCTTTTTGGCACCTATTTTTTGGCACCTATTTTTTGGCACCTATTTTTTGGCACCTATTTTTGGCACCTATTTTTTGGCACCTATTTGGTAACCGCTGTAGATTTTGGCTCTAATATTAACTTTACTAAACGAATGTTGTAGACTTCTCTTTCAATCCAGGATTCGCGGACAAGATGCATGGAGATGACGACTATGAGCCTTACGGACGACCTGCACAAGTCAAACTCACTCTACTACCAGGGCAGGTCAAGAAGTCTGGACCACCTACCCAAGGCAACCCCTCCGGACAACCTGGACAAGGCAACCTCTCCGGACAACCTGGACAAGACAACCTCTCCGGACCACCTGGACTAAGCAACCTCTCCGGACCACCTGGACAAGGCAACCTCTCTGGCCTACCTAGACAAGTCAACCTCTCCGGACCACCTGGACATGGCAACTTCTCTGGACCACCTGGACATGGCAACCTCTCTGGACCACCTGGACAAGGCAACCTCTCTGGACCACCTGGACAAGGCAACCTCATTGCGCCACCTGGACAAAGCAACCTATCTGGACAAGACAACCACTCTGGACAAGGCAACCTCTCCGGACCACCTGGACAAGGGAATCTCGTTGGACCACCACCTGGACAATTAATCAAAGGCAACGTCTCTGGACAACCTGGACAAGGCAGCCTCGATGGACAAGGCAACCTCTCTGGACAAGGCAACCTCTCTGGACAAGGCAACCTCTCTGGACAAGACAACCTCTCCAGATCACCTGGAAAAAGCAACCTCTTTGGACAATATGGACAAGGCAACCTCATTGCGCCACCTGGACAAGGCAACCTCTCTTGGCCACCTGGACAAGGCAACCTGCCTGGACCACCTGGACAAGGCAACCTCCCTGGACCACCTGGACAAGGCAACCTCCCTGGACCACCTGGACAAGGCAACCTGCCTGGACCACCTGGACAAGGCAACCTCTTTGGACAACCTGGGCAAGGCAACCTCTTTGGACAACCTGGGCAAGGCAACCTCTCTGGACAAGGCAACCTCTCTGAAACATCTGGACAAGGCAACCTCCCTGGACCACCCGGACAAGGCAACCTCTCTGGACAAGGCAACCTCTCTTGGCCACCTGGACAAGGCAACCTCTCCGGACAAGGTAACCTCTCTGGACCACCTGGACAAAGCACACCATCAGGACCTCCTGGACAAGTCAAGCGCTCTCTCCCACCCGGTTCTCTACCGAAGGTGCCGGGTGGATTCCCAGCGTTGACCGGGCAAGGCGGCCCACCAAGTCCGTCCGGCCCGCCAGGTCCGCCCGGCCCGCCTGGTCCGCCTGGATTACCCGGTCGCCTCAGTTATCCATCGAAGAAGCAGCTGATTGAAATGTGCCAATCAGATAACCCACAAGGTAAAGAACAACGCCCGTCTTTACAGGTAAATAATTATGTGAAACTGAAGCACTATTCATGAGTACAAAAACTGCAGTTTTTACTCAATATATATGTCACAGGGTATACATGTAAATATTCTGTAGGTTGAAGGTTCTGAATGTGTGGCAGGGCCATTAGACAGCCCCTTGTTATACGATAGCTTTAAAGCTGGTGTTACAAACGGCAGTTTTACCAGCTTACCACTGATGATATTTAATCCTTCCTTACAGCCTTTTGTGCACCCTGTGATAGTGGGTGGACCGAAAAGAACAACACTTGCTACATCGTGATGAGAGGCAAAGTCAACTGGACTGCGGCAGACTCGCACTGCAAACAATTCCAGGCAAATCTTGCTTCGATTAAGGACGCCGACGAGAACAGCCTCGTAACAAGTCTCATCGGTAGCGGTGGGTAGTTTTATCTAAACATATCTAGTTGTCAATTGTGATAAAGTTATGCTGGTATCTTACGCACGCTTTGAAGTGCACTTAAAGGTTAGGTTTAAACCATTCTGATTGGATTTTGGCAACGGGAGCAAGCCCATGGTAATGTCTTGTACACGCTTTTCTGTGTTGTCCAAGGAGAAAAAAGCCAAGAAAAAGGTGAAGACAATAATCTTTGTTCGCACACACACACACACACACACACACACACACACACACACACACACACACACACACACACACACACACACACACACACACACACACACACACACACACACACACACACACACACACACACACACACACACACACACACACACAGACACACAGACACACAGACACACACACATACATGCATACAAACATACATGAAAATATAAGCAACCCACACACGTATGAACACACACACACCCAAACACACACACAAACACACACACACACACAAACACACAAACACCTCCATCTTGATATAATGATGACAGCATTACGATATATTTAAGATCTCACGTAAGACTTGTTTCTTTACTCGCAGCCCCCGAAGGCAGGACGCCACTTGTCTGGATTGGACTCAAAGACGTAAAAAAACGTAGAGGGCAGAAGTGGGCGTGGACTGATGGGTCAAGTTTCTCTTTCGCCAACTGGGCTCGGGGTCTACCTTCTAACCTGAACCTTCCGAAACAAAGGAAGAATTGTGTTGGAATGTACTCAAAGGTGTGTTTCAGGCATATATTTTTTTCTTCCATTCTTCCTTTCTTCCATTCTTCTATTCTCCCTTTCTTCCATTCTTCCTTTCTTCCATTCTTCTATTCTCCCTTTCTTCCATTCTTCCTTTCTCCCTTCTTCCTTTCTTTCGTTATTTCTTATATCGTTATGTTTCTAATATTTACCTATTTATATGAATATAATTACTTTGTTTTCATAGAATACCAAAGGCAAGGGTCTGTTAAAGAAGAAGAAGAAGAAGAAGAAAGGAGAGTGGACTAACGCGCATTGCAGCAACACCTTCCCCTACATCTGCATGAAGCCGAAACTGATGAAAACTTGATTTAAAAAAACAGCCCTTGTCCTGCTGGAATTTTGTACACAATATTTTTCAATAATTTTACGTCTTAATTTGGTCATAGACCCTGCGGTGGCATAGTTACTTCCGCATTCGTTGCGTTTCGCAACGGTGTGATGCGTTGCACGAGAAACATCCCCAAATCGTACCTATACAGATTGCTAAATAGATGGTACTGTATGTGAAAAACAATTATTTTTGGGCTCCGCAGGACAAGGGCTTTAATGTCCAATGCGAAAGAATTTTATATTTGCAAACGTTCGACTGTGCAACTGCGGTCGATCCACTGCTGACATTCACTGTACGAATACATGAATTAAGCACACCCTAGAAAGCCTGCGTAAAGAAACGGAACCTTTAGGCGTTCTTTTAATCTGTGCGTAAATAATGAATTCTTTGCAGTGTTACGTTTGCTGCATTCAAATTATGGACACGTGACTCAAAAGTGTCAGATTACATCTCTGTTCATTGATGATTGGTTCCCCTGTTTTGACTTTGTCTAGTGATGGTTGTAGTAGAGAATCTCACCCTGGCAATTTTGATTCACGGGTTTTTTTTTTTTGATTTTATTTATTTGCACATTGAAACAAAAACATAATGCAATAATACAAGAATGAAGTTAAAATAGGTGCAGGAGGAGGGCAGAAGCATGGAGTGCTTGTACGAGGCCCTCCCCCTCTAAATTTCGGGGCACACATGTGTAATTTGCATAACGTGACGTCACAGAAGGAAACAGGGAGCCCAGTCCTTTTTTTTGGTTGGAACAAAATTCATTCGTTCGAGCTAAGAACTTGTTTCATAATTAAATGACTTATACAACAACACAGATGAGCTTTTCTTCTGTTCTTATTAAGATGTTCTAGCATTTTATTTTGGAGAGAAATTTGAAGACTCTGAAATTAATTTTAGTATACAATATTCTGTAACAAATGTTTGTACGTTTTCATTGAGAGGAGGAATATTTGGAAACTGGGTTCCTACAAGATGTAACAGCCGTTTTTTTCTACATTTGCAAAACGCTGATATGATAAACATGTGAACATCCTGTACAACGCTTAGAAAACATCTTAAATGGTAGCAAATAGCATCATATGTATAGTCTCAGGCCTGGTACTATGTTGGTCGTCAGTTTCTTTTATACACTTTTATGCCTTGTAGTAGCAATGCACTGTATTACATCGTGACCAAGAAAAAAGGAACAGGTTAACTATTTGTTTGTGTAATGTTATGAAATAGCACAATCATGTATGTTACAGTAGACAATGATAATATTCTATTCTATACTATTACACGTGTGTTGTATACAGTAAGGTAGACAATGGTGATACTCTATTCTATACTATATATTGCACTTTCTTCCTCTGAAAAATATATTGTATCAGTGTACTCGACGTACATTAGACACTGTGCATCTACATATGTCTGCAATAGTTGGTAACATTCTGTTACATCATCAGTATACGTAGTAAAACAAAGTTTTGCAACTGAAATCTATACAGTAAAAACTGATCATGTCGATGGACGTTAAGTAGAAAACCTGTAGGAGAAAACTGTGCATCAGTATATAGCCTGGGTGCCGGAGTTACCACCGGCTCTCTCCTGTCTCTTTCTCATTGGCAAAGACATCAAGCTAAAAGAGAGAACCGGCCGTAGCTACAGATGATGGCTTCCAGGCTTGTTCGTCACAAATGTTGTGAAAGTGACGGAAGCTTGGACGCTGTGTTTTCATGGCAATACAACTGGTTGCACGGAACTATTTTGTCTGTGTTATTATATTCAGTGCAGTTGCGGCTTGGAAACCCGATTTTTCAAAGCCAATCTCTAGTCATTTATCCACATACTGAGTTAAAACCACACTATCCCAAAGTATATTGACCCTCATGGAGCAAAAAAATTCCCAAAATTCTGACGGAAAATGGACACCGGAAGGGCCCTGGGCTGATTTTAGGGTACCACCCAGAAAATAAAGGACTCATCTTGGGGCTTGTTCCTGCAGTTTAAAATGCCCAAAGTATGAAATGCTGATTTAGATGTGCTTTATGTGAAGAAGTATGTATCAATATCACAAAGAGTGCCTTAATTAGAATATTTCCAGTTTTGCTGTCCTGAAATCGCATTGGATGCCTTTAAAGCCAGCAACACTGGTGTACAGATATATCATTCCAAAGAGGAAAACGAAAAAATGAAATGATAATACAGTCACATCAACAGTTCGTGAATTACAAGATGATAGCATGTCAACAACATGGGGTATCATGCCCTGCAGTACCGTACAAGGCCGCTAGATTACCCATTATTGACCTTGGTCTTTGTTGTCCCAACCCCAATCATAAAAATACCTACACCACCTGCAAACACCGATATAATAGTGAGATATTCTTTGCTATAAAATCATTGACAAAATCTAATACTTTCCCACTGGCATTTATTGCTCATTGAAAGGTAAGTAAATCAATATTCAGATCAGCATTCTCCTTTTGTGAAAGGGCTTTTCCTCATTGACCTATAATTGTTTTATTTTTGCAAAATCTCGTTTCCTCGTCCCGTTTCCTTGTCACACCTGGCCGATACCAACAGATACATAATGATAATATGATAAAGATGGACGAGTCTACTTTAAGACACTACCGGAGGTATAAATGTGACTTTTAGACTCTATGTGGATTTGGCGGAGCAACGTCAAGAAATATGAACTGATGTGACTACGTATACATATAAAAACATGTGAAATTGAGAATTTGTTGGAAATGCAAATCGTACAATGGGAAGAAATCTGTATACATTTTGGCATCTTTATATTTGTGTCCTTGTCCTATTTTCACACTGTCCATTAAACTGTGCCATGACATCCTATTGTCTTATTTTTGCAAAGTCGCGTTTCCTCGTCCCGTTTCCTTGTCGCGTTTCCTTGTGACCTGTTACCTACAATGATGCCTACACAGACTTCTGAACTAAAGATTTAGCATTTCTTTTGTGTTTGTACCAAAATAGATTTGAATATTCATGATTTATTGGTACAGGAAGCTATGAAAATGTATATAAACCCCTCCATACCGACCACCCTGCACAGCCCGGCCGAAACTTCTACAGTGCGCAGACCTCACTGCGGATCTGGTGGGTTCTTCTGTACTTATAATGCGGGTTGCAATTGTAGCGCTTGCGATGCAAATTCAAGCGTTCTGTAACTCTATATTGCATTAGTTGATTGCATGCTTTGTTATTTTATTTTTTCATCAGAGATTTGCTGACAATGACGTCCTGCGACGAGAAGAAACCGCTGCCCCCGGCTGACTTCTCTCTGGGAGGCGCCTCGCTGCACGACATCGCACGGATCAAGGTAAACATCGTCACGTATATCGGATGATGCACGCGCGGTGTTTTCCGCGACGGTATCGCCTTATGCCGTATGTTTGAGCAGAAAAGGTTACAATTGTTTAAACCTATTGCAAAACCGTTTCTTTTAAACTATGACGTGCGGCACGGTCGTCCATTAAAGCCCTCCATCGTAGGTTTATCGGACGGTGTGGCTTAAGATATATTTTTCCATTGTACCAAAAACTGGCGTTGATAAAATCTCCAAACATTCGGTATTAATAATTGATGATTAGAAATGCTATTTGAAGCAACTTTCATTGAAAAATGTGCTGGGCTCGACAGTCCAATAAACGCACAACCGCTACCCTGTTTAACGGTAAATAAGGTCCAAAAGCCTTGCTCCTTTCCATGACGTACATATGCATGTAAACTTTCCGTTCCTCGACAGGAACAGATCCTCGAGGGAAACCAGAAGCGTCGGAAGATCGTGATCGGAGTGACCTGCGGTGTGCTGGCGGTGCTGATCGTTCTCGGCATCCTGCTAGGCGTTTTCCTGAACCACGACCCCGTGAAATCGGTAGGTACACTTGCGGGGCACATCTGTAAGTATGCTGAGCAACCTCGGCCAATAAGGACAAATAAGTACAAAATCTCAAACGTAGAATACATCTAAATCCTTCAGTCCTTACAGGCGGAGTGTGCTTGATCTTGTTAGCGCTGAGTGTCCTCAATTTTGTTTTGTGTCCGGCATTTTATTTGTAAAATTTAGGAAATGAGTAACAAACTGCGAAACGTAAACTGTAGATGTTCCGATCTTTCTCAAAGTCACTTGGACGCGGGATGCTGTGCTTTGTTTAATTCTACTTCCTTCATTTTTGCTGTAGCGACATCTGAAGTTCCGCGACGGGAACAAGCTGTACTGGGAGACCGTCGAGACCGACGAAGACGAGGGTACCGACACGTTCTACACCGATAGCGCCAGCGGGGCGGCGGCGGTCATGTTCGACCACAATAAGGTACATTAGATGATAAACCTGTTTTTAAGTCAATCTTTCAAGATATCTGCTATTATTTTTATTTTGTACATATCAACCTGTTGATTCTACAGTACATCGTCATTTCTTTACGTTCCTGTTACATTCCTGTGTTGTCTTCTCTAGGAACTGAAGGCTTACAAGTTTTCTGGACGAGACATCTGCTACATCGTGCCCGAGGAGGAAGGAGAGGACCAGGTTGTGAAAGAGGTGGCGACGGACATGGAAAACAAAGAGGTACGTTTACATAGAGCCATTACAACAAAGCGATATTCACTGGAGTGGTCCTTAGTACATAAAATAAAGTTCCCACGGCCCATGGCCGTAGGTTGTTAATCCTCTGTGTCTTTGGCACGGTTTTGAAGGTAGAGCCCTTCCCCCTCCTTTCACCGCCTTTCAGTCAGGTACACAGTTTACACTTTAGTGGAGTGAGATGCGAAAATTCGAGTAAAGTGCCTTTCCAAGGAATGCCAGAGACCGAACTAGCGACTCTTGATCTCCGCTAGCCTGGCCGCTTGGCCATACGACACCACGTGGTCCTTATACCAACATGTTGTTAATTCATAATGATTGTGTGCTGGTACTAGAAATATCAAAAAGAAAAAGAAAGTAAGAGAGTAGCGTTTCTTTACGTTTCCCCCAAGTAAGTGTCTTCAATGCCTTTTCCACAGGAGGGATCTATTCAAAAAGTACAAAAAGGCAGTACTGTCACTATGTCCTTGGACGAGTCCCGTCCGGAGACCCCGGAGCTGGGTGAAGCGATGGAGTTCTTCTGCGGCGACCTGGAGCCCCGCTGGGCCACTCTCAGCCAGGCCGATGGCCAAGAGGAAACTGGCATTGCGCTGATTGCCCCAAGTAAGTTCAGTCTTCTTTAACGCGTGATTTTAGAAGATAGATTTAACTGACCCTTTGCACTGCAACAATACATTCGTCTGCACAGCTGTGTGTCATGTTCATCGCACAAAGATCTGTTGGAATTGTCTTAGTTATTCTTATAGTTCACATAAACTCCACATAGAAAAAGGCAGACACAACCGTATTCCTCTACAGCAAAGGATCTGCCAATTTTGTAATCTAGATAATATTGGGGATGAATGCCATTTTGTTGTGGATTGTACATTATATAGAAATGAGAGGGATTCCCTCTATACTTATATGGCAGATAAGTTCCCAAGTTTTAGACATTTAGACAAAATAGAAAAATTTGCATTCCTTATGAAACTTGACAAACCATGTATAATTAGGTCAATATGTTCATACATCTATAACTGCGTCAAGAAGCGAGAAGAAGTTGAACCTGTAAATAGTAGATCACATTAGTATGTATAGTTTAAGTGTCATTGCTGTATTCCTTTCCCCCGTTTATTCATGACCTGTACTTAGCTTGTTAGAGGAAACGTACAATGAAGGTCTTTCATTCATTCATTCATTCTTATAGATACATTTGATTACGTGTATGCTGCTTCATTATACTGCGTTATTACAGGGAAGATGGATCCAGGACCAGATGAAAAGAAGAGCCGTGTGAAGCGTTTTTGGGGACGTCGCCGACGTCGCCGTAGTGTGAATGTGAACATCAATGTGAATATAAACATTAGTGTCACTATTTTCCTTTTCGCCATTTTCGGCTAGTAATAAATAATATAATTGCAACCGTTGAAATAACAATAGTGTCAACCCTTAAGTGTATATGTTTCGTTACAAAGATTGAACTATATGATATAGTTCTTTGTGATGGATGTAACGTTAGGCACTACTCCGCTCGTCTGACCTGATCTATTTGTTTCGTAGCCTTTCTAATATCTAAACATTCAATGTATGTATCTAATAATATTTGCACACAGTAAGGATCGTCTACTGGAAAGATCAAATTTGTCGGCTTCAGTTACACACCGGCCATGCTTAGTCAGAACTCACATCAATTATGACCATGCTTCATGTTTAGGATACTTGTCTAACATAAACGTTATCTCGAATGTATAGTCTTAATTTGGGTTTGTAGCTAGCCTAAATTACTCTAACATATATATTATCGACCCACCGTTTGTTTGAATAGTTTGAACTACTCATATCGATGTTTTTTTAATATTTCATTACCATTATTTATAATAGTACATTTAATCTAGTGGTGTTTGGTAGAGTGCATGGGTGACCTATAAAATGTAATTATACCGTTTTCATCAAGATCTTCATTATGTTAAGTATTTGGTTTGATGTGAGAAATAAAAGTGTGAAGATACAAATTATGTTGGTTTATTTTCTGGGGTTTAAGGGAATAAATAACGCGTATATATTTCCTTGGCAATATGTCTCTCTCACAGAACACCTCCCTAATACAAAATATGGGATCCAGCTACATGTAGCTAGATAAAGGATTTTGTCTTCTTTTCTCGTCATGTAAGAAGATGACTCATTACACCCGAACAAAAGACGTTATCTTACCTTCTTTCTTTCTTTCTTTCTTTCTTTCTTTCTTTCTTCCTTTCTTTCTTTCTTTCTTCTTCTTCTTCTTTCTTTCTTTCTTTCTTTCTTTCTTTCTTTCTTTCTTTCTTTCTTTCTTTCTTTCTTTCTTTCTTTCTTCCTTCCTAGCTTCCTCCCTCCCTCTCTCTCTCCCTCCCGCCCTATCAAAATACCTACACCACCTGCAAACACCGATATAATAGTGAGATATTCTTTGCTATAAAATCATTGACAAAATTTAATACTTTCCCACTGACATTTGTTGCTCATTGAAAGGTAAGTAAATCAATATTCAGATCAGCATTCGCCTGGGTACCATCCGGATTTTCGCTCCGCAACGCTTTCGAGCGAAACTCCGGATGGTACCCAGGCTAGATCAGCATTCACCTTTTGTGAAAGGGCTTTATCATTGCAAGGTTCGACCTCATTGACCTAAAATTGACTTGTTTTTGCAAAATCTCGTTTCCTTGTGCCGTTTCCTTGTCACACCTGGCCGATACCAACAGATACATAATGATAATATAATAAAGATGGACGAGTCTACTTTAAGACACTACCGGAGGTATAAATGTGACTTTTATGTGGATTTGGCGGAGCAACGTCAAGAAATACGAACTGATGTGACTACGTATACATATAAAAACATGTGAAATGGTGAATTTGTTGGAAATACGAATCGTACAATGGGAGGTAATCTCTAAACATTTTGGCATCTTTATATTTGTGTCCTTGTCCTATTTTCTCACTGTCCATTAAACTGTGTCATGGCATCTTATTGTCTCGGACCTATAATTGTCTTATTTTTGCAAAATTGCGTTTCCTCGTCCCGTTTCCTCGTCCCGTTTCCTTCTGACCTGTTAACCTACAATGATGCCTACACAGACATCTGAACTAAAGATGGGCGAGACTTTATAAAGATTTTTAGCTTGGAAGAGATAGGAAAATGCGGTGAACACGTGTGGAAGTTTTACCTTGAATCCAGACTAAAGACTTGTGCTATACGCAGACTCACAGTCTACTATATATCATGAACTTTGTGTCTGATATATCTTAGTTTCTCAACCAAATGCAACCTCCGAATATGCCACTCTCTTATAGTATTGACCTACCTAACATACAGTTTTTCTGTTTTTCTGACATGAGGGGGGATGTAGAAAACAAACTACTTTGTACCTCTAAGTTGTTTGTAAGGGAAGGGGAAAACTAAAGCTTTAAGCGAAACACCTGATTGTTGCCTTTTGACATTTTCAACGTAACGTGCGTGAATGATATCAGGGAAAGTTTGCAATGATGTGGGCAGGACGGCTGATACAGTTCTTGGGTAGCAGCCAGCCATGTAGCCACCGCCAGACAGTAAAGCTCATACACAGCAATTATAGCACTTCTAACGTACATCCTATACTTGGCGTAATAGCACAACTTTTCAGACAGTTAGTAAAGTTTTCAGCCGCTCGCATGCGGACAATATAAGTTGTTGTGAACGTACATGACTCCGCAAACGTCAGTTTCGTTCGAGTTGGTTGACTGTTGGATGTTGGAGGTCCAGGGTAAAGTGGTTAAAAGGATGAGTATCGAGATTCATCCCCATTTATTTCAAGACCATATTTCATGTTCAATTTGTTGCCTGTTGCTCCTTGCATTGCGGTTGTTGCAATGGTCAGTAAGGTTGTTGCAATTGTACTTGTAGATCAGCAAAAATGTCAGTTTAAAGTTACAAAATATTTTGTACAGGCTCAACTGTCTCTGCCAGGTGGGTGGGGCTACACTCGCCATCATGGCCCCTCCCCTTGGGACAGAAATGATGAAATTAGGTCAAATAACGTCAACTTTTCAATTTGTGTCTGTACAGAAATAGATTTGAATATTCATGATTTCTTGGTACAGGAAACTATGAAAATGTATATAAAACCCTCCATACAGACAGCCCTGCACAGCCCGGCCGAAACTTCTACATCGCGCAGACCTCACTGCGGATCTGGTGGGTACTTCTGTACTTATAATGCGGGCTGCAATTGTAGCGCTTGTGTGTACAAACATGTGATGCAAATTCAGGCTTTCTGCAACTCTATATTGCATTAGTTGATTGCATGGTTTGTTATTTTATTTTTCTGCAGAGATTTGCTGACAATGACGTCCTGCGACGAGAAGAAACCGCTGCCCCCGGCTGACTTCTCTCTGGGAGGCGCCTCGCTGCACGACATCGCACGGATCAAGGTAAACAGCGGTCACATATGTACACCGCACGATGCACGCACGGAGAATGTTTTCTGTACATTGTCGTAGATTTGAGCGGAAAAGAGTGCGATTGTTCAATATTTTAAACCTATTGCAAAACGTTTTTTTTTAATCACGAAGTGCCACACGGTCATCGCGGAAAGCCTTCTATTGTTTTGGACGATTTTAGATATGTTCCATATGATCATACCAAAAACAGACGTTAGCGAAATTTGCAAGGCTTCGGTGTAATAATTGATGATGACAAATGCCACTCGGAGCAACGAATTTGCATAGTTCGACATTACAAATATTATGCAAACGCATAAGTGGCAAACAACCGCTGTCCTGTTTTAATTTCTAATACCGGTATTGTCGTCCAAAAGCCTTGCTCCTTTCCCTGACGCACATGTAAACTTTCCTCCCTGCCTCAACAGGAACAGATCCTGCTGGAGGGAAACCAGAATCGTCGGAAGATCGTGATCGGAGTGACCTGCGGTGTGCTGGCGGTGCTGCTTGTTCTGGGCATTCTTCTAGGCGTTTTCCTGAACCACGACCCCTTGAAATCGGTAGGTACACTTGCGCGGCACGTCCAACGGCATATATATTTTATTTGTAACATTTAGGAAAAGAGAAATGAACGACGAAAACGTTTTCAAAGCTCGTCTATTGGAAGCAGGGTGCTGTGCTGATTGTAGTTGCTTCATTTTTTTGGTGTAGCGACACCTGAAGTTCCGCGACGGAAACCAGCTGTACTGGGAGACCGTCGAGACCGACGAAGACGAGGGTACCGACACGTTCTACACCGATAGCGCCAGCGGGGCGGCGGCCGTCATGTTCGACCACAATAAGGTAAACATGCACTAGTATTGTCTCATGTTACATTTTAAAAAGCCGTCACCCGTTTCTTTCAGAAGACGAGACATTTCAATCATTCCTTGTTTACCGATCATTTTATTATAAACCGTGGGAAAGTTTCACTGAGAAACAATATATAAAATGAATCACAGAGGTTTCTAATAAACCGATACTTTATATTTCAAGGACCTGAAGGCTTACAAGTTTTCTGGGCGGGACATCTGCTACATCGTGCCCGAAGACGAGGGAGAAGACGAGAAGGCGAAAGAAGCTGCAAAGGAACTGGAAAACAAAGAGGTACATATGTTAAAATCACTATTGGTGTTTTAAGCCAGGTTTTCTCTCGATAATCGCACAATTTAAGTACAGGTCTATGTTCGTCGATCGCCAAACCCGGTCCAATTTGATACCCTAAGGGTAGATGCTATGCTAGACTGTCCTCGACTCTCTGATAATGTTTAGATTTGGCAACCATCCAACGATTTTCGGCCTAACCACTAACACTTTCCGTAGGAGGGGTCCACCCAAGCCTCCAAGAATGGCGGGAGCAGGAAGATGTCCCTGGACGAGTCCCGCCCTGAAACTCCCGAGCTGAGTGAGGCGATGGGGCTCTTCTGCGGCGACCTGGAGCCCCGCTGGGCCAACATCGAGCTGCCGGTGGACAGCAGCGAGGAGGATACAAGTGACGGCATCGTGCTCATTGCTCCCGGTATGTTAGAAGAACCATTTGATCTAGTACATTTTTGAAGTACTTTATCAACATTTCTGTATATAAATTGTTGGAAGCTTTGCCAACTGTAATTATCTGCCGAAAAAATGCCATGACTGTACAACAATAATCTCCACCAGACTCCTCTGCAGGCTGTACTCGGCCCAAAACGGGCCGGGCATACAATTGGCCGGGGGAGTTACTAGTAGTAACTGGTCCTATACTGTTGACAATTATATCCCCTGGCAAGTTATATCCGGACCCCTTTTATATAGGTCGATTGCTACTATTTATTCAGATCACAATGCAAAGGAGTCTGGTTGAGACTAGAAAAAACAATGTTTGTAGATTTACGATCATGATATACCCTCCGGGAATCGTTTGCGTTCTGTATATCATGTCCTGTTTCGTGTCGTTCCATACAGCTTCGCCAGGGGACGCCTCTGCCGAGCCGAAGAGCCGTGCGAGGCGTGGTTGGCTCTGGGGACGCCGCCGCAGCAACAGACGCTGGCACGTGTCAGGTTACTGCTGCTGGGGTGTAAGCATCACCTGGAGCTTCTGAAGTCAGTAAAGCAAAACCGACGATAGTAACAGCAGTTTCTATCAAAAACCAACGCTTTGAGAGAACTAAGTGGTGTGCTGCAATGTTATAGAGCAAATTAAAAGCACCATTGCGATTTAACTCATCGTAATATTATAACTGACTTCTTCATGCGTCTGTGTCTTACTCTAAGTTACGTTTTTGTATCACACATGTTAAGGAATTAAGAGTCAATTCCCTGACCTGACACAAATTAAATGTAATTAAGAGTTTCATGGATAAAGAAGGAGGGAAAGAAGAAAGCAAACTAGGAAGTACTACATACTTTCAATTAGTATTGTGCTTTTGAAGACGTTATCCTGACTTTAATGGGTGTACCATCCCAAACATGTCGGTAGATGGGGCTTTAGTTCCACATATAGTCCGTCTGTAACTTGTGTATTCCGTATGTTCCATGGAGACACAAAAGGGGCGTGTACAATACATGTATATCAGGGATCGGACCCTGCGGCGTATTGGGATATCACAGGTACGAGTACGTGCCAAGGGTCATGGGTCGAACGGGATCGGTTTGTGTGTGTGTACATGTTTGTGATTGGAAAACGACATGGCTGTGTACTAGCTAGTTGTGCGGGTGTGTATGTGACGTTACAGCGTCAAGCACTGCCGTCGTTCGGTATGTCATGTTCATCGTGAGAGAACAAGAAATAGCCATGCATTCAAGTACCAGAGTTATCAACCAAGGATTGAGGTGTTCAAGAATTCATTCTTTCCTAGAACTATCGCAGAGTGGAACTCACTGTCACCAAGTACAGTAGGGGCATTGTCAATAGATAGCTTTAAACAATGTCTAGAGCTAGAAGTTCAAGGGTTAGGTATAACAAGTCGATCGGTGTAATATAGCCAGCTGCCGCCGCGCCGCGTGCCTGCGAAGCTGGTGTGTTACGCCGAAAGGCGGTTATACCGGCTATACAGATACAGATACATCGTGCACAGCCTAGGAGCGTTTGTGGTTCCTCAATCTCAACCGCCTGTATTCAACTTGTCATCATTGTATTGCTAACAAGTGTCAGAGCGTAGCTGTTGTGTTATTGAATTATACAAGCCCCATAAGGGTAGCCTAGATACTGTTCTGGGCCGGGCCGGCTTTGTTTTTGGCTCAGCTCAGCGAAATCTGAAGTTCCGCGACGGAAACCAGCTGTACTGGGAGACCGTCGAGACCGACGAAGACGAGGGTACCGACACGTTCTACACCGATAGCGCCAGCGGGGCGGCGGCGGTCATGTTCGACCACAACAAGGTACACATGTACTAGTATTGTCTCATATTACGGCCCAGTGTGCTGAGACATGCCTTTCCTATGGCAGTCGATCTTTCCAGCTGGCTTTTCTGATTCCTGCTATCCTCGGAGCCAGACTGTTTCCAGGGCTTACAGAGGCAAGCTCCTCGGCTCCGGTCAGAGCCAATGTGCCCTCTAGGAAATTATACCACAGCCCCTCCCCCCATGGCCACATAATCAAAACCCTTCACGTACGCCGGATGGGAGGCTTGGCGGAAGGACACACTCTCAGTGCCGTAGGGAAAACTAGGGGCCACGACAGTCCATAATGCTGGGATGTCTACAGTAGCAAGATAAATTTTCAGCCATTCCTTTGGGACAACATGGCAAAATTTAAAGTAGGTTCCGAAAATGTCAACACATCAGTGGAACTGAGGGGAAGTGGAGGAGGGAGCTTCGACACATCTGACATACAAGCTCGCCATACAGTAACGTTAACTCACTCACACAATAAACACAAGTCAGGTATGATGATGTTTTTCACTATATTGTCAATTATCAAAAGCTTTGCTTAGCTTAGAAACGATACATTGCAGACATCAATATGTCCCTCAATACAATTGTAGAAGGCGTCAGTTACATTCCGATTGATATCAGCCACATAGTCGAATAAAGTAATAAACAAATAACATAAAAGACTTACATGTATATATGTTGATGTTAGAACAGAAACGTAGTCACCCTTTTCACCTATCTTATGAACTTAAGCTTAAGTATACGTTGACTTCACAATAAAATACTTCTAAGCTGTCTTAAAACATGTACTTTGCGGTGTACACACCGATTCAAAAACCGCATGTTCGGTGTTGAAGGCATCCAATGCAATTTCAGGGTGATAAAACAAAAATAAATATTCTGGATGAGGAAATCATGTCTGATATTGATATTTACTGCCATTTCTTAGCACACTTTTGCCATTATTCCATACTTGAAGCCTTCGAAATAGCCCCTACCACCCATAAATAGCAAGGACCAGCCCACGAAATACAACAAGTAATTTTTTTCAGCGACATTGCATTTCTGTCTCACAGATATCAGTGTGCTATGGGGTAAGATTGATTCAACTTACTACAGGATGACCAGAGAATTGACTCTGAAAATTCAGCTTTGACGCCCTGAACTTGCATTGGATATCTTTATAGTTACCGACTAGACTTTACCAGCTCCAGCTGATCGAAACGCCCACATACCAGCCCCCGTTATAGCCGCCATAAACGCTCCCGCTGAAGGAGCGACGGCGGCGGCGGCGGCCCCACCATCCCCGCTTCACACGGCTCTTCTGCTCGCCAGAAGTGTCCGCAATCGACCCTGCAGGAATGACAACCGATTTGCAAATATACGATAAGTAAAGTGAAGTAAAACAGTCATGCTTAACTGAGGAGAAGCATAGTGATTTTTGACGTAGCCGCAACACGGCTTCGCCACAGCTCACGTGTAAAGCCAACCACACCGGTTCACCCCAAGTTTTCTCGATAAGTGTGTTGGGTTCTTTTACGTGCAAAGGTTCGGTGATACACGGGGCCGTACACAACATTACGTCACCGTACACAGACACAATATTTTCTATTTAAAAATACTACTTCTAGACTAGGAAAGTATCATCTATACTACAAACAGTTCTTCCAAACGTACCGGGAGCGATCAGCACGATGTCGCTACTTGCATCGTCATTGTCCGGCAGCTCGATGGTAGCCCAGCGGGGCTCCAGGTCGCCGCAGAAGAGCCCCATAGCCTCACTCAGCTCGGGAGTCTCCGGACGGGACTCGTCCAGGGCCATCTTCCTGCGGCCGCCGTTCTTCACATCTTCAGTCGAGCCCTCCTGTGGACAAAAAAAGGCAAAAAAAGGCGGCTGTAGGAACACAGAAATCTTGACGAAACTAGACTGAGTGCACATTCTGTTTGCTACCAGATAAAAACGTCATTTACTACTTGATCGCCAGTAAAAAAAAAAGATCCCTATCATTTGTTTTGAAAGCTAACGCTGTACCTGTATGTTCTGCAGCTCCTTCGCCACCTCCTTCACCTTCTCGTCCTCTCCTTTCTCCTCGGGCACGATGTAGCAGATGTCTCGCCCAGAAAACTTGTAAGCCTTCAGTTCCTATATAGAGAAGACAACACAGGAACGTAAAGAAATGACGCTGTACTGTAGAATCCGTAGGTTGATATGTGCAAAATAATAGCAGATACCTTGAAAGCTTGACTAAAAACAGGTTTATTATCTAATGTACCTTCTTGTGGTCGAACATGACGGCCGCCGCTCCGTTGCCGCCCTCTGTGTAGAACGTGTCTGTACCCTCGTCTTCGTCGGTCTCGACGGTCTCCCAGTACAGCTTGTTTCCGTCGCGGAACTTCAGATGTCGCTACACCAAAAAAAAAGAAGCAAATAGAATTAAACAAAGCACAGCATCCCTATTCCAAAAGACTTTGTCTTGAGATTTCATGTTGGAATATGAAAAAAAGTGAAAAAGTGTACCTACCGACTTCATGGTGTCATGGTTCAGGTAAACGCCAAGCAGGATGCCGAGAACGATCAGCACGGCCAGCACACCGCAGGTCACTCCGATCACGATCTTCCGACGCTTCTGGTTTCCCTCCAGGATTTGTTCCTGTTTAAGCAAGGAGGAAAGTTTACATCAAAAATCAAACAATTGCACTTTTTTTTCTCAAACCTACGACAAGCAATGTACAGAAACAATCACCGTGCGTGCATCGTGCGATGTACATACGTGACGCTGTTTACCTTGATCCGTGCGATGTCGTGCGGCGAGGCTCCTCCCAGAGAGAAGTCAGCCGGGGGCAGCGCTTTCTTCTCGTCACAGGACGTCATTTTCAGCAATTCTCTGGAGAAAATAACAAAGCATGCAATCAACTGATACAAATGTAGTGTTGCAGAAAGCTTGAATTTGCATCGTAAGCGCTACAATTGCAACCCGCATTATAAGTACAGAAGTACCCACCTGGTCTGCAGTGAGGTCTGCGCGATGTAGAAGTCTTGGCCGGCTTTTGCAGAGCCGTCGGTATTGAGGGGTTTATATACATTTTTATAGTTTCCTGTACCGAGAAATCATGAATATTCAAATCTATTTCTTTGAAGGCACAAAAGACAAGCTATTTTGAATTTGACCTGATTACATCATGTCTGTCCGGGGGAGGAGCCATACTTGGCGATTGTAGCCCCACCCACCTGGCAGACAGTTGAGCTTGTACAAATAATTTTTTGCAACTTAAAACTGACAACGCTCTGCATTTTTGTCATTTTACGATTGCAACAACCTCAGTAACAATTGCAGCAACCACCTCACTGCAGGGAGAACAAGTCGTCATATGCATAACCTTCCATCAGCCAACAAGTTCCCACATTGAACACAAAAGGTGGCTTTAAATATTCAACACACATCTTTAACTACTTTTCTTCTGGACCAGTATTCATCTTATAACTAATATTTAACGAAATCCACGATGTTTGGAGTCATACAAAACAAAATCTCAAGGTATTGTTGATACACGAGCGGCTGAAAAGTTTCCCGATTTTCCTAAAAGTTAGTTCTGAGCACTACAGTACTAACTAGAACGTTAATTCGAGGTTTACGTTTTCCTCATAGTGTTTGAAGTACTCTCATGGTTGGTGCGCTTTATCGTCTGGCGATGTTGTGTCCATCTGAAACATGCGGCTGGCCGATAGCCAAGAACCGTATATCAACCGTCCTGTCCACATCAGTGTAAAGTTTGTCTGACATCATTCAAGCACGAAGCAGTAGTTTGTCTTGCACATGGCAACTACCATTGATAGTTTTTCCCCTCAGAAAAACAGCAGAACAGTACCGTCCGTAACGAGGTATTAGGTACAGTATTCGGAGAGTGACATATTCGGAAGATGCATTTGCTTGAGATGAGTTGAATATATCAGGCACCAAGTTAAAATCATAGCAGACTCTGGTGCAAGATTTCAGTCTGGCTGTGGGCCAATGCACGCGCCAGTTTACCTCGTATGTTGCGACCTCATAATGAAGTCCCGCCCATCTTTAGTCGAGGTGTCTGTGTTGGCATGATGGTAGGCTCCAGGTGTGACAAGGAAACGCGACAAGGAAACGCGACTTTGCAAAAATAAGATAATTATAAGTCAAATAGGTTAAACATTGCAACATGGGAGCCCTTTCACAGTGTAAGTTCATTAAACTTTTACTGAGCAATGTGAAAGGTGCAACGGGAAAGTAGCAATGATATTATCAACATTACGAAACTACTGGAGTTAAGATCTCTCGAATAAGAATATTGATGAGGTTTGATACAAAACAGAACTATGTTTGTGACATTTGTAGCTGACTAGATCAAGTTTACAGGCAGCAGAACTTGCGTGCTACTTGGAGGTACCTTACGGGAAAGGGACAATGAGCCAGCTTCTGACCTGAGCACTTAGGCAGGCAGGCAGATATTTCTGACACATCTAGCTTTAAATGTGAGACTCGTACATGTAAAAGAGGTTGAATTTGAACATCACCCTCTTAGATTTCATTTGATTTAAAAATGCAACATAATAAACAGCGCAGTTTTCCTCCTGCGAAGTCTTTTTGTCGAATACTACAGGTGAACTACATGTATAAGTAGGTTTGAGGTAAGATAGATGTGCAAAGTTGCTATAATATCTTGATGTATATGGCCTTTTTTAGCTATAGATTCGTTTGAAAACGCGTGTTTCTGGATTATAGATAAGATCTTCTCTCATACTTATAAACGTCCGTTTGCAAGCCAAAACACGCATCAGTCACCATATCATCATCAGTGGAAGCTCTGCCTGACAGTATTGCATCATCTACACACCACACGTGCACGTCGAAATGTCAAAAGGCAAAGATTATCCTCCACAGAATGTCACCCCCCTCCCCCTCCCCTTACAAAACAACTTGATGTTTTTTGGGACATGGTCAACACCCTCAGTTTCCCTAAGCCAGAGACACAGAAAACCGCCCCGTATTGGTCAGAAGCATGCTTAGAGGATGCATTTGCTTGAGATGAGTTCAAGTTCAAGATAGGTAAAAGGTAAAGGTTCCTCCGTAGCCTTTTCCAGGCCGAAAATGGGTTCTGTGTCTAGAGCAAAGCTTTAAATGGCGGAAACATGTGAAGGTAAACGTGATGCATTTGCTTTGCAAATGTTACATAAATTCTAGTTATCTTTTGTTTTCTGATTGTATATCAGACATATTCTGTTTTGATTCTTTCTTGTAGACAGCATTTGGGGCTTAGTGTAAATCTGGACACACAAGGCTCTGGCATCAGCTTCAGAGGAACAGACATGAAACAACAGTGAGGTTGAAGTGAAAATGTTGGATTTCCATTGTGCACATCACTTTTGATGTGTCAGACTTTCATCTACGGCGATCTTATGAAAGATAAAAAAAATGCACACCTTGGATGGCAGACAAATTTCCTGTTCAGAGGAAAACCCAGGTGCCGTTTTACATATTTCAAGAACTCACTGGGAGTAGACTGGCCACTTTGACGGCATGACCACCGAGCCGCTAACGGCGCTATATTTTGGTTGTTGAGCTGAAGGGTAAAGAGAGTGAAGAAAAAATGTCTCCCAGGTCCTGCATGATACTCTTCATACTTTGCTTCCTCTCCTATGGTAAGCAAGTGTATTTTTTACAGTTATAATATCTGTTTGCACGTTTTAGTTCAGGGTTGCTACTGTACATGTGTACTTTTTGCACCTTGTAACAACAATTGCAACGCAGTATAAAAGAAAGAATGGCATTATGGTTTCTGAACAGTTTGTAATCTATGCTTTCTCACTTCTAAGTGGGGCAGGTAATTTTCAATCCAGTGCAGGTATGCATATTATTAAGTATTTTGAGCTGTGCCATACAATGTACCATCAAAGGATTATGTTGTTTTGTTGTGCGGTGTCGAATGACCAACAGATATAAGACTGAGATCATGGGTTCGTATCGAGCGATACAACGCACATTGCACAAGGGAAAGTCTGCAAAATAGTTTTCTGCTATAATGTTTTATTTTAATTGATAAAATCAACTCAATTCGTAAAATAACACCCCCTCTTCAGACATGAAAAAATAGTCCCGTAGCCCTTTTAAGGCAGTAGGGGCTGTGGATTGTCAATCCAATTGTCTAGGACAGGGTATTAGAAGGCTGAGCCCATCCCCCTCCTTCCACCACCTTTTACCTCCCCAACTAAAGTCAGGATCCCATTTTACACCTGGGTGGAGTGAGGAAAGTCGTGTAAGTTGCCTTTCCCATTACACAAGATTGGCCATAGTGGCATCGGGCAGAATTCAAACTCGGGACCTCTTGGGTCTGAGCCGAACACTGTTACGCCACACCACCACTTCAGACATTAACGCTTGTTAACTCCCTTTTTCATATGCATAAAATGTTTCTGTCTGTGCCACTCTGTCATGCAGGTCAAAGTTCACATGGCGGGCCATGTACGACAAGGAAGGTCACAGAAGCCTCCATGTACGCATTTGTAGGCGGGACACAGTTTCCCAGCGCCCCCTACTGGGACCAAAATGCCCTGCAGGAAACGACTGATTCGTCTGTTGTCAATAAAACAGGTACAAAAATTATCTGACTTTTCTGTACTAGTAACTTGTTATTCCGTGCCATTTAGTTACAAAGTACTTGTACCATGAGCTCTGTTATAAAATAGATCTATTTTTTCAGGACTTAAGCAGGAAACAATTTTTCTAGGACTTAGTTTGATGTCTGGAAGAAGTGGTGTAGGCTTCGCCTCACTTGAAATTCATAACAGAATTATTATTATTATTATTAATCTTATTGTCTAATTCTTATCAAGCAGAAGATTGCCAGGTGGGGGATGGGCAATCCTACCGAGGAACCGTCTCCGTGACCAAAATAGGCTTGACGTGCCAGCGCTGGGACAGGCAGACTCCCCACTCCCACTACTTGACTCCGGAGAACTTCCCGTCAGCAGGACTGGAGCAGAACTACTGCCGCAATCCTGCTGGGTATGAACCCGGAGTTTGGTGCTACACCATGGATCCGTCGATCAAATACCGATGGGACTTCTGTGATGTGCCAGTATGCGGTAAGGTCTAATTCTGTTACAAGGGCTTGAAATACTGGGTGCATGGTGAACAAAAAAAATACTGCCTTGTTGTTGGGCTGTTTCAAAACCTTTGAGCACGAAAAAATCCTAAGAAATGGCAATTAAATTTTCAATATCAGACATATTTTCTCATCCAGAATCATGCTTTGCCGCCCTCAAATTGCATTGGGATTGAAAGACACAACTTATTCACATTTCAATTAAACGTCATTTTAAGGGAAAATCATGAAGACAGTTTTTTTCTTGATGGTACAAATCCTAGGCTGTCCATTCAAGCCAGGCGGTTCAGACTACCGTGGGAACCTTTCCGTGACCATAAACGGGAAAACCTGTCAGCGCTGGGACACCGACTCTCCACATTCTCGAGCTCACGGCTACCGGGCAGAGGACTACCCATATCTAGAGCTAGTGGAAAATTACTGTCGCAACCCGGACGGCACTTCGTTCACCATTTGGTGCTACACAACAGACCCTAGCACCCGCTGGGAGTACTGCAGCGACACTAGATGCCCTGGCAGTTAATTCTTTTTCTATACATAAGGCCACACCAATTTAATTTCACGGTTCTCGGATTCGCCCCTTCATTTTTTTCTGATTTGCAAAAAAAGTTTCTGGTTCTGAATCAACTAAAAAATGCTCATAGTTTGCTCCCAACAGTTGAGGAAAGTCTTTGTCTTCCTAGTTATTACAGTTTTCCATCTATCAATGCAGTGGTTCGATTAAAAGTTCAAAATTCGTTGTTTACATATTAACACTGTTGACTTCATGGCTCCTATCGTAGATTTGGGGTCATAATAGGATGCCTAGACCTGTTTTTATTTTTTATTTTTTCGCCCTGTCGCTTCAAATATTTTCTTTAAAGAAATCAGAGAACCAACCAACCAGTTAAATTGGTGTGGCATCATATACAGCCCAGCTTGTAACACTCCTGGCTAATCATTGGTTTACAGTAAGGCCATGTTGATTTGATTATATGGATGACATCCGCGCGCGCATGAATTTTCGGCCGTTTCCAAAAAAAAAAAAGTTTTCAACCAAACTGTAAATCGTACAAAACAGTTGTAAAATGAGCAAAAATATACCGTAAGTTACAAAAAAAATAAGTAAATACTATACCAATGTCGTAGAATGCCAAAATCAAACGAAAAAAGACGAAATTGTAAGGAAATGAACTTGAAGATTAGATTATTCGCCAAACCATATTCTGTCCCATTTGTTCAACCCTCACGACCACGTAGATTTCATAATGAAAAGAACTTTTTTTTTGCAAAACTTTTTTTTTATTCGCACGCTCGCATCAGTTTTGGGGCTCCCGGAGGATGTCATCCATATAATCAAATCAACATGGCCTAACTGCGGCATTTTGGGGTCATTAAAAGTAGCAGTAGCAATTTAAAGTACATTGTACGACAATGTTGTTTATTACCTTTTACACTACTTACTACTTGTGATTTTTCACGTAAATTTTTCAGTAAATTTGAAATGTTTACTTTGTGTAACTATTTTGCATGTTAGTAGCTGGAAAAAATAATTTCAAGCCCGGAAAATGAAATCCATTTGTGTGGGAGGGGGACAGGTCCATTTTTGGTGCGAGGGCTGTAATGAAGCCATTTGCTGCATTTGCTCCAGGGCAAATGCCGGCCTTTCTAGTTCTTGAAGTTTCTCCACCAAATACACATCAAGGCCATATATATACTCATAATAGACTCTGTCTATAGACTTCAGTCTGGCAGCAGGCCAGCTCACATTCAGATTTTACCCGCTTCCTCTTTCGAGAGTCATAGCAAAGACCCACCCATCTTTAATATATTATCATTGAGTATCTGTTGGTATCGGCCAGGTGTGACAAGGAAACGGGACGAGGAAACGAGATTTCCCAAAAATAAGACAATTATAGGTCAATGAGGTCGAACGTGAACCAATGAAAGAGCCCTTTCACAGAAGGTGAATGCTGATCTGAATATTTATTTACTTACCTTTCAATGATCAACAAATGTCAGTGGGAAAGTATTAAATTTTCTCAATGATTTCATAACAAAGAATATCTACTATCATATCGGTGTCTGCAGGTGGTGTATGTATCTTGGTTGAAGTACGATGTGGTTGGGACAACAAAGGACAAGGTCAACTATGGGTACTCTAGCGGCCTTGTACGGTACTGCAGGGTATTATACCTCGTGTTGTGGACATGCTATCATCTTGTGATTCACGAACTGTTGATGTACATGTAGTAAAGTCGCTGTACTTTTTTGTGTCATTAAAATTCTCTGTCATATATTATCATTTCATACTTTTGTTTTCCCCTTTGGAATAATATGCATGTACACCAGTGTTGCTGAGTTTTTATCTCTCTTACATTCAAGGCCATTTTAACAACAACACAGACAAAATTTGCTTGACGCTGTGACGTAACATATAAGCAGGCACAGCTACCTACGATTGTGAGGTCGACCAGGCCGTTTTCCTATCACACACACACACACACATGACCCTTGGCCTTGGCACGTACTCGCACCTGTGATATCCCAATACGCCGCAGGGCCTGATCCCTGATATGCATGTATTGTACACGCCCCCTTTTGTGTCTCCGCGGAACATACTTTAATACACAAATTACAGACGGACTATATGTGGAGCTTAAGCCCCATCTACCGACATGTTTGGGAGGGCAACGTTTTCAAAACACAATACTAATTAAAATCAGTGCTTCCCTCCTTCCTTCACTGGTTCTTTCCTTCCTTCCTTCCTTTCTTCATCCGGATCCCTTCCTAGCTTTCTTCGCCCCTTCCTCCCTTCTTACGCATTTATAATGCACACATTATTTTACAAAACTGTTAATTGCATTGACTTGTTGACAGGGCAGGGGCATGACTCTTAATTCTTTAACACCTGTGATACATAAACTTAACTTAGAGTAAAACACAGACGCACGAACAAGTCAGTTACAATATGGATTTTAATTTGCACTATAACTTCGAAGCAAACTACTCGTAGTTCTCTCAAAGCGTTGGTTGTGATAGAAACTGTTGTTTCTACTCGGTTTTGCTTTACTGACTTTAGAACCTCCAGGTGATGCTTACTCCCCAGCAGCAGTGACCTGACACGTGCCAGCGCCTGTTGCTGCGGCGGCGTCCCCACAGCCAACCACGCCTCGCGCGGCTCTTCGGCTCGGCAGAGGCGTCACCTGGCGAAGCTGTATGGAACGACAACAAACGAGACAAGATAAACACGACGCAAACGATTTCCTGGGGCATGTGATAATCGTAAATCTACAAACATTGTTTTCCATCAGATAAGTAAGCCTCCAACAAATTGGTATACAAAATAATGATCGTAAAGTACTTGAAAAGAAATCAAATCCAGTTCATTCTTCTAAACATACCTGGAGCGATGAGCACGATGCCGTCACTTGTCTCCTCCTCGCTGCTGTCTGCGGGCAGCTCGATGTTGGCCCAGCGGGGCTCCAGGTCGCCGCAGAAGAGCCCCATCGCCTCACTCAGCTCCGGGGTCTCCGTACGGGACTCGTCCAGGGCCATCTTCCTGCGGCCCCCGTTCTTGGAGGCTTGGGTGGACCCCTCCTGTGGAAAGTGTTAGCGGTTAAGCCCGTGTCACACGGTATTTTTCGGTCGTTGAAAAGTTGCCAAATCTAAATATCGTCGGAGACTGACGGAGATCTAGAGTCGAGCATAGTCTAAGTCTATTCTTAGACTAACAAATTTATTGGACGGAGCTCGGTAATCGCACGGAGGTAAAACAAATCCCATGGTAATCGGAGCATGCCTTTCTGTTGAAATTGTTAAATTGAGCTTGCAGACCCGTCGGCCGATCTTTTATCCTGCGGTGTGACTATTTGTTCTGTCGCTGGAAGGTCGCCAAGTTTGTACATCGCCGGTGTGTCGAGCATAATCTTCGCCCGAAAATCTGCCCCTGGGCTATCAAATTAGACCGGGCTCGGCGATCGACGAACAAAGGACCGTACATAAATTATCGAGAGAACACCGGGTTTAAAACACCAACGGTGATTTTGATACACTAGTAACTGTACCTCTTTGCTTTCCAGTTCCTTCGCAGCTTCTTTCGCCTTCTCGTCTTCTCCCTCGTCTTCGGGCACGATGTAGCAGATGTCCCGCCCGGAAAACTTGTACGCCTTCAGGTCCTTGAAATATAGAGTAGCGATATATCAGAAATCTCTGTGATTCATTATAGCATTTCTCAGTGAACATTTCCCCAAAAAATGACAAAATGATCGGTAAACAAGAAATATTTGTACATGACAAAAAGCCTGAACCACTATGTAGAGACTATGCTCGTATTCTGAAGCTGATAAAGCCTTTTGAAAAGAACGTATCGTGACTTAAATGTAATATGGGGCAATGCTAGTATCGTGTAGACTGCGGCCAAGCTTACCTTGTTGTGGTCGAACATGACCGCCGCCGCCCCGCTGGCGCTATCGGTGTAGAACGTGTCGGTACCCTCGTCTTCGTCGGTCTCGACGGTCTCCCAGTACAGCTGGTTTCCGTCGCGGAACCGCAGGTTTCGCTGAGCCAAAAACACAGTAGACAGAGTCAGATAAAGCCCAACCTTTTACTTCCAGGTGCATTTGAATGCAGTCGGAGTTGGAATGATGGTGCGTGTCTGTTCTGTTGTGTTTTCGTAACGTTGTAGACTTTGCGAAAGAAGGGAAATAATCATCAAGCCCACTGCATGCTGTGATAAGGAATATACCTTTTTAGACTCACTGAAAGACTGGTATTTTCGTGGGTATAGTGACTCAGACGATTCTATGTAGGTCTCAAGTACATTGTAAATACACAGGTATGAGTTGTTCGTGCATTTACCTTGACGACTGGGTCCCTAGAGAGATGGATGCCCAGTTTGACGAGGCCCAACACAAGCAGCACCCCCAGCACACAGATCACACCGATCACAATCTTCCTCCGTCTCGGGTTGACTGCTCGGGCCTCTTGCTGTGGGAGGAAAAAATATCATGGGAGTTAGGGGAAACAAACGGTCCGGTGTTCTAGCCAGCGCCCGTTTTCTGTCACTTGATGGAATTTCGCCGCTCATGACGGACAAAAAAATTGCCCAATCCGTCATATTTCTCGGACAAAATCCTCGCGTGTAATCCAGGCATTAGCAGTCGTTACAATAAAACAGAGATACTTTGCCGCTAAACAAGTATGAAAGTCATTTGGAAGAGCAATCTTGGCTAGCATAGTTTGCAGATGATTTAAACCCTCTGGCCCAACTAGTTTTCTAGCCTTACTGCTCAAAACGTCCTACGGTCAGGCTCACCTGCAGTTTGATTTTCTCGATCTCCTCCGGGAAGACTCCGCCGGGCGGCTTCTCGCTGTAAGTCGGAGGCGGCGGCTCTTTCTTCTCCTCACAAGACGCCATGGTAGATGATTCTGTGTTAGAAAGAACATCGATAAATCACATCGATAAATCTATACATCAACGAACGAACATAAAGCTGGGGTGTCGTTAACTTATAAGCAGTAGTTTAAATGCAAAAATCTATATAATTTCAGCTTATGGAGTTCCTAAGAACGCACCAGACCCACTACTGGGAAGTCTGCACACAGTAGAAGTCTGGCTGTGGTGTGCGCGACAGGACCGTTTGGCTGTTCTTTATCCAAGCGCACCGTTTCCTGTACCGAGAACTCATGAATATTCAAATCTATTTCTGTACCACTCAAAGACAAAATCAACGCACATGTCAGTCCTCGTGCCGACTTCGGGGTAAAATATTTTATGTAACAGTGAGCTATTGCATCATCATCCCACACACCACAAGGAAATGTCAAACCAATTATTTCTATCTGAGGGCTTCTACTCTGCCCCCCCCCCCCCCCACTAGTGACCTTGACTTGTGCCGTGTGCCACCCAAACAACCATGGCAGCCCCTCACATAATGATGAAAAAGTTCAGAAACAAAGCAGAACTACCTGGAGATGACAAATAATACTGTGGGTTGTCTTGTATGTGTTAGGCTGCAGAAAGTTGTTCTGTAGGTAAGAGACATAGGTTACTTCGGCCCTTGATCAGAATGGCACGTAATGGCGGCTACCGGGAGTGGCAAACTGTTCTCTTAGCGCGACCAACTCCCCTGGCATATCGTCTGTTTATTTGGCAAATTTTTACTCTTTCCAGTCGCTTCTCGACGCCTTAGGTAAAGGCTATGCTAAAGGGCATTTTCTTGAGAACAATTCGAGAAATCATCTTATCTAGTAATTACAAAGTTCGGCATTGGAATCTAGGATTCTAGGAATCAGTTCATTGACATCAAAATTTGCCCAACCGTATTGTACCCCATTAATTGCTTCCTCTTCCAAGAATCGTTACGAAGACCCTCCCATCTTTAATTCCGGTGCCTACGTGCCTGTGTTGGCGTCGTGGTAACACGAATTGGTAAAAATAGAACAATTGTATGTCAAAGATGTTAAATCTGGCAATAAAACATCTCACTAGTTTCGCTGAAGTCCCGCCCATCTTTAGTTCAGGTGTCCATGCTCGAATCACCCACACAGACATCAGGTGTTAATCTCCAAGCAGATCCCAGGGTGGCTAAAAGACAGTATCATCCACCCTTGGACCTCTCTGACCAATGGATACTGCCTAGCCAATTTGATACTGACTTTTTGCCACCCTGGGATCTGCTTGGAGATTACCGTGGCATAACATTTGTCTATTTGGCCGATTTTTACTCTTTCCAGATTCTTCACGGAGCCTGCTAGAGGCTACGTTAGAAGACGCATTTTCGTATCGTGAGAACAATTCAAGGTATCAGTTCATCTAGTAATTACAAAGTTCAGTTCTAGGAATCAGGTCATTAAGCCTGACATGACTGAAATTTGACTGAAGCCCAACCTGATTCAACCCATTCAATTGAGTCCTGTTCCGAGAATCGCTACGAAGACCCACCATCTTTAATTCAGGTACTCTCCAAGCAGAGTTTTGGCTTATTTTTGGCGTGTTTTTAGGCTTTTTCATCGGGGTTTCTTTCTTTGCGCTGGGTTGGCGTAAAGAAAATAGGACAATTGTATGTCAAAGAAGTTAAATTGGCCAGGCAGTATCTATTGGCATGGCCAGAGAGGGTCCACCACGCCACCCTTGGACCCCGTCTGGCCAATGGATACAGCCTGGCCAATTTGATACTGACTTTTTTGCCACCCTGGGATCTGCTTGGAGACTAACACCTGATGTCTGTGTGTGTGATGCGAGCACGGACATCTGAACTAAAGATGGGAGGACTTCCGCGTGACTACTGAGATGTTTTATTGCCAGATTTAACCTGGCATGACATGAAAGTCAGTTCAGATGTCTATGCTTGCATCACGTACACCGCAGACCAAGTGTCACCAGGAAACGCGACAAGGAAACGCGGCTTTGCAAAAGTAGAACAATTATATGTCAAAGAGGTCAATCCTGACTGTAAAATAGCTCATTTATATCCAGAGGCGTCTGTCAAACAGTATCTGAATCCATTTATCATTGGACAGTCAATGTCACAAATATAGATTCTTTCATTTCACAAATACACCCATCTCGCCGATGTGGACGCCTGCAGAAAAAATGATTATGATATGCAGTCTGTCTTAGACACCATTTACGTCAGACTCTTCAGTTTTTAGTCTCGGTCTCCTTTAGTGACACTACACTCAAAATGGCGGGTCAGTGAACTTCAGGGATGCCGAATACCTCGTTATGTACGCTTGAGGAAACACGGCCATCTTAAGGCACTGGGACCCCTCAGAACAATCTCAGAGCTGTGAAAACTTTCACTCTAAGGACCGGAGTTGGACTCCGATTTGTTTCAGACGCTTTTCCAGAGGCTGACTCAGATGTAATGATAACGGCAGAATGTGTGTGTACGTCTGTGTTCGAGGACTGAGGTGTGGCCTGTCAAAACGTGTATGTGCCAAGGGCGATGCTAGTCTCCATCAGACTCCAGTGCAAGCTGAATAAATAGTAGAAATCTACTCTCCAAGCAGAGGTTTGGGTTTTGGGGGTATTTTTAGCGTGTTTTTAGGCTTTTTTTATCGGGGTTTCTCTTTTGCACTGAATTTTTTTTCCTACCAAGTTGGGTTTGGTAGGAAGACAAATTCAGTGCAAAAGAGAAACCCCGATAAAAAGCCTAAAAACACGCTAAAAATACCCCCAAAACCCAAACCTCTGCTTGGAGAGTAGTAGAAATCGGCCTAAAAAGAATACGTAGAAGTTTGCCGGCCATAGAGGGTCCAGTTTGCCTGCTTTCTACTAATTATTCAGCCTGCAATGTAGTCTGGTGTAGACTAGGGCGATGCGTCAAATGGCTTCTGTGTGTATGTTGGACAATATGGGCAACATTACAATCTTAGGCAGACTTGTACGGTTACACACCTTCCCCATATTAAAGAGGTTGCGACCGCTGAGCGACCAATTATTTCACACATTGCTCAGTGAATTCCATACACAAAGAAATAATACTTTTCACGTTGGAAAAAAAATCTGTGTGTTTTGTTGTTTTTAAGTCATATTTCTGCATCGTGTTTCATATTCCAATTCGAGTTTTGGTCGCTCAACGGTAGCTCAGCAATCGCCGTCAAGTGAAGTAAGTCCAGATGTTTTTTTCTTTTTCATATATTTCTATGATTTCTAAAATTCTAGAGCTCACTCAAAGTCTATCCTAGTTGCCATTTTGATTTCTGTATCTGTACTGTAACCGATATCCTGTGTGTGTGATCCATGACTTTTACTGGACTCTCTATAGCCGGTAAACTCCCCTGGCCAGGTACATTATTCTTTTTAGGCCGCGCCTATTTCTACTATTTATTCAGCGCTCGAGCCTCTGTAACTGCTCTGACAGATGAATGATATGCCCGTACCATTTACTTCCATTTCCTGTGTTTTAGGGAGTAGATAACGGGTATAATTCAAATTTCCCTGGTACTAATTCTCTCTCACTGAGTGTCTATGTAAGGGCACCTCTCTAATGCAGAACTATGGGATCCACCTACACACAGATAAAGGTCATTGTCTTCTTTTCTCGCCATGAAACACAGAACATGACTCATTACATTTCCCAACAAATGACGTATCTTCACAAACTTTTATTCCTCACACCAACATATACAATAAAAACACGAAGATCTTGCTTAATGCTTAAAACAGCATTACATTTGATAGACACAAACACTGCCTTGTGTAAGGGACATACTATCCATTTCAAACGTGTCATTCACCATGCACCAGTAGATAAGAAATATCATTGTACTTATACTACTTCCACTTTTCATTCAACATATTTGTGCTATTGTTTCACATTTCTGACATGTATGGCTGACGGTAAAACAGCCACAGGAGGCGCACCTAGTTTGTGGCACCACCACAAAATACCAGAATGTAAACAAACATGGCTGTCAGCTGTGTTTGCTGTCAGCTGTGTTTCCAACTTTTAAACACATTCGTATGTCATTTAGCACCTCCACTTCCTGAATGACACTTACTTTCAATGAAGTAGGATTGATTCAACTTACTTTGTAAACATATGACTAGAAAATTGTCTCTTAGAATAATCCTGATGTTACATAATGCAGCTTTCTCTTGTATATACCTGTTCCAAAGTAAAGATAAAACAACTTCGCATTTACAGGTACCAAGGTTTACAAAAGGTATAAACCACCCCTTAACCTCCTCTCTTTATCATATAAAATCCACAACCACAAAACTATTATCATTCGTAAAATCAACAAAACTTTCATTAAACAATTCTTTATCCTGACTTATTGTAGATTTAAATTAGCACAAAACAACTCAAACATCTCTTTTGTCATATAAAACCCACAACCACAGAACTTTCACTGAAAATGTTAACAATTCTTCACCATGACTTATTATTCTTATTCTTATCATCTGTATAAATAAACAAAAACACATCAATATTTTCGTTGACCACAGCAATATTTTCTCTACGATAATGAAAAATCAACAGAAATTTCACTGAAAAATTCTTCACTCTAAATAATCAAGACTCAAAACAAAACAATTAATACTCAAAGCAGGGCAAAAAAAGAGCACAGCAATGTTTTCTCTTAGCCTATTAGCCTATTTGCTTTCCCCAACATTGTAAAAAAAATCAGCACAGATTTCTCTGAACAATTGTTCACCCCGATTTAAGAATTACGAAACAAAGTAAAACAAAACAACACCATTACGAAAATCAACATTTTGTAGATCACAGCAATATTTTCTCCTGTACTACTTGAACAAGGGAAAGTGCTACCTCCCCAGTTATAGCTTTCGATACGATTGTAATAAAAATCGACAGAAATTTCACTGTACAATTCTTCACAATCATCTGTTATTGATATTAAAAAAAAATATCAAGATTTAGGTCAACCACAGCAATGGTTTCTTCTGGCCTATTTGCACAGTGGCAGTGCTACCTCCAAGACAACAGCTTTCCACACCATTATAAAAAAAATCAACAGAAATTTCCTTGTAAAGTAAAACAAAACAATAAGGGTACGAAGACCAACATTTTCGTCGACCACTGCAATATAATGTTCTCTCTTTCTGAAAACTACTTGCATAGTGGCAGTGCTACCTCCCCGACCACAGCTTTCCCCACCATTGTAGCAGTGGTCATCCCGCCCAGTATGTCCAGCTGGGACACGCTCAGGTCGAAGTT